ATAAATGTATTAGTGTAATTAAAATAACACTGAAGCATAAATGTATGAGTGTAATTAAAATAACACTGAAACATTAGTGTATGTGTAATTAAAATAACACTGAAACATAAGTGTATGTGTAATTAAAATAACACTGAAACATTAGTGTATGTGTAATTAAAATAACACTGAAACATTAGTGTATGTGTAATTAAAATAACACTCAAGCATAAATGTATGAGTAATTAAAATAACACTGAAGTATAAATGTATGAGTGTAATTATTAAAATAACACTGAAGCATAAGTGTATGAGTGTAATTAAAATAACACTGAAGCATAAATGTATTAGTGTAATTAAAATAACACTGAAGCATAAATGTATGAGTGTAATTAAAATAACACTGAAGCATAAATGTATTAGTGTAATTAAAATAACACTGAAGCATAAATGTATGAGTGTAATTAAAATAACACTGAAACATTAGTGTATGTGTAATTAAAATAACACTGAAACATAAGTGTATGTGTAATTAAAATAACACTGAAACATTAGTGTATGTGTAATTAAAATAACACTGAAACATTAGTGTATGTGTAATTAAAATAACACTGAAACATTAGTGTATGTGTAATTAAAATAACACTGAAACATAAGTGTATGAGTGTAATTAAAATAGCACTGAAACATAAGTGTATGAGTGTAATTAAAATAGCACTGAAACATTAGTGTATGTGTAATTAAAAGAACACTGAAACATTAGTGTATGTGTAATTAAAATAACACTCAAGCATAAATGTATGAGTAATTAAAATAACACTGAAGTATAAATGTATGAGTGTAATTATTAAAATAACACTGAAGCATAAGTGTATGAGTGTAATTAAAATAACACTGAAGCATAAATGTATTAGTGTAATTAAAATAACACTGAAGCATAAATGTATGAGTGTAATTAAAATAACACTGAAGCATAAATGTATTAGTGTAATTAAAATAACACTGAAGCATAAATGTATGAGTGTAATTAAAATAACACTGAAACATTAGTGTATGTGTAATTAAAAGAACACTGAAACATTAGTGTATGTGTAATTAAAATAACACTGAAGCATAAATGTATGAGTAATTAAAATAACACTGAAGTATAAATGTATGAGTGTAATTAAAATAACACTGAAGCATAAATGTATTAGTGTAATTAAAATAACACTGAAGCATAAGTGTATGAGTGTAATTAAAATAACACTGAAGCATAAATGTATTAGTGTAATTAAAATAACACTGAAGCATAAATGTATGAGTATAATTAGAAATAACACTGAAGCATAAATGTATTAGTGTAATTAAAATAACACTGAAGCATAAGTGTATGAGTGTAATTAAAATAACACTGAAGCATAAATGTATTAGTGTAATTAAAATAACACTGATGCATAAATGCATTAGTGTAATTAAAATAACAACGAATCATAAGTATATGAGTGTAATTAAAATAACACTGAAGCATAAATGTATTAGTGTAATTAAAATAACACTGAAGCATAAGTGTATGAGTATAATTAGAAATAACACTGAAGCATAATTGTATGAGTATAATTAGAAATAACACTGAAGCATAAATGTATTAGTGTAATTAAAATAACAACGAAGCATAAGTATATGAGTGTAATTAAAATAACACTGGCGCATAAATGTATGAGTGTAATATCGTCTTGTAATTATCCATTGTACAAAGTTTGTAGGCATAAAGAGAAGCCATTCGTCCATTCATTCAGTTGTCTGTTCCTTCATCTGTAGTTCATATGTCCGGGCAATAGCTCAAATAATGGTAGTTCAACAAGTTAAACCTAGTCTGGGCCTTATTTCCTATCTGACATATCTTGTGGCCCGCCCTAGGTTTAACTTCCGTGCCTATTCGGCCCTTGATGCAAAATATTCAATGGTGGTCTATGGTAGCGCATGTAATTCCATGCGCGTTTAATTAATAACTGATAGTGAGAATTTGCAACAAATGAAAGCATAGCACGGAAGTTAAACCCAATCACGGCAACAAGAACATTCAGATTGATAAATGAAAGCCGTGGTATTGGGTTTAACTTGTTGAACTAAAATAATGGATGAAAAGTGTATGAGTGTGTTTTAGTTTTTATACCTTGTATTTTTGAAGTAAAACCATAACAGTTTTGATGCGAGAGCATAATGATTGGCTAATATTGACCATTGATAACTCTTTCTAAATTATAAATGCATTGATTCTGAAATGTCATACTTCTTTTTTGATTGATGTTTCAAAACAAATACATTAAGCTTAGATGAACTATGATCTGTCTGAAATGATTGGTTGTCTTAGCTTTTTGTTCTATCTTTGGATCGATATATTATGACACCTACGACTTACATAAATATTGATATTGTATCGATGTCAATGGATACTGTGAGCTTTAAAAGGTTATTGAATTTCGAATCAATGTATCTGTATGGTATTAAATATACATATTGTGATCGGAATACAATATTTCTCGATCTCATCTGGCCTTTTGCAAACATTGTCCCAGACAGGAAATCAACATATGTCTACTATTGTAATGTATTACAATCATATTATATACTTATTTACCTATTATGTAATAACTTGATTGATTATGGATGATATCTGCAGTTAGTTGGCACCGGAAACACTCAGAGGGAAATTGGAGTTAAGGTAAATTGGTTTCTGGAACAAAATCTTAAAATATATGTCAACACAATAGACATCTAGTTACCCATAAACTCAATGGTACATCACTCAATATATATATCAAATCAAATGTATATCAACTCAATAATATCAACCCAATATACATCAACTCATGTATGCATCAATTCAATGGTGCATCAACTCAATGTGCATCAACTCAATTTATATTAGCTCAATATATATCAACTCAAGGGTACATCACTTCAATGGTGCATCAACTCTATTGTAAATCAAAAGTAATCTACATTGGCTCAATTCAATAGAAAATCAACCCAATTGCACATCAACTCAATTATACATCAACTCAGACAACATCAACTCACACTATATCAACTCAAGGGTACATCAACTCAGACTTTGTCAACTCAATTGTACATCAACTTAGTGATCCATAAGCTCAATAAATCCTAATGTTGAGTAAATACAAATACAGTTAATACACAGACAGATTACTTTTGCCATTGATCCTAAAGTATAGATTAATATACAATTTCTGATGTCACGCAACGCTGTGTACTAACAATTAATTACTGAAGTGCATACTGACATTATTTTGTTTTATTTCACGATACATATTTTTTATAGTTAGGATAATTAATTAATAGGCAAAATGGCTGCAAAAATGATACAATCACTAACAAGGTATGTTTGACAGAATTAGTAAATATATATTTTTACTTATTTATTTATTTTATGATTTTATCTTGTATTATTCTGTTATTTGCAGTACAAGGTTTTCATGTGATAAATTTTATATTTTGTTACATATAGTATTGCACTTTGGTCTTTTGATTGCTTATTTTAGATTTGATTGACAGACAGAAAAAAGTGAAATAGACTATAGTATTGTTCTTTCTTTAAGCTTTGGTAAAATGAATAAAACCTTATCTAAATACACAGCGTGTTAGTTATCTTAATATTTTATCAGCCTATAGGGCTTTAATCTTAAGTATTATCTAAATATGCCAATTGATCTGGTTTATAAGATCAAGGAATCCAATTCTTGAATGTCAGAGTGACCTTGTAATATTCTACTGCTGTCTTTATTGACCATTTCAGTTACATGATCTGATAAAACAGTCACTTTGGTAAGTGAAGAAGCATGTCATTTTAGTATTACAACATATGTTTTGCAGACTTCTAGTATCTTGGTACATTTTCCTTTATATGATTCAACTCTTAAGTAACAAGCCCCATGAAAATGAGCACCCAAAAATATTCAGAATTTTAGATAAGGTCTCTGCAAGAAACATATTTGCAAAATAATTGAATCATCCATTTTGTGTCTGTTAGCAACATAATCAACTAATATTTTTGACCAATCAGCGAAGGGGATTGTTTCGGACCAATAAAATTAAAGTTCAGCGTTACTTGGAGATAAGGTCACAACAACACAATAGGAGGTTATTCTCCCTCTTATGTCAGGTTGAACAAATTCACCATTTCTAAATCTACTTTAGAAAGTCATTCAATCATGATTTCCTAGTAAGTCTTAATCAATTCAGATCATCTGTACTTTAGTGACAGCTATTTTGTATCCATATGATATGTGATATATGCCATATCCAATGAGCTGACTAAATTCTATATCTCCTACTCAATCCAGTGAGATATCATGTTTGCCTGCTTCTGTGAGTTAGTAGTATGCAACATCTCATAAGAGGAAAAGAAAAAAGATTGATTTAAATTATCGATGAAAATAATTTGTTATAGCAGATGTGACCACAACAATTTGATGTTCATTTTTTCATTATCAGTCTTATAACAGTGATTTCAAAAATAAATAGCTGAGTAAAAGGCATATTCTTCAGGGAGGTATGGATATCTCCCTCAGGATATATCCAATTATCAATTTCAATATTCATATTTTGTATTGTTGAAGTGGCAAACCATTTATACCTACAGTTAGTCGATATTGTACTTTATAGCCGTGAGTCTATCCTTTGATGTTTTACTATTCATTCCATTATTTCTAATATAAATACTTTAATGCAAATTTCTATGACAGATATCCCGTTGGAAGGAAATGTTGAATTGAGAAATCACTGACACCATTAAGTACCACTTGTCTAATTTGCATATGACTTTATTAAGTACCATTTGTCTAATTTGCATATGACATTGGGTATGACTCTGTTCCTCTAATAGGGTTTTATATCCAGGAAGGACCCTTGCATCATATGAACATTTTATTTGTATTTACTTGTACTATGTTTTCGGAAATGGTCCTAATGTTGATAATATACAGCCTAGAGTATGTCTACAAGAAAACACATCCAACTTTAGAAAGTTGGTCTGAAAAAGGGTTGAATTTCCTGGTGATTTATCTTGGAGTAGCTGTGCCCAATTGAGTTTTGAATAGAATACTGATTTAAACTGGTTTGTAAATCTAAAACAATGGGCCCAGGTTATTGAAGAGGCCCTAATGCAAGGACATGATCCATAATCAATTATGTCATCAAAAACTACTTTTCTTTTAAATTTTTATTACTAGTAGTACATAAGTTATGTCAACCCATTCATTATACAGAATTTAATTCGCTATGGCTCATAGGCCCAGTATTTATTTAATGCTGGAACATGAGAATATAGAAGCGGAGAAAATGATACGCTTTATACATGTGCACGCTCTTTGATCACATTGTAACCTATTCAGATAAGCACGTTAAAAATCACTAGAGCAGGATCAATTAATATAGAATAGTTAACATCTGTGTATATTTTATGGAACGTTTAATTGTTGGTTCAGATACAATATTACTAGTTGAGTTAGTTTAGGAGGTAATACACAACATACATAGATGTATAAATAAGATATAGAGAGGAACGTCTCCACCTGCTCAAACATCAGTCCAGGTTATTGACAAAATAGTATTTTCAGATTGAAGTTATTACAAGTCACACAGATGGTACTTGGAGTAAGCCATTTATAGAGGAATGATTCACTTAATATAGGAATATATGATTTAACTTAGTCATCTTGACAATGAACAAAGTAGAATTATTCTGCTAATTGCAATATCAGACATACATGTACATGCCCTGAACCTTCATAAGAACTACTAGATTCTAAGTAATTGTTTGCAATAGTCCCAATTGAGATATATTGGCACGTCTGGACAGGGGATAAGTTGGATTAAATACTTCAGCTGCTAACTGCAATGTTGCGGATAGGAATTAGGGATCTCTCAACGTAGGTAGAATTTGTTATAATGTTTGCGAGGCATATTATATAATCTTTATGAAGTGTGTATCTTTTATCTACAGAGTAGAAATAACTTCAATATTTATTCAATTTTTAGAAACTAAAATCAGTATCAATTATCAATTATGGAAATTTTTCTACTGTTCTAAGAAATTTTTTTAAATTGCCATTTAAAAGAGGTACTCAGGTAAAGCAGAATGCCATTTGAACTTCAAACTCAAATTTGCAAATTCTACATGGTACTATAAAACTTTGAAAATTTTTGAAAAAACTGTTTAATATTTTATATCAACACTACTATCACACTGAAAATGGTAAGATAATGATTTTCAATTCTTCCACTGCATCTAGTTAGAATTTCAGGTGTGTATGCCATACCTGTAATTACTTCCATGTTATCTTAGCTTCTTAACAGAGGAAGCAACAACCCCCTGATGAGGAAACTACTTGCACTTCACTTGTAATTTGTTACTAAGAAATGTACATAATGTTATTGTATATCAGGGAGAAAGGGAGTAAATAATTAGATTTCCAGCTTTAGGAAATAGCATTTTAGCTGTCATCAAAATAACATATATATTAAAAATCCTGGTGTTGTCTTCTTGGAGATTTTGAATAGTTTAAGTTTTAAAACTAATGAATCTTACTGAGGAATTTTGAGACAAAGTCTAGTAGAGATAATATTTGAAATCTGAGTTCAAACTTTTCCAGAAAATAATGATTAGAGAAATTGTAATTCTTATCATCCCCTTTTCACGTATGGTAATTATGTGAATGCCATCATGGGATTTCTTTTAATTTTCAGCACCAGTTCTCACCAAATTACCAATACTACATAAAACAGCTTTGAAATGGACTCTTGTTAAGGATGTGTGTCATGTAATTGTCTGATTGTATTGTTGGGCTGGCAAGCCATAATTATTTTGTATTACGTCATTCTTGACGGTGATCGAGGCTTACGCCATATTGAAATAAACTGGACAAAGTCAGCCAATATATCTCTTAGTGTTATTCGAAATATAACGTAACAGAACAATGTGTAACATTATGCCAATGTATTATTGCGTGAGACATTGTTCATTCAGGAAATGCATCATTTAGGTACTTACCAATCAGGAGGCTTTACAATATTTTATCATTCAAACAATAAAGTGTGTGTACATGTAATTTGTACTTAAATGTAAGCGAAATATTATTTTTTATAATCAACCAAATGTTTGGTCACTGACTTTATTTTTTAAACATTTTATGCTAATAAGTCGATGAAAACATGGAATGAGAATCGAGTTGCCTGTTTTATTATATGAGTTGTATTATGTTTTGTATGAGTTGTCATATGAATATTCTGAGTTGGCCTATGCCTTAAAGATTGTATAAGCTGTGTTATATACAAAGTATGAGATGACTCTTTTACTTTAACAATTGTATGAGTTGCCCTGTATATTCAAAGACTCCTTTGTATCGTGTGGGTTGTTAATGATTTTAAACGGATTCAATCATGGCAAGAACAAAAATCTGAGCTTCCAAAATACATTGTTTCCATTCGAAACGGAAATAGTGACAATAAAAGCAAGCTAATGCTCCATTATCAGGTTACCATACAAATGGCAATTTAACATGCAAATATTGGGATTGCAGTTGATTGTAATAGAAGTTTCCCCCAAAATATGTGCTATGTCATTTACTTTTTTGTAGAGATCAATGGTAGTCTGGCGTAAAACCCTCCCCTTACCTACTTCACAAGGTTGTGTTGTGTGTTTGTGAAGGTGAAGTAGATTTGATGTACATTAGAAAAAATCTAGAAAACTAAATTTCTTATCAAATGCTTCTACTGGAAGACCAGTCATGCTGAAACGAAGACACAATGTCTTCATGCATTTCTAGTTGATCCCTAGTGGCATGGCTCAACTTCTGTTTAATAACCGCAGAATGCCATTTTGAAACCTTGTCTTGAAAAATAATAAAACACTGAAAATAGTACTCAATTTCAGGAAGTTAATAAATCATCTCATATTATGGGAATGTCTCTGGAGACTTTCACCTCCATATCATAACTTTTCTCTTAATGGACCCTTGGCACTTTTAACATTAGTTCATCTGTGAATTGGAGTGGATGTTACATGAAGAATCATTAAGCTTCCACCCTATGGCCAGTGTGGGTTATGCTGTATTGTATAAACCACAAGGATATGATTTATCATGATTTGATTGTCTGCTTCAGCTCATTTTTCCCAATGGGGTTGGTGTTGCGTGTACACTTGAGTAATAATGATATTAGAAGGAATTCAGTTCAGGAGGGACATAGTGAAGCTTGAGTCTTATTCTATCACTTAGTTCGTTCATTTGTTTTGGTAGACAGTAGTTCAAATATCAATGGCCCTATGATAATTATTTTACATGTATGTTATTTAGCAAAGAACGCGAATGTCTATTGCATCCGTTTCTATATAAGTGGTCTACTAATATTTAGTGTATTGAAGTGCTTTAAGCCACAGGAAAAGAATATTGAATTTGTCCAACTCTCATTTATTCTTTATATGTGTTCCAGACATATACAGCACTATATACAGCAACTTATTTCCTTGAATGCATTGTCATAATAATAATAATAAAAACATTTCAAAGAATATTGAATGTAATGTGACACAAGCGCTACACAGGGAGATATGCCGAGTACTAAAATAGTACTCATGGCATATTAGTGCTTACAGAGTACTCATTTCAGTAAATATAAGTACTAAATGAGCACTTATGACATGAGTACCAATTTGTTGCATGTTTTAGTACTAAATTAGCACTCATGACATGAGTGCTCATGAGTGTACTTTTTCCAGAGTGATAATTTAGTACTAATTTTGTACTAATTGAGTAATCGGCATATCTCCCTGTGAATACTCCTGAAAACTAAATCCCTTTGTGAAACTCTTTTCCAACTCTATTCTAACTTGTTCTTTATATATCTGCTTTCAAGGAATATGCCTGCTAGCAGTTCAGGCTACCAGCCCGCCAGATCACACGCCTACACCAAATGGGACACAGAAAAAGATGAGGTCACCGTTGATTACAAAAAGGTCGGAGAAGATGGAGATGGAACTTGGTTCAGTGGACGTAAAGGTGCAATCATCAAGGGCCTTATCGTTATTGTTGTGTTCTTTGTCGGCCTTGTTATTGGCTATGTCATAAGAAGAGGAGTCCACGAAAATAGTTCCAAGCCTAATACACCATGCCTTTATGGTACACCAATGATAAAGGTGAGTATTCTATTGGGTTAGTTATTAACAAGATAAATTATATAAGTTTTACCCCATAATTAAATAGGACTGGGAATGTCTGGAAATACTAAGAAAATTGCTTTAAGTTCAAATATTTTATTCATAGAATAGAGCTTTGATGTGTATATAGTATGGGCAGATTTTTCACTTTTCAAAAAGTCTTTATTATTTGGTGACACAAACTGCTCAGCCAGGATGTAATGCTCTATCTTGCCTGCTGTTAAATGAATAACATTTTACAAATCCACTTTGTATGAGTATGTCTCAAACACATCCAAGTGTGGAATAAAATGTAATTTATGATATCTCTGTTCTGTTCTAGGACTTCTCAGATGATGCAAGTTTTGATCTTGTATCAGGAATAGAGGCAAAGAGCATAGAGCAGGACCTCAAGTAAGTGCTAGAAAATACATCTAGGATTTCAAAAGTTTTATATTGAGTATTGCATTGGATTTCTGATCCTTTCTCAAGTTCCGCTACATTGTTGATGGAACAGAAGTAAGTTGATATAAAGGAAAATTCAGAAAAAACCTACTACTCATCTGCCAATTGTTGACGGACTGTCATCTGTCCGTCAACAATTTTAGGGAAAACTGAAAACTGCCATACATCTGAACAAATGCTCATATCCGTTTTATGGGGCTTCATGCTGGTAATTTACACCATTCATCCAACTCCAACTTTTCCATTAGGTTTCATCCCCATGTGAACCCAAGGAAAAGTACCATTTTGCAAGACTGTTACACTTCAAGATATTGAATTGAACCTTGTATGTACATACATGTATATATACATATATACAGTTATTGTACAGTACTGTGATACCTACCAACTGGAATAACTTTTTAGTCCCATGACCTATACTTAATATTAATAAAACCTCATTAGTGGAACACATTTTTATGGAGCAAGGGTGTTCCACTTACACAGGTTTTACTGTATACTTATTATTTGCCAATTATATCAGTGCATACAGTGGTTATACCCTTTGCCATGCTACCATATTAAATACACAGTAGCTCTCCAATTATATCAGTACATACAGTGGTTATACCCTTTGCCATGCTACCATATTAAATACACAGTAGTTCTCCTTGGATTATCATTTAGGTCTAAGGTTTGATATGAAATTTTGAGATATGAATGAAATTGCACCCCTATTATAAGCCCTTTCATTAAATTACACTACTTGTAAAATATTATTAAATCTAATCAACTTTCATCAATTAAAAAAGTAAACTTTCTCAGTTTACTGTTTGTACCAATCTTGGCTAGATTTTCAGCTGATAATATTATTATTTTGCAAGAATAGGGATTGTGTTCTGACATTTCCTGGGAGGTCGGACGCTAACAAATAAGATATGGCTGATAGGCCACTCTAAATGGATTCTTTTACCACTAGATTGAGTAGACTTGAATCACTAAAACATCAAACACAGAAATTAATTTGCCATTTTCATATCTCTCTCTGATAAATATAAATGAATAATGGAGTTATAAGATGAAAAGAAATGTGTATGAACACTCATATTCTCTATTGTGATGTCTGATATGGACTCGGATAAAAGAGTTTTATATAGAAGTGTTTATGAATGAATTATTTTGTGATGGAGCACTCCAAATCTGGTCTCCATGGCTTCGACGTATAATGTCAGATACACACATCTCTATGGGTATTCCTTTATTTGAATAACCGATTCTGATGTCAATAAATCCTATTCCCATTTGAGCCTCTGACCTTTTGAATTGGCGATAAACGTGAAAAGTTGTTTGTAACATCATTTATTTCATACCCTTACTGCTGAAACACAATCAAATATTTGATATTGTTCATATTTTTTTATTATAAAATGTATACCGATATTCACATTTCCACCCTAATAAAATCACCAGAAGATTTTCTGTTGTCACCACCACAATTGGTGCCACATTGTCATAGTCTCCATCATTTTTGTAGATGGTATTCAGCAACCGGTGTTTGATGGTTGGTGTTCAGTGGTTGGTGTCTGTTACAAATGACAGGTGGTGATATTTTGCATGTTAAACCCTTGTTGTTGTATTATATGACATTGTGCTAACTTTATCTCATTTTAGAGAGTTTACTACAGCTGTTCATATAGCGGGAACTGAGAAGAGTAATGAGCTGGGGGACCTCATTTCCAGTATATGGAAGGAGAACAAACTCATGGAAGTTTCTAAGAAGTCATATGATGTACTCCTGTCTTATCCAGATTATTTGTAAGTAGGGTGTCCTGTATATGGGTTACTTTTGAAATTTGTTTTTTAATTTTTAAATGCCAATAGCTGTAATTTTCATCCTAAATAATCCTAGAATATCTTTTTTTTTGATATATATATTTTTTTATTTTTTTTATTTGATATATATAACTTACAAAATAATGTTACCAATCAATAGATACAGTGACTTGCATATACATTTTCTTTTCTGAAAATGAAAAAAATCTTAGATAATTATAGAAGAGAAGGAAGGAAAAGTTTTGTGATTGTGCTAATGAAATAACTTTTCAAAGTCACTGTCTATTGTTTTTGAAAATTTCATATCGTTATGATTTATTTAGGATGAGAATTGAATATTAGACATTTTAGATATTTTACAAAAAGTAAATTTACATTACATGTATATCATATTTTGAAATGCCGGTTTTTGATAAACAGATAATCCATTTTAACTGAGATGTAATTGTTGTCATAATATGTTTTATGATCACATATTATGAGTACAAAAATGATGTTTGTTCTTTATGAGAAATGTATTTCTTATGAGATGCACACAGAGTTATGTTAGTGTGCTAATAAAATATGCCCTCTAAGTAGAAGTATGACATTTTACATGTAAATAATATGCGCAACAGGTTTATCAGCTCTAACTGAAGTGTTTCTTCCCTTGATGTAACAATACACAACTGTAGTGTAGTTTAAATATCTATATTAACAGGGGCAGATCTGAAAACTGACAGGGGGGACCCAATTTCTGAGCCCCTAAAACCCCAACATTTTTCTGAGCCCTGGGCCCCTCTTCTCAGATCCGACAGTGATGAATTTGGTTGTTTATAGATTGTTTATGCTTAATTGAGCTCATTTATTAAAATGGATGTTTGAGGTTGCTCATCATACTTGCTTACCATGATTTTCAGTGAAAACTTCATGTACCTTCTTAATCCAAGATAGTTTCTCATGGCTATAAACTATATTTGATGCTCAGGGAATGATGCTTTGGCATGTTTCAGGCTTAGTTGTGAACTTTTCCATTCTCTAGGGGTCGTAACTATTTAACGATTCTATTTCAAATAATAGATTTTCTTCTATACTTGTAGTGACAAGCCTAATAAGGTTGAGATCTTGGATGGAGCTGAGGGGGTTGTATACGAGTGTAACACTAAGGCACCACGTGATAGCTTCCATCCAGAACTGAGGCCTTTCAATGCATACTCTCCCAATGGAACTGCACAGGTATGTGACTACATAATATGGGAAATATTTAATTTACATACATTTATCTGAAGAATTATTAACCAGCAGGTATGTGAATACATACGGAAAATGTTTCAATTACATGTATTTTTCTCCTAAAGAGATGGCCAAAACTTTCCCTCTTTAATGATTTTCAAATTTTCACTTGAGTTCAAATAGATTTTTAACTGAATTTGCGGTTTTCAAAAATTTTGCAGAATTTGAGTTTCACTGAAAATTTAATTTTTCCAGTCAACCACCTCATCTCATCTCATATTTGTCACTCACCTTGACACCTTAGACAGTCATTTGTCATCAGAAACTGGAGTTGTGAGGATTTCCATGGAGAATTGTGAAATACTTGTATGTTTAAAAATCTCAAACTTCTGCCTTTTGCACTTAATAAAGATTACATCTAATATATCACGAAATTTGAATTCCCTGGAATTTTGTGACACTTCAGATGAAGCCATTGCAGAATTTATCTTTGAATTCTGTATTTCATGCAGAAATTGGCGCAGAGTTTGACTTTTTCATGCAGAATTTCTGCCCAGAATTTGCATATTTCTCATGCAGAATACGAGGATGTGTGATTGTCACAATTGAATGCCATTCTCTATGGAGGATTCACCGTATACCCAAATTAAAATCTATTTATATCCACTTTTATATTCTATTTCAATATCATATTCTGCCCAGTTTTCTTTGTCAAGGTAGGTGAACTTAGAATTTGCACAAAATCTCTAGGGAAAGAATTTCATTTGTTTGAGAGGAGATTGCTCAGCTGTTTTGGTGTGAGTCTCTCAAGCAATGTTCAAGAAATAAGGCAACAACCACCTTTAATAAGTCTTGCTTCTTAGAATATGATGCTAATAACCATAAGGAAAGACATTGTTACTCTGAGACTTTCATTTGATATTTGTAAGCTTTATTAATGGCCTGAACTGTCTCTGAGGATTACACCATTATTATGGTCCATGATTAGTCAACTTGTTACAAAGTACTTGGTACTAAGCTAATATAATGTTATCCATACTTCAAAGTCATCTATTTATTCTGAATACATTGACTTCAGTCCAAATCTCTTTTTTGTAAGTGAAGTCAATCAAACCAAAAGAAATAATCACTCATCAGATATAATATGAAATATATACCCATATTTAGGTACTTTGACCGGGTGTCACTGATTCCATGTGTGCTTTATTCTATGAATTTGACTCTTTTTTCTAGGGAGAGCTTGTATATGCTAACTATGGACGCCTAGAAGACTTTGCTCATATTGCTTCTAAGGGGGTGAATATCTCTGGAGCCATTGTAGTGATGAGATATGGCAAGATATACAGAGGAAATAAGGTTAGTCAACAATTTTACGTCATGTTCAGTTTTCTTACACAGCCACTCTACATCCATGTGGAACTTATGCTGCAAGGATCCAAGTGGATTTCATGTAAAAATCCTTGTAGAATCTGCATGATCAGATTGGGAGTGTAAATGTTTGATTTTTATTCAGTTTTATAAAACGAAATGCAGTGGCTTATCTTCTTTAAAGACCTCACTTTAGAATGATTTTTCGTATTTCCTAACAATGTGACAAATAACTCAAACACAAAGAACCATTTATAGCATCAACTCATCCTTTGTCCAATGGTATTTCAATTTATTCCAAGAGCTGGGACAGTGAATGCCCAATCTTGAAGGATGACATCAACTATTATCCTCGGTCTCTTTGTGTCATTTAGATTGATCACTGGTCAGAATATGTAGCAGGCCAAAAGTAGTTTGTTCACCACATACAACACGATTGGTTAACATGTAAATGTTAATCATATACAACTTAAAACATATTTTCAGAGAAATTATTACAAACTATTCACCTTCACTATTTAAAGAGATATTCAGGTACAATAACTTACTATCAGATGCACAGAACTTTTCAACATGTAGAATTTAAAAATATCCAGTTCTATATTTTCAAGATGAATTCACAACATTTCAATGCTGAAATTTTGGTCATTGCAATATACAGTAAAGTTATAAACCCGTGACATGCAAGTCCATGGATCTACTGGTGAAATTGTTTTTACAGCAGCTTTCCCTCAATACAAAATGAAGAGATACAAGATCGTTGGGGAAAAGTCAATGATTTTAATCAAGCAACACCATTAATCAGTGTTAAAGTGGATCACAAGCTTATGTATCCCTGGGAATATCTATGAAGAATCAAATTAGGGGGATGCAGTCACCCTCAGAAAAGATTTACTTGACTAGCCATGCATCAGATAACAGCCTGCGATCAAATGAGATTTTTATCACTTGATTTATTGAAGTATTTTGCTTCCCTTGATAAAATTAATTAATGAATTATCAATCTCTGTCATACTTGTACGTGATAATATACATCCCACTTGGTCCCGAGACATGTAAAATGGAGTTCAAATAGGTAGACAGATGAAACTCTCTTTTAAGGAGGTAAAATCAAAATATTGAAAATGGAATAATAACTTGAAATTAAGTCATAATATCAATTTTTATATATTTTTCAGGTTCAGCATGCAACTGATCAAGGGGCTATAGGAGTTATATTGTATTCTGATCCAGAAGACAAAGCCATGGACCCTTCTAAGCTATACCCTAATGGGTGGCTTATGCCTGATTATGCTGTTGAGAGGGGGTCTATCTTGCCTAGTATTACTGGAGACCCCTTAACTCCTGATATACCAGCAGTTTGTAAGTATAATTGCACTTATTCTATGAATCCGTTCATTTCAATAAATAAAACCAAAGGCAGGCCTGTAGCCACGGGGAGGGGGGGGGGTCTTTCAACATTTTGAACCATTTTGATTTTGGGCCAAAATTGTTAAATTTGAATCCCCTGGAATTTCCAAAAACTGAGCTTCCTTTGGCAAAAGTATTATATTAAGATGTTTTGAATAAAGGTTCTTTGTACTCTGTAATACAGGGTTTTACATGTATTTTTCAGCTGGTGCATACCGTCTTCCAATCTCTAAAGCAAACTTGCCCACCATTCCAGTGCAGCCTATTTCATATAAAGATGCTTATGCCTTGTTAAGGTAAGTGTTACCATTGATTTGTCTCCACATCAAATAGCATTAGCATGGTGTAAAAAACATCAGCATCAGCATATTATATATCACTATGGGATGAGCAAAAGTCTGTATGAGTGCTATATACATGTGCCTAATATGTTACAACTCATGTAATTTTCCTCATAAAAATACCTGTTATACATAGTTATACACAAATGTTAGGAATAGTGGTTGATAAAATCGATGCAATATCTCAAATAATTATTTGATAATTTCATTACAGTAAGATGTCAGGTCCGGCAGGCCGAGAAGATTTCCAGGGTGGCTTTAACTTCTCATACAACATTGGACCCGGGTACACCCAGCAGTATACTAACTGGTAAGAACTGAACTTAATACAACATACATGTAGAGATTAGAATCATATTTTGGTAGTGTTGACTTACAGTTTTTAAGAATATTCAACTGTTTTAAAAGGTCTGATCTGCATAAAGCTAGTTCACATGGCATTTTTATTAATATGATATTAACATTTTACTGTTATTTTCAGGACTGTCAAACTTGAGGTAAACAATAAACTAGAAATGAGGAAAGTTACAAATATCATAGGTGTCATCAAAGGAATTGTTGAACCAGGTTAGTATAATATTATAATGAAACTGGGGTGTGTCAAAAATCAATGAATTATTTATTAGGTGTAGTAATTTTGAATTTCATGCATTTTCAGTTTTTTAATGTGTGACATTTCCAGGGCAAAAATATCAATATTTATCCGATGGATACTAAATATATATGGGGATACCAACACAAGATGATTCTCGTATACGCCACTAAAATCGTATCCGATCCATATGACGTGATATCCAATCGTATCCGACGGATACTATTTTAAAAAATATTTTGAAAAAAAATATTTGAAATATTTTAAATTTTGAAGAAAAAAATTTGAAAAAATTGAAAAAAAAAATTGAAAATTAATTCGGAAAAAAGTTTGAAAATTGATTTATAGCAATAAAAAAAATGAAAAAAATTGGGAAAAAATTGAAAAAATATTTAGAAAGAATTTGAAAAGTTCCAAGGTTATATGCTCAGTAAAAATGAGTTACATTTTTTCATGCAATCATTTTATAAAAATAAGGTCACAGAAAATAAAATGAAAAAATAGAATAGAATTAGAAAACAACAACTTTAGGTCAAATTATATGAAGTCCATAAAAAAGTAGCGACCATCGGATGAATATGATATCCTATGATTTTCTCGGCTCTCATTTTTATCCACTCTTGGATATCGCCGATCTCCACTCATTCGATGCGCTCACTCGTGGAGATGAGCGATATCCACTCATGGATAAAAATGGTATCCCTCAAAAATCATAGCATATCCTCTATTTACTCAAAAAATATTGTTATTTATCCCATATTCTCTGCCGAAATTTATTTCACTCTTTCACCACTATTGGAATAAGATATATAGATATGGGATTAATATATTTTACATACATTTGTCTATGAACAGTCTTTTGTGGTCATGATTTTGATTATGATGTCACCATCAGAAGTAAGTGATGACATATTGTTACAATGTCAAACTTTTTGGTGGATCGGGTTGGTGTTCGGCGTTCTGCATCTGTCACAAATGGCAGGTGGTGACATTTTGCCTGTTAATGCCTTGTTTTATATTGTAAAAAATGGTGATATATCAATTACACTTTATAATTCCAATTAATTAAAAACCTATTTTAGATCGCTATGTTATTGTGGGTTGCCATCACGATGCTTGGACATATGGGGGAGTAGATCCAAACACTGGAACAGCCCTTATGTCACAGTTAATAAAGTCATTGGGAGAAATTGAAGATGAAGGTAAGATGTTCTGTTAATTTATAGGTTAATATACAATTCAAAGATAACTTTGTGTTAAGACTTTCTGGAAATTGTAACTGTTGATGGTACATGTAGATTCATTTTGAATAATATTTGAACTAAATTGCTTTATCAGGGGTTCCAAATTGATAAATAAAAATATATGTTATTTCTTCGTTCAGTATAACAAGAATACACATCATAGACTGCATTTTATTACCCACGGTTGCTCTTACTTATCCAAGTGTAAATAAATTATTTCACTAATGGGAGCTAATTGTGATCCCATAATTCTCCATACATGCCCCAACCATAAATTCACTGCTGATTTAAAATCCCCGAGATTAGACTAAATCAATAAACACAATTAAATAAATACTACGTGTACAGTTTTTTTATTTGGCAAAATAACGCATCATCGTCTAACCTTGTAATTCAGTCCAATAATATTTTGATATGAAGATTTCATTAATTGATTTATAGCTTATATGAAACAACTATGTGGAAAAACAATCAATTTATGGAACTTTTGATAAGAATAAAGACAATGAGGACACGGAGTCACGTAACATCATGGGGATGTTTAGTTCTTGTGTGTTTGTTTCTTTTCATCTGCTGGATTAACATGGTAATCAAGCCACATACAGGTCAAATAATAAAAGCGAGCATCGATGTTGATATTGGATGCTGGAATAAAGACTTCAGGAAGATTATTGGAAAAAAGTTTTTCCGCTGTCGTAAAGGTGTTACACCATGGACTAGAGATGATGTCATAAAGGAGTTAGAAGTATTCAGAGATGTTTATGATAAGCGTCCTGAGCAGAATGTGTTTGGTACTGAAATCATGCAGCAGTTCACACTATGGATGATTATACGCCAACTTAACCCATTGTACATTATTGAAAGTGGAGTGAACTTTGGACTCGGGACATGGATGTTAAGGCAGGCAGCCCCTCTTGCCAGACTCATAATGATCGATCCCCGTGAGACTGATAGACTCCGTTATAAAGACCTCATGTATAATAGTGTCTACCTTCACGGAATATCACATTTTAAAGATTTCTCCCAGGTTAACTGGACTAATTACATCAACAACAGAGAGAAGACTCTAGTGTTCTTTGATGACCATCAGTCACATTATAAACGCCTTAAACAAGCCAAAGATCTCGGTTTCAAACATTTGGTATTTGATGACAATGGCCACCCAACGAAGGGTGACGTGTATTCTATAAACCATGCATGTGATGCTGGACGCTGTATCACAGATAGGATAGCACCACAGTCTAAACATACAATTGTGAAGGACAACTTTGGTACAGCTGAAGAAGCCATAACTGCTGATGATGCATTAGAGATGGCTCAGTACATTCATGACTCCATTGAAATATACTATCAGTTCCCTCCATTGTGGCATATATTCGACACAACCAGAGTACAATATTTGCTGCCACATAAGATATCCTACAAGATCAATCCTATCCCTTTGATGAACTTGAAGCAGGCAAAGCTGTACCAGAAAAACTTTACTCAGAAACTAAACATTGATGATTTAACTTCATATACAAATATGTGCTATGTTAAATTGAAATAGATATTTGGAAATGAAATACTGTGAAATCGGTTTAACCAGTATTTGAACATCTTTTATATTGAGATAATGGGCACTGTTCATGTTTTAACATCAAATACTCATTCAATGACATTCAGAAATACTCATTCAATGACACATAGTGCCAACAATAAACTCCACATTGCCTGCTTAAATCAGCATGGGGTATATTTGAACGCTTTTTAACACTTTTTAGCAGATTTTAATTAAGAGTTTTACTTTGTAGCTAGGCTTTTAAGGGTCAATTAAACTTTTTAAATATACCAATGGAAGCACATAGTGTTCTGTATGATGTTTATATAAGTGTGCCTATATAAGCAGGTAAATGTAAATCTCTATTTAGAATGGGATCAATTGTACCTTTTTATATTAAAAAGCTTTAATGTATAAATATATAAATGTTAATTTAATCTGTGTTTACTCTCATTTATTGTTCAGATACATGTAGTGAATACTGAAGACAGTCTGTTGATATAGGAGTTATTAGTACACAATATTCCAACATTGCACATCATGGAAAACACTCATTTTTCTTCTACTCACTGATATACATGAAAAGGAGTTAAGATTTTGATGTTAGAACTATTCTTTTAGTTAAAAAAAGTATTTCGGGTCTGAATACTGAAATAAGAAAATAAATATTTTATATATGCTGGAAATATACTTGTACCAAAAGATTTTAGTGCAGAGTGGGTAAATTACATTTTACTCTTCAAAGTGCAATGTTTATTACAGTGTGTCTTGTTATTTTAGACTGGCGGCCAAGACGTACATTGATATTTGCAAGTTGGGATGCAGAGGAGTTTGGCCTGATTGGATCTTATGAGTGGGTAGAAGATAACATGAAGCAGTTGGCCTCTAAGGCTGTGGCTTATATAAATCTAGATGGTGCCATCAGAGGTATTATTTTCCTCCTATTCAACTTTGTCAATGAGGATCCTCAAGTGTAACGTCAATGTGTAACCTCAGGTGTAACGTCAATGTGTAACTTGATACTAATTGATCAATAACATCAATAAACATAAACACAAAAAACGTTGCTATTATGTAAACAGTGATATAACATATGATGTAAAAACAGAATTATAGCAAATAGATATGTTACAAAGAAACAACAAAAAACATCAATGTTGTTTATTATCCCATCGAACGAAGTTCGGAGGGATATAGGGAACGCCTCCGTCCGTCCGTACGTACGTCCGTCCGTACGTACGTCCGTCCGTACGTACGTCTGTCCGTACGTACGTCCGTCGGTCCGTCCGGGCAATAACTCAAATACCGTTGGCCCGATTTTGTTCATATTTTGTACACATATACCCTATGGGGGTAGAAGTTCTGCTCGAAAGCCGATTTTCAAAATGGCCACTCATTTCAAAATGGCGGCCATTTTAGTGCCGATTTTACAGTAATTTAGGTGCAATATGTAAAACTGTAATAGCAATATGTTTTAAAGGTAAAAAAATTATAAAGGACATTAATAAAGCTACAAATGTAGATATTAAAAAAGCACATGGCAGCCATCTTGAAAAATGGCGGCCTTTACTCGTTATTTTACGATTTTTGCCATAACTCGAAAAGTAGTGGAGCGATTTTGTTCATATTTGGTATGTGAATACTATAAACATTGCACACTGTCTAAAGACACTTTTGGTAGAAGGCGGCCATTTTGAAAAATGGCCGCCATTTTAACGTTTTTTACTATAACTCGAAAAGTAGTGGAGCGATTTTGTTCATATTTGGTATGTGAATACTATAAGCATGGCACACTGTCCTATGACACTTTTGGTAGAAGGCGGCCATTTTAACATATTTTACTATAACTCGAAAAGTAGTGAAGTGATTTTGTTCATATTTGATATGTGAAAACTCTAAGCATGGCACATTGTCTAATAAAACTTTGGGGAGTAGTCGGCCATTTTGAAAAATGGCCACCATTTTTATGTGTGTTATTTTACAAGTACATGTGTGCGATTTTTCAAAAATTTTATAGGTGGCTTCTTAAAAGCATATTATTTCTTCTGATGACAACTTGGCTAGTGAGCAACCATTTTGAAAATGGTGGCCTTTCTGGTGTGTTGTTTTATGATATTTGCTATATATTTCGTTTGTAAAAATGCCAGCCATTTCTGTTCGATGGGATTCGCTACGCTTTGGCGTTGCCGTTGTTCTGGTTATTACATTCTCTAATGCTGACATACACTGTAATAATGGAATATTATCTCTGTGTATTTATTAGGTAATTACACATTCACAGCAAGTGCCAGTCCACTTATGCGTCATGTTTTGTATGACGCAACCCGCGATGTGCTCTGCGCTGACCAGGACCACCCCGACATGTCTGTATATGAAATGTGGAAGATGCATGATCCAGTTAACAGCAGCGATCTCCACACATTGCCAAAGTAAGGAGTACCTCCCTGCATTGTATCTCGTAGATGCTATTTACACGTTTTTGCTTTATAATATAGTTAAAGGATCCAGGACTTTTATAGATGGCAGTTCACACTAATTTTCTCTTGTGGGTAGTTGTCACATATGTCCCATTGGTTTATGTGTAAATATTGCTGTCTTAAAATCCCAAATGCACTGCTTAAATCAAATTTATATCACATTTTCTCATAATGATTACAAACATGTTTTAAGTTTCAATATCATGAGACCTTGGATATTTTTATTGAAATTTAATTTAGGAGATTTTTGAAGCATTTTTACATGCTAAAGTAAAAGCCAATGAATTTTTCGCCATCTATTGACAGTCATTAAAGCCATTGGTTTCAATGTTTAGTTTCAATTTTATGTTTAGTCATATTTTTAAGCCTTGTTAGTTAATGAAGATTTTAATTTTAAAAAGTACATGATGAAGATGAATAAAACAGAAAAGGGCATATGTTAAAGAAATCTTTGATTCTGTTATTTTAGGGTGTCTTTAATTGGATCTGGTAGTGACCAATCAGCATTTGTCAATACATTGGGTGTGCCATCGCTCTGGCCTGTCTACAGACATAACTTCAAAGTAAGTCGCAATTGGCATTTTTTATAAAGTGGGAGCAGAACCATCAGCTTTTACCATATTCGCAGATTATATTATAAATGGTTGTGTAAGAATTACTTTGAAAAAATATTTATTATGGTTTTTGAAGATATGTTAAACCTCAGTCACATTTGCTCTATTGTGGCCCTAGCTTCACAAAATCGATATAGAAAATCCATATCTATATCGTATTGCTTATTGATATCATATCCCTATATTTTATGATGCATATTTTTTTTCTCTTTGGGAAGCTACAGCCGCTGTACCGTAGCCTTGATCAAATTTGACTAAAGCCTGAAGCATTGCTATTTGAATGTTCTTTTTAGGCCTACCCATTCCAAACTCCACCTGCCTACCACACTTCTCTCGATACTTATCGTTACGTGAAAAACTTTATTGACCCACACTTCATGATCCATGAGACAATGGGCAAAGTTGTTGCAGAGATAGTGCTGAGACTGGTGGATTCTGCTAAGCTTCCTGTAGATGTTCGAGACTATAGGGATACTGTTTGGAAAGCTTATAATGACACTAAAGATCAATATGCAAGTCATCTTAACAATAAAAACATCAAATTAGGTAATTTAATGACATTTTTTCACATGAGTTGATTTTTGCATTAGTTCACAAAAGTGTACAAATGATAAACTGCCAAAGTTTCATAAAACATTAATTTTATTTTACAATTTAATGAAATCCTGATTAATACTGTGAATTTTTATGTGGATCTGTGTTATCATTTTTTGCTTTATACCCAATGATTGGTTAAATGTTCATGTACATTTAGTATTTAGTCATCTCAGTTATTATGTCACGCTTTCTATTGCAAATGATTTTTTACATTGATTGAATATTATCTGTCATTGTAGATGGTCTGTATTCTGCTGTCAGAGAGTTTGGTGTAGCTGCAGATATGTTTGCCATTAAATATCAGAAACTTTCTATCACTAAGTAAGTCCTTTCCTATGATCCAGGGTATGAGAAAATGTAAGATATGCGAATGTTAATGGTTATGTATGGTTATTTCAATTTCACCATCTTTGTTTTTGATCGGAAATCACCATCAAATGAACAACAATTTGTTGGAAGTTAACTCATACGTTGAAGTTACAACATAACATAATGAAACAAAATCAGAAACTTTTGCACTCATTAATCAGATATGAGAATTGTGATTTTGAAGAACACATTGTTGAGTAACAGATTGCTTCTAACATTTTACACATATCTTTTGTTGCCCCTTGTAGTATATATTACTAGTTAATAAAAATGAAACAATTGTGTTGCAGAACTCTGGAATTACGGAGGCGGAATGACCAAGTGATGCTATTATCAAGGGCATTTATTCTCCCTTCTGGCCTGCCTGGCAGACCTCAGCTCAAGTAAGCTTTACCTCATGACAACATGACAGTTGTCATGACAACATGACAGTTGTTATGATGACATGACAGTTGAAGAATGGAATTGTAGTAAACAAGTTTTTGATTCACCCCCTGCAGGAGTTTAACTCCCAAAATATGAAATATTTGGAACACACCAAGGGGCTGTGTACCAGGTTTCAGAAAAAGGGGCACAAAGATTTCAAAAATTTGCGAACTCTTCGAGATTTCACAAATGTACAGTATGCTTTTTCAATGTAAATTGAGGGTTTTTAACAGTAAATTTTATTTCCTGACATGATTCATGAATAATTTGTTCATTTGGGACATGTTTTCAAAATTTGAAATAATGAATATTTGAGACTAAAGAATGTGAAGATACATTCGATATAACTCATCGATGAATATCTAATGATGTTTCGACCATTGCTTTGTAAGAATGAAAACCAACAAAAGATGTCACCTTCATATGACATACATATTAGGAGCATTGAATAGGAATATAATGCTTAATGAGTAGGCTAGTTCATTAGTTAATATCATTATTTGATGCATTTCAGGAATCTATTGCTTTCACCAAGCTCATACAACACATATGGTTCCTCCCTGTTCCCAGGCCTATCAGATACAATCTATGAGGCAACTACATCAGGGGATTGGGAACCAGTGAAACAACAGCTCTCAGCGCTTATCATAGCTTTACATTCCGCCAGAAACATTCTCAGTGAGGAAACTCTACCCTAGTTATTACGATGTTGATTTCATGTGGTACATCACTGCTGATTGACAATCGATGATAAATAAACGCCTGCAGGACTTGAAAATTCCTCTTTGTGTCATTGGTATGGTAAGGTCAAGTCAAGGATACCGAAATGTATTGTGCATAAAGGAGAACTTTCCATATATGATTAGAGACTTAAAAATTGGCATATTCACTTTATCTGAGTTTCCAGTTTCCTATCTGATGTATATGTGCAGGTCATATACAAGTTAGCATCTTAATTAATGAAGTGAGCTGATTTTATAAATCTTGCTCCTTAATGTGTATTGCACAACAATGTGGCAACAAGATTGATGGAGTTGCATCTATTAGCTTGTGGCAGTGACACAGTGTCACAACACTGTCCAGGCATTAGTGTAAAAAACAATTTGTCATTCCTTGAACATTCATCTTTTAAATATTGTACATTTAGACTGTTGATGCTGGCCATTTTGTCAATTTGAAAGAGATGTATGTACAGTATATAGTAATTATTAGTCAAAGTACAGTAAAACCTGTATATTCATCTGAATGCTTTCTCTGGTCTTCTACCTTTTTGTCCAATTGAACTACATGTTTAAAAAAATTGAAATATGAAATCATTCAAACACTTTTAGCTGGTACCAGTGGTTTTCAGATTGAACATGTTTTACTGTATTAATATGCTTATATTTATTATTAAGTACTCGTATCATATATGATGATGTAATATTTTGTTCAAAGGTAATTACTTCCCTAAATATGAGTGAGAACCAGTTTTTACATTTCTAAAACTGCCTTATAATCTCTCTGAGGCGTCAAGAGATTAAACTGAGTACAACTTATGGTTCTTTATCCACCAATTAAAGAAAATAGAAGGAATGTGGAGTTTAAAATTTTCGGATGCAACCTTACCAAAAAATCATGTCATCGTTTTCCTTACAATCCTTAATTTTTCTTTCTGAAAAAAGAATTGAGATATTTAATCAAATATAATTACAGATAGTGTTTATTGAAGATTTAAGATGCAAAAATGTCCAAAATTAGAAGATCCTTTAAATCATGAAACAAGGAAATTGTTTGGAGCTGAAGTACAGTTATACCATGTAATTTATCAAAAAACTTGATATTATTTTAGAACTAATAACTCAGAGAAAGAGAAAAATATTTTTGTTAATTCATTCCATTTTGATGTTAAATTTTGCGTTCATATTTTTAGTTTCTTTTGAATGTTGTAACATGTGAACGTTTTTGATATATTGTCATTATAATGCTTCCAAGTTTTTTTGCAAAGCTGCTAATCATGTACAAATTGCTAGTTTCGTTTTGAGTAAGCAAAATTGTACATTCACAAGGAAATAAACAATTGTGTATTCGACGCTATGAATGTTATTATTGTGGTAGAACACAGTAATTTGATATGATATATAATTATATGTACAGCATATAAATGTACATATATTTATATCATACAGCATATGTTTATGTAATATGTATATGAAATATGATACATTTTAGAAAGGATGCCATAATTGTTCATACATGTGTATTTATATGTAGTAACATGACTCACCAGTATTCATTTATGATCGTTAAGAGTAAGAGGGTCTGTCACATGAGTGTGTTTTATGACTACAAGGTTCTATCATGTCAATATATGAGGGTCTTTAATATCAAGAACAGTAAGTGTCTGTTATGATCATAAGGGGACTATCAATTAAAGAGTGCATGTACATCTGTATTAATACACATGCCACCTTTGTTTTTAATATTTTTTATTTCAGAAATGTGAATGTTTATTTGCTGTGTATATTGCAAGGAGTTTAAACCAATAGTTGTACATAGATTCGAGATAACAGATATATGAGACTCTTTTTATGACACCACCTCAAGTTGTGAAATATTGTTATAGTCTCCAACATTTTTTGGATGGTGTTTGGTCTCTGGCATTTGGCATCTGAAAAAAGGCAGGTGGTGACATTTTGTATGTTGATGCCATTTATTACAGTGTGTTTCATTTTGGATGTAAATGATTCTCAGTTGTTTTATGATATTTACTAAAACATTCAAGTTGATATAATGGAAGATTGATGATCTGTATATTTAGTATTGATATTTAAAATCTCAAACAGTGATCTTAAAGCTATGTGTGATATACAGTCTAAGTCTAAAGCACAGCCAAAGAAAATGGCAGATGAAGTATTACTGGTTCATATTTTGTCTTAAATTGTATGTCAGACTGTGAACATAAAGCTGTGTATTATTCAGCACAGGTAAGTTGTTAAACATGTGGAAAATATTATATTTATTGAGTTCCATTTCTATTGTCGTCATGACAAGTGGTGAATGGTGTTCAGTAGATGCTGTTCAGTGTCTGATGTGGAGTGGTCAGCATTTGGCATCTGCAACAAATGGCAGGTTATGACATTTTCCATGTTGATGCCTTGTAGTTCATTATACTTGTCACTGGTGCTGCACTCTTACAGTAGTGACATCTTTATGAGAAGCAAAACTGAATCCTCGCTTCGTTGATAGGATGTTTTGTATATTTATTGTTTTGTTTACAGCAATTGTATTGTACATATTTAAGGGGGAGGGGGGTAGACACATAGTTTGGAATTAATTATTTCATGTAAAAATACACCTTACTACAATTTAAACAATAAAGTGACTCTCCTCCAATTTATTTATGTACAGTACCTGTATTTGGAATTGATACCTACATGAAGAATCTCTTAATTATGACCAGATAGGACTACATGTACCAGGTATATGGCTTCTTGCCTTCATTTGTATACATATATCATGTATATATGTACTTTACTCATCCATATATTCATCATTTTAAATTAATATATATTCAATATACTCATAAATATAAGCTAAATGCAACATAAAACTGAATTTGTACATGATAGAATTTTATTCATCTCCCTCACACTAATACTTAATATATACAAGTTGTATTGTATCATGCACTAAGAAAAATAGTTTACATCATTTATAACTGTACAGTATATAACATTGCATATTTTTAGTGATCTATGAATATGAATGTGGCATAAAATATTTTCATCTCCAGAGAGAGAGATCTTACACATTCATATTCTAAATATATAAAATATGTGGATTACAATTAAATGATTTGCATGTTTGACAAAATAAAAGTTCAAAAGAAAAAAGCAATACTATTGAAGACTAAAATATCCATACATTTTAAAAACCTTTTTAAGGTTGACTTTTGAAGCTTAGCTTCCTTGCTTTTGAAGTTACAGAAATTGCATATTATATTAAAGTTACGTAACCTGCATTGTCCTTGTACACTATCATGAGATTTCATTACATCACCGGTAAAGCTTTTAATATGATAGTGTTTTTATTTCACATACTCTGGAACACTATCATGTTGTTACTGACCAGATCTTCTAAGGGGAGCCATCAAATCTCCCAACTAAATATATATGTGGTTGCGAGGTTTTCTAACTCAAATGAGTGTTTAGCATTCCATTGATGTACAATCAATATTTAATGTGTTTCAAGCTTTCCATTGATATATCAACAGCTTCTAAATGGGTTTCAAGCTTTCAAATGGTATACTACTCTTTTTGAGTTGACACTTTTAGGATTATGACTACAAGTTTTAGCTCATGCAAAAAAGCTTAGGCCATAAGAAGTAGATTCTTTGTTTTGCGTCCCCTTGCTTGCACGATTTTGAGTAAATCAGAAAAAACAAACACATTCATAGCAATCACAAGGATCTGAATCAGACGTCAATCAGAATCAGACGAAATGGCAGATAATTTGATGTGCATCAAAATTGACAGTGGTATTAATAAGTTTGGCATACATAGTGTATTTTCTTATTTTTTACCCTTGAATAATAGCTATGTTTAAATATATTATATAAATGTATAGATATGTGTTTGTTATCACTACAAATTGGTATGTCATCCCTTTTTATGCCCATAAAATGTATACAATTCTCAGCAAACAAGTTTGTGTTTTTTCTTGAGTTTGTGTTTGTTTTCCTTGTACCCTTGTATGATTTTGATTTTGCCAGGACGCAAAACAAAGAATCTACTTCTTATGGCCTTAACTGTTCCTTACCATGGTTGGCATTTAGGCATTGGAGTTACCTGTTTGAGTAGCATTCCATTGGGGTAGACTTATCCTTTCATGCCCTCAAATTAGTCCTACCTGTGTTATAAGTATATACTAATACATATTATATGCATTGCACTAATGTAATGAGTATGTATCAACTAATGGTATTGGCTCTTCATTTTGTTACCATGGCAACTAAAATCAAAATGTTGTAATAGATTGTTGTCCATTGTGTTTGGTATTGAAAAATCATATGATATTGTGCAATAGTTCTCTGAAGGGTGATTATCATATATATAATAACCATCATTCTCTTGTGGTTCCATCATTGTGCGCAATGTGAATGAACTTCCGATTCCAATAGTATCAACTGATCACGATTACTTATATAGATGCGAGCTAATGAATTTGGTATTTAATTAACAAACAATAAATGTGTTTAGTTCATCATAAGCTCTTCTTTACATATGTGATCCTTGCAAGCCTGACAGAGTTCTTTGTCATGTTGGTTTCTTGGTTTTCCAGTCCGTCGGTCAACACGCAGAGGAGGTCTGTCAAACCCATAATACACCTGGCCTATCCTGTTGTACACATTACCCAGAACCTACAAATTAACTTTTTGATTTAACATGTAATAACAATTGAGGGTAAGGATGGTGAACAATTGACACATCAAGTGTGTTATTCTTTTCGGTCTTTTTATTCAAGGCTCTCGCCACTACACGCACCTATTGGAGCACATGTACATACACTGTAAACTTGATGCAATAACCTGGTTAATTGGACAAGTTCGAATGTTTTTCTCTGGTTTTCAGATGTTTCCCTTTGTGTCCTCTGATCAAAGACAGGAAATGAGTAAGTAAAGGGTGATCCAAAAATACTTTAACATTTTTTACTCATTTCTCATGTAAATAATTCTTTGGAAGCAAACACAAATTGCTTCCAATTTGGGAAGCATAATATTCTTATTTTTTATGTGTTCTTTTTTAGTGTTATCTGAAGATTTTGCTTATTTTGGACCACCCTTTGCATTTGCGTTAAAGTTACCCTGCGCACAGAGTCTAGTTATAAGATGAAGCTCTCTTTTAAGAAGCTAGGTTGAATGGATACAAAGGGTATTAAGTATTGTTTTACCTTTATAACCTCTTCTGGGTACCACATGGCATGTTCATAGCTTCCATTTTGACATCTCCTACACTGCTGACCATAGAGCTTGAACATCACCCACCCGTGGCTTGGACTGTATGGCGATGTATACATATTGTACCAGAACACAACTCGACCTTTCATTGATGTCCATCCATGTCCGCATTGCTACAACAAAATGGAGGTCCATAAAATGAAAGTATTTTCATGTGATGATGACCTCATCAAGTTACCTCATCAAAAAACCAAGGTTTCCACGGAGCAATAGATTGATGAATTAAGTATATGGATGTACATGAACTTTGGTCATCAAAACTGTACATTGACTGATCGTGCATGAAGCCACCCCACCCCCACCCTCTTTTGCTATAGTCAAGTATATTGAAAGCAGGGAGGTAAATCAATGCAAGGGAGACATTGAATGTGAATCTGGAGCCTTGAATTAGGCAAATGTATTAATTCACATGCTTTTACAAAAAGGCATTAGAAAATGAAATGTTGCATTAAATATATGAAATGCACTCAAACATATGAATTTAATAAACATAGGTAACATATTATATATAAGCATGATTCCTGAATAATAAATATTAACTAACATGCAATGGTTCTCCCAAGTGATTAGAATTGTCATTCTTCCCTACCATGCAATTTTGATATTTTTATAATAAGGGGATGTTACATGTTGTATTGAGCAAATGTAACTTTATACCCCATAACTTCCGATTTTGAACAACTGAGATAAAGCTTCATTTTCATACTTTCCTATTGATCATAAGATGTATATGGACAGGGTATAGATATTCACTAAAGAGATTCAGTGGTCAGGTTACCCTAATCCATAGAGAATGTTCTCCGTTACAATACCCAAATAATGTTGATGTTTCATTTCTGTGGCCCAGAGACACCATCATTAGACAAGTTTTTTCAGGTAGTGAAAGTAACAACATTTTCGTCTTGAGTAGATGTTAATGTATGGGAAGAGGACTAGCTATTTATGAAGATGGATTAGAGAACTATGTTTTGTGAAGATGAGGTAGCCAATACCAATACCAATATTAAGTATTTTGAAGGTTGGATATATGATTAGATATTACGAAAGTGGGGTAGGGGACTCGGTATTATGGAGGTGGGGTTGAAGACTAGGTAAAAGATGGGGTAGAGGTAGATAACTAGGTATTATAAAGGGGGGGGGGGCTAGATATTATGTAGGTGAGGTAAATGACTAGGTACATTTGAAGGTGGTGTAGAGGACTGTATTTTAAAGTGGGGTAGAGGACTAGGTAGAAGGAGGGGTAAAAGCCCGGGGGTAAAAGAATAGCTACTATGAAGGTAGGTGACTAGGTATTATGTAGGTGGGATAGAAGACTATGTATTATCATGGGCATTCAATAGAGGGGGGTAGATGACTAGGTATTATGTAGGTGGGATAGAAGACTATGTATTATCATGGGCATTCAATAGAGGGGGGTAGATGACTAGGTATTATGTAGGTGGGATAGAAGACTATGTATTATCATGGGCATTCAATAGAGGGGGGTAGATGACTAGGTATTATGTAGGTGGGATAGAAGACTATGTATTATCATGGGCATTCAATAGAGGGGGGTAGAGGACTAGGTATTATGTAGGTGGGATAGAAGACTATGTATTATCATGGGCATTCAATAGAGGGGGGTAGATGACTAGGTATTATGTAGGTGGGATAGAAGACTATGTATTATCATGGGCATTCAATAGAGGGGGGTAGAGGACTAGGTATTATGTAGGTGGGATAGAAGACTATGTATTATCATGGGCATTCAATAGAGGGGGGTAGAGGACTAGGTATTATGTAGGTGGGATAGAAGACTATGTATTATCATGGGCATTCAATAGAGGGGGGTAGATGACTAGGTATTATGTAGGTGGGATAGAAGACTATGTATTATCATGGGCATTCAATAGAGGGGGGTAGATGACTAGGTATTATGTAGGTGGGATAGAAGACTATGTATTATCATGGGCATTCAATAGAGGGGGGTAGAGGACTAGGTATTATGAAGTTGTGGTAGAGGATTAAGTAGAAGGTGATGCAGAGGTAGAATATGTATAGTGAAGATGAAGTAAGAGAGCTATGAGGAGCTAAGTGAAGTGGACGACTAGTACACGGTGTAAAGGACTTGGTAATTTGAAGGTGAGACGAGGGGCAATATATTATGAAGGTACACATAGGGTGTTTGTGAAATTATAAAGATGGGTAGGATTTTGAGGTGTTAATCAGGGTTAGCCTTGAAGTTTGGATAAAGGTAAAGGTGCAGAATGAAATATGCTAGATGACATACCTGACATGAGAACCTGACTTTGGCACTGTCTTTGAATGTTCTACAGTTCTCTTGTGGGCTGGGTGCTATGAAGGTGGGGTATAGGTCCCAACGGTGAGGAGAATACTGATTAAAAAGCTTGTTGAATTCGCCATGCCATACAATCTCCATCCTGAAAACAACATACCATTAATTAAAGAAGTACATTGTAAAATGATATTAATGCGTCTCTTGTAATAAACACTTGGTGGATGACCACAGATTATTCGATTAAAAATATTTGTAATCTATACTTATTACTGGTACGCTATGATAAATCTAGTTTTTATGTCATTACTAGAAGTGATGCCATTGTTAAAGTGTCATCCTATTTTGTAGATAGTGTTCTGTGGTTGGTGTAATGCATGCCTTACTTGTATGTTGCAGTTCTTTTCAATTACTGAGTTTAAATTGATGATAGTTGTGCTCATTTATATTTTGGTTGAATCCTGTATTTTTAATAGTCTTGCCTCAAGACCCTGCACCCCCCCCCCTCCCCCTATCTTCTTTTCAGAATGTGTTGGAGAAGCACTCGTGAAGCATGGACTTCAAATGACTAGAAGTCCATGCTTGAAGCAAGACAATGTTTTTAAGTATTGAACTATATGCTTTATCTGTCATGGATTGTGTTTCTGGAATATTCTACAGTAGTCAAAGGGAGGGGTGAATTTTTCTGGAGATTTTTTTAATAAATCATCTAAAAATTATAATAATTGTTCAGAGGAAATGTCTATGTTAGACAAATGACTAGTTTTCGAATCGGAACGATGTTGAAGTTCTGGAGGAATTATCTATATTGTATGGAGAGAAGGGGTTCGTATTTCCGGTTCTTATATCATCTTCTGAAAATTATAAAGGAGAGTTGAACACTGAACTAAGAGGAAGGACACCGGCATTGTTGAGATATATCTTTTTCTGGCTTTCTAAAACTCTTGAAGATGTAATGAAAAATACAAAAAGAATCTTTGGCTTTAGTTTAGTTGTAATGGGTTTTACTTTTGTTGTCTCCTGTTATGTTGTTCATCTGTTATATTGTTACATTAATCAGCTTTTTATTAGCATTTAGTTCAATAGGCTAAGATGGCATATCCAGTGTTGGATTTCGATGTAATTGTTGTGTTATATCGTATTGAATTCTTTAGTATATACATGTAGCATCTATCATCGAAGTGATGAGGAGCGTGGCTGTAACGTGACGACGCCTTAATTAAATAAATAAATGACTGTTGCAAAAAGACAAAACATTTAAATGTCCACAGTAGTGTATATGACGAATATTGCAAACAACATTATTTTAAAACAGCAGTATACATAAATGTTTTATTGTATTTACACAGACTACAATTGAATTGACAACAGGACGAGCATTTGAATTCCTGAATGTATCCCTATTGTTTCATTTCGTGTTTAATCAGCAGGTAGATTGAATGTCTGAGTGTCAGTTACTCATGTTTATAGTTTGTAGTCAGGTATGATGATCTATGGAGTTAATTAATTTCTACATGTACTGTATACATCCCTCCACGTGTTCAACAATTACATTGATTTTCATGTATTATTTCGTTTTGATTAATTTGAGGTGAAGTTAGTGGTGACTTCTCTTATTTTTAGGTTTATGGGTTGAATTTGATACAAATGGATTTAATGTTAAATATGCCACGCCCTAGTCATATATTCCGTTCTCTGTGCTCAATGTTGTTCCCATTTTCTCAAAAGTCCAACAACGATTTTTGAAATATTTCATAAAAATCTCTTGATTTTAAGAGTCATTGGTAATAGTTCTAAAACTTTACTTTTTCAATAACGTTAAATATGGACACTTCTTGATCTTAAATTTCTAGTTATTCCTATTTTGATCAGTTATCTCAAATCCTTTTAGTATTTTGGGGATTGCAAGAAGCACTTTATCGTACAAGTATATTCAGAAAATTGCTACAAGCAAGTGACAAATTATTTTTTCCTTTGCTGCCACATAAAGCATGCTGAGTGAAGAGGGAGACTCACAAATCTTGAGAAAATGTTTTTGGACTGAATATGTTTTTTCTGAAAGAATACTCAGAGCCAAACTTACGAGCCCAAAATTTTCCTTTAAAATGAGTATGTTTCGTAAAAGTAAAGCCACGAGTCTCTAATTCGAACTCAGATGTTTTAAAAAATTGGGTAATCTTCGAAAACTATTGAAACGTTCATGATTTTCAGATTATGGCAAATTCATCGACATGGGGCATATGATTTCATTTGAGTCAATTTTGCTTGCTCGCTCTGATATATTATGACCACCGTCTATGGGTTTAAAAATTAGAGGCAAGCAACGATTTCAATTGACCACAATCCTACCGAAAAGAATGCACTTTCTAAACCATAAATAAAATATGTAAATCGTACCATTTTGTCTCCATTGATTTAGAATACCTTTCCAAAGCATATCAATGTCGAAATCCGAATCGTATCAAATAATTTTCTTCATGATGCACAGTGAAAAACATATTCTAGTAGCCGATAGCCTGTTTTCTCAAGTTAGACGATCTTATTGGAGGATACAATGATGAGCGGAATTAGTCTTCCTGGTTTCCAAGTTAAGATGATAGTTTCTAATTTACACATATTAGTTGCAGTTTCGATGTTGGTTGCTCCGGAATTTCGTAAAAAAGGAGAGTACGGAGAATTTTTTTCTGGCTCGTCTAACGAACATTTAAATTCATTAGTACATATATGTACATGTACATATACATGTAGTTTGATAATAGTCTACAGTTAAGGAATACCGAAGATTTTGTCCTACTATGTGTATCTGTTAATGATCAACAGTGTAGCGTAGCAAAATGTATCTTAACAAAATGGCGACTTTTCAAAAACTTACCAACGTTCGCTGTATAACAAAATTTCTTGAGTGTTTGGATCCAAAAAGGCTGCACTTGCCATAATTTGTTATAATTCCAAGATTTGTTGAAATATACAGATTTACATCCTTTGTGGAAGATTGTCAGCCTTGTTATATCGACATAAAATGCCTTTATGAGCACTTTTTCAGATTTGAATTTGTAGGCTATATTTCGTATTAAATGCAAATATAATTGATATGCTCTCTAATATGTTCTTCGATCATGACATAAGATCTGCGAATATTCCAAAACATTCTAGGAATTGTTTATATATGAGTACCTTATAGTTTAGTTTCACAAATGGCGGATGCTATTTAGTTCAAATCCAAAAACCAGAATTTCTCTCAGTTTCGATGAGTCGGTAACTGCATATTATCTCTTAAGTGACGCAAAATATCCTAAAATTATAGTATGTACTTAAAATAGTGAGTCTGCCCCGAGTGTCCCGATCATTTCCTTAAATCCTTCAATCAAGCAGTCAATCGTTGTATTATATTAGGTACGTACCGGTTGGTAACTTTACTTTAAATTCTATGAATTTTAAAAAAAGTTTATAGAATCTCTCCCTTATAATAACCGAAATACCAAATAAAGAATGTTTAAAGTTCAATAGCTGGTGTGTTATCAAATTCATTTTTCTTGGAATATAACAATTATTGATTTTAAGGTCAATCTGTTCAAGAAAATATGTTTTTATATCAATATAAACACTGATAACAGGTTCATCTAGTTCTTCTACCACCCCACTGATTGCGAATATATGAATATAATAGAACCATATTGCAAATATAAGTCTATACTTATGTAAAATAATCATATAATAGTTTATTTTTAATTAAAAGTAGTTTTAATATAAGAATATAAGTAAGTCACACACGTTTTTCAAAAACAACACGTCATTTCAGAAGTAATTTCTCCACTTCTCACGAGAGGGCCTCTAGCCTGTGATTTAGAAATAAAACCTGTGGGTAACAATCAGTTCTAAACCAATACATTTCAATTATAAATTCCGATTTTGTAATAATTATACGAGCTTTAAAATCAATGTATTTATATATGTTGATACCATGATAATATGGAGTGCTATTTCATATTATTATTAAATTATTGTAATAATATTGTGCTTAGAACACTTATGATATGAGGGTATGAGATGTGACTGATGGTGGTAGTATCATTGCTTGCCAACTCCATGGAGCCATGTGGCAGGAGTAGATGGCCAAACTTTTTTCCAATTTTTGCAATGCAAATTATGGCTGCTAATCTTTTGAGAATTCAGTCTTTTCATGGGCTTTCTCTAATTGAAAGCCCATGGTCTTTTTGATGATTTGTAGACCCCAAGAAGTAAGTAAAACGGTGCTTATCACTATGTACACACATAATATGTGATTTCAGTTATAATGAATCAGAATGTTGACAAACAAATGGAGGGGTGGGATACTGTGGATGTTTGGTCAGTGCTATTTGTTATACGATTGTCTTTCTCAGAACAAAACTACGATATGAACATATTACAACTGACACATGCATGTGATACGATTAGATGAAGGAGTGGGCTATATCAGATAAAATGGAAATATTTTTAAAAATGGCATAGAGTGGGCTATAGTGGAGATTATAGAGATAATGAGAATAATTTGAAATTAGTACAGAGTGGACTAAATCAGGTAAAGCCAGAGATTAGACGAGGATAATAATTTGGAATAATTTTAAATACAAAGTGGGCCAGGTTTTAGGAAATGATTTGATATTACAATAGAGTGGGCTAGAACAGAAAATATTGACATTTGTACAGAGTGGTCTAGATTAGAGATGAATAGAATACTTTAACATGAGTACAGAGTAGGCTGAATCAGGGATGAAGAGATTAATTAAAAATAAGTAGTACAGAGTGGGCTACTGAGATCAAAGATAGTGAGAATTTATCATGAGCACGGACTAGACCGAACTAAATTAGAGATAACAAGAGAATAATTTAGCATAACAGAATGGACTAAAAAGAGAGAAGAATAATAGTACAATAACGTCATTTCTAAGGGCAATATAGTGAAATATTGGACCGAGGGCCGAAGGCCCAAGGTCCAATATTTCACTATATTGCTCGCAGAAATGACGTTATTAGTATTATTACCACCGTTAACGACCAGGGCTGAAATAGCAAGAAAATCTTACGCACTGAACGATATCTAATTTCCCGGGGAAAAATTGCCGGTCCAGAATATATTCTAGAACGGTCCATATGGACCACCACTATGACGTCACACATTTCTCAGGTCGATATAGTAAAATGAACCACTTCTAAACTAGCACTAAAACCCCTAGAACTGGCCCGGCAAGGTGGTAATAATACCGAATAACTGAATGGGCTAAATCAGATTTGAACATAATAATTCAATTATAAGTACAGAGTGGGCTACATAAGCGATAAAGAGAATTATTACCACCTTGCCGGGCCAGTTCTAGGGGTTTTAGTGCTAGTTTAGAAGGCTTGGCAAAGGTGCTCAAACTTTGGCCAAAGGTGTTTAAAAGTTGGCCAAAGGTGTTCAAAATTTGGACAAAAGTGTTCAGATTTGGACTTAGGTGTCCAACATTTTGAAGTCACTCATATTAGGTGGTCCCAAGTTGACAGCCCTGGTACTATTGTTGCTAGATGAAGAGAATTATTCCCGTATTACATATTTCTCATGGGTTCTCAATTGCAGCTTCTACGAGTATACAACTGCATACCCCCACGCCGTTTTATACAATAATAGTAATACACCTGTATATGGCATATTATATAGCAAAACATATCTGTAGACAGTTATAAATCCATCAATCCCTGGCTATTTCTGGTTACCTGATCTAGCAATTAACCAAGCCCTCATTAATTAGTTGAACAAAGCATGGGTAAATCCCTCGTGGATTTGGTCGCCAGACCTCTGTCCTGCGTCCCCTGGGATAGCCCTTAATAAAGATTTTCTCCATTATGATTTCCCTTGCATATATTCCTCTGTGGTAGTCATAAACATGCCAAATGATCCTTCAGTCGCTTCTAGCATTGCACTCCAAGTTTGCATCCATGATAAATCAGGGTTTCTAATGGGGATGTTGTGTTAGCGTTTTTACTTAATTAGCGAGGTACTCGAAGATGAGTGCGACGTCATGTTATACACGATGTGATAGCCATTTGATTGAGACGTTCATAACATATCAAGGATAATTAGTTGCAATCCCATCAAAAATTCCCCGAAACACCAAAAAGCATTCCCAGATAATTTTTTTCTGTAATATTAATGTTTATTGCAAACTGACAACCAATGGTCTGGACATGCGCAAGGATAAACGAACATTGAGAATAAATTGACACAGCTTTAATTCATATGAACAAAGCAAGTCTTGGCTCAACCAGGGGCAGTAAGTTCCTCTTAACAGGGGACTATAATCCATGGCTGGCCATAATTTCTCCCACATCTATCACAACGCATGGGTAGTACAATGGAATAGAAAAAGAACACAATATCCTCACAGTGCTTTCCAAAATAAAAATGAAATACATACCCATAGTTACCAGGTACGAAAAAATACACCATCTTCATTTTATTGTTTGATATCCAATATCTTTTTTAACTTCAGAAAACGGAATTTAGAACTATTTTTAACTTCTCTAGATACAGCCGTTATACTGTTTCTTTGCCATTTTAGTTGGGTAGCTAGGGCAAGATACAAACACAATGTTCATCTTGCTGTTGTCATTTTATGGTTGTTACCTGGCAACAGACTTCGACAGTTGCCAGGGGCAACACCGGTAAAACGTCAATCATACTCAACTAACTACCGATGACATGTAGTAGTTGTGTTGAAAGGGCATTTATGAATTGTCGATTTGCATATATAGCATTAAATAGTTTGGTTGTTCAATATTCGAAAAACATCTTCGAATTACATTTCAGTCCCCTTTCCCTAACTAGGGCCATTTTCGTTAACGCCCCAATACCCCAAAACTCACACTTTCTTTTTAAAGGAGTGGTATCGATATGGAGAACTTTTTGAACACACGTTTCTCTTAAACCAGTCATAGAAAAAATCTAAAAATTTATCACATCGTCAATTTAATGGTCATCTTTTGAATGGTAACAATATAGTTTGAAAAATATATATATATACTTTCATCTATATTGTTTTAGAAAACACATCAAACACTTGTTTTGTTCTTGGTATCATGTTTCCAGAGTGAAATGAAACATCTTTCCGAACCTAATTGGAACAAAACGACATAAACACAACATGTTTAGGTCTCTCAATATTGTAATTGTACAAAGGAAATTTTGGTTGATTTTAAAAAAGTATCTTGTTAATGAAATAAAAGGTTTATCTTGATTTTTATCTATTTTGGGGGGATTTTGTTTTAATTTTTTGAATACTTTTTTAAAAAACAACCAAAAATTCCTTTGTATAACTATAATATTGAGAGGTCTAAAAACATGTTGTATATGCTATTTTGTTCCAACAAGGTTCGGAAAGACATTTTATTTCTATTCTCAAGAATTGGTAGAAATGAGCAAAAACAATTGCACTAAAAAAACAAAAAATGTTAACAAAAACAGTTATATGAAATATTTCTAAATAGTTTTCGCATTAAATTGTTGTCAATCAGTCAACATTACATAAAATAGCGTGTTTTTTACAGAATGTTTTCAATGATTGGTTTAAGAGAAAAACATCGTTGAATTCAGTTCTCCATATCGATACCACTCCTTTCCTCGGAGGAGAAACAATATTTGATTTGCACTTCATTTTTTGGTCTTTTTCAATTATACAATATATATTTCTCAATCCCTGGACGACAAGATGTGGCATATACATATATACTTGCATATATTCATGACATTATTTAATTATAAATGTTTAGACTAGTTGGAAGGATTTGTCAAAAAGGATATTTATATTTCTAGTAGGTGTTTATCGTGCTCTGTATGATTGAACTTGAACCAATTTGACTTGCTCTTTCGACAGAATGCACTATTCATTATGGCTTATCCGACTTCCACTTTAAAATTTGTCGTTTTATGTAGAGTACTTTTGCTTTGTGGGTTTTGTACACTTGGCTGTGGTGTGTCATCTACAGTATTACCGTTCAGAGTATTTCCATTAAATTGTTGGATGGTGTTATTTGTAATGTCGTAGTTAAATTAGTCGCAAATATCTATATGTGATCTACCTATTGTTTTCTCTATATCATTACGTTTACGTTCAGACATCAGTCAATAAACTTGTCATTTGCACCGGTCAAAAGTGTTCAGTTGGCAGGTGTTCACATTACGAGGTTTTAACACGTGGTAGATTGCACTGGAAAAACGTTCACATCAAGAGGCGTTCATACTTGAGAGGTTTTCGGAGGTTAGGATACGCTGACATGATTTAGATACACCCTATTATTTACCCATTTTGAATTCACTATAGAATGCAATTACACCGTTGCTCGTAAGTTTGGAGTATTTGTCACTTCACAAAAATCAGAAGAACTATAAAAGCATTTATTTTTACTCTCGGTACGTGTAGTGCAAAAATGTAGCTCCACTATTCTTGGCATGTTTGTAAACATAAAACCTCCGAACATTGCATAGTACATTGAAACTTGAAATCGCTAGAATGCATGTATATAACGATAAACAAGAGCGTATACACTATTACTGTGACAAGCAATTAATCGTTTTGATTAGAAAATCTTGAGACATTGAATGCTGACCGTATAGATATAAATCATTTATCTTTTTTATTTTATGGACAAAGTCCAACATTCTTGCCGTCCACCAATAAATATTTTGAATTCTATGGGGTAATTTCTCAAACGACATACAAAAAATTTCCGTGATACAATTTTGATAATTACGAAAGAGCATAATCAAAATGAAACCTTCAATTGAATATCAATTCTAATGTGAGTTGGCTTCTTAGGGACTCTTTTACACCCATATTGGATTCACAATTTGTAGTTGATAAACAGTTACAATTTCTTGCGTCATTACCTCTCGGACAACAAATTTTAGTAAAATAGTTAAAATATATTCCGTCGTTCAATAATGAATTAAGAGAAAATTGTTTCCAAAATTACGGAAGGGACTGTATTTGCATCTAGATTTTCATTTTGTTCACACACACCTGAGCAGTGTTTAAGATAAAACAATTACATCCCTCGACGATTTGATGGTCTGCACCGAATTGACGACAGAGACTTCTTGAATTTCCCTTATACAAGTGTATTTTATTTTATTTGTGTCGTTTTCTTTTTGAACATTTTGTTGTTTGTTTGTTTGCTTGTTTGTTTTTTGTATATTTGACGTACTACATTATTTGAAGTAATATTTGCTATTTCGAGTTTTTTTCGCGTTTTTCAACACGCCACTTAATGCTCTAGCTATCATGAATTCTTAAGTTGTTACTGATTAAGATTTACTCATTGGAAAGCATGTACATAATTACTGCATTTTGAAATGGAATAACTTATCATCATCGAAGGTTGTATTTAATTGAATAACACTGAGTTTATGATAATCTCGAGAATAAAATCTGATACAAAATATACTTACTGTGTTGTAATAGATTGACCAGGTTTTGGTATTATAACCGGAGAAACACACCCACTAGGCACAGGAGCAGGTGGCGTGGGGACTAACTGGCCGGAAACGGGGACCAATTGACCTGGGACTCCTACCGCGGGGACTATATAACCTTGTGAGGCGGGTGGTACTAACGCAGGTACGTTGCTGCCAGTTGGTGAAGAAACAAGCGATGAAGATGCAGAATCGAATGTCTGTGTTTCCTTTAAGGGTACATTTGCCTGCACAATCACAGGGTCACCTTTAAACCTCCTCTCAACCGCCGTATGCTCTTGACTGGGGGGCATTTTTAAATTCAGATCTTTTAAATCACTCGAACTGACCAATGTATAGATATGATGACACTCCTTGATTATTTTCAGATCCGAGTGCATATCAGAACTTTCGATAAGCATGACACAATAGTTCGGTGTTGGTATTTCCTTAATTGTTACAAAAGTCTTCCTGGTCGAGACTAATTTCCTCAATCACGGCAATCCTTATCAAATAAGCTGGTTTAACCTCGTGCTTGATGGCGAAATACTTTATTCTGCGTATCCGAGCTTTCACTTTCGGTATCCACGTGAATCGATGTCCAATCCAATCATTGATGGGTAGATTCAGATTCTGCAGGCTTTCAGATATAACTTATATACCCATATTAATAATCATAATCGTCATCAATATCACTGCATTAATGCCTTTATTTGCTTCTATATAAAAAACAAATTGTAGTTGTAATTATTGCATTTCTCGTGTGATTATCCATTGAAATTAAACCAGATGATTTAATTTTTGCTAGCTGAAATGATACGTATATATAAATCTATTCAAATATCAGCTGAATATAAAATACAACACAATGCTGGTTTGGCATTATGTTGTGGTATGTTGCATTAAATATACTATAGTTGCAGGTAGCTGTCGTGTTTACTTGGCATCAACTTAAAGTTTTTCTAAGAATTTGTTCCCTATACGAATTCGCGAACACATAGTTAAACATTAAGCTACTTCATGGTTAATATTTACCATTTCAAAAAATGAAAAATGTTATTCAAACATAAAATCGAAATTAATCTTGAATACAAAGACTTCAAGTAGAACTGCTCGTCGCGTGTTTGTTTTTCATTTTCTAGGAATCCAAATTTTGATTTTTTTATAATAAAAGCATTCTTTATTTCTAATTACAACAAAATATGGGCAATTTATGATTTAATTTACACTAATTGGAAAATGTCACCGTAACATTGACATTAATCGTCAACAAATTGTCAACTCAAATTGTAAATATTGTCAAAATTGTAAATTTGAATTGTAAATATGTACTACAAAAGGTATGTTCAACGTCTACATGTACTTGAAACAAATCTGATCAAAATACACAAAAATGAGCATGTTAGAACCCCTCCCTCCTGGGGAAGAATAAGGAGAACATTCGAATCACGTCGTTGATTTACAATACATGAGACCTTAAGAATGGATGCATGTAAGCAACACGATTAATTCATATAGTATTCTACGAAATATATTCACAACCTGACTTCATAATACATAAATGTGACAAACTTGATAAATAACACAACAAAAGGTATGCACGCGTTCAATTTGAAGCAGGAAGTAAATTTTTCTATTGGCTGTTAGGCTGACCCAGCCCTAAATTCTTTTAAGTTTGATTCCTTGAAACCAAATTTATAAAGACATACATAAATGGCTAAATATTTACTATTTACTAATAAACACATCTGGTTAGTATATAGGTATTTTAGAACTATAACTTTATACTCAGAACTTGGCATATCTGTTACGATAACGTCCGTTAACGAAACATTCACAAACTCTTCTAATATGGCGGAAAGGTAAATTTTTTGCTCAACAAAGTTTGTTTTTCAGTGCTGAAATAAAGAGATAATAATTTCAAAAAGCTTCCGATCTCTTGGCTGATTCTGATATGTACAGGGTGACCCAAATATCAGGCCCTGTCATTTTGGAACAACTTTTAGTTTGCCTTTTGTCAACCTGTAGCCAATGATGCAATGTGACCAGGGTTCGACCTCGGTTCAGGGACTTTACTTGTTGCTAGAGTACAAACGACTGTACGTGGCTGTACATAGGGCTCATTCTTCTTAGGGATTTCTGAGCCTGTCTTCCAGTGCTATTTGGAATTGTAGTAGCCTACTATACATTAACATGTGTAATGCAAACTGTCTTGCATAAAAAAGAGGTGAATAAGTCAATATACAGCAGACATTCATACATGTTATAAGTCATCCAGGTATTCGTTTGGCGCACCTGTGTCTTCCTAATTACCCCAGGATATATATCCTTCGGGATCGGACTTCATTGCTATTGAAAGAAGTGAAATACCCTTGGACCAAGGATGTACACTATTCACCACGGGAGCTGTACCAGTTACGCGTGGTTGATGAACGCACGGGGCTAGGCAAAACGAGAGGGGGGAAATTGAAATAAACAGAAGTTTTCATCGATGTAGGAATATTTAGTTTCTACAGATTTTTGTACTTGCATTCCATAAGAAATGTCCTTATAGAATACTCATAATGGTGGTATTTTTCATGATTAAATTAGTGTTCACAGTTCAATTCTGTTCAGTTCTTCTCAATGACAATGATGAAACATTTAGTCACACCCCACTTCAAAAGTTCTAACGTATACACTAGCCATATGCGCTCCATTTGGGTTTGGTTTGTGGTTACAAGTGACTTTCTTAATTAATTTTAGGTGCGATGATGAAATAAAAGCCGATGACAAAAACATCTTATTAAGAAACAATCCTAAAAATAGTTATGGAGACTTTACTTGTATTCACGAATGCAAATAACGTCTACCTGATTAACCTACTATTTTATGAGCAACTTGTTTATGAAAAATACCTGCCACAATTCCATTCATACTTAAATGGGTTGGTCATAAAATAGTAGTTTGATCCGGAAGCCGACAGCCGAAAGTTGCATTCGCGAATACAAGCTTAGATACGTCGTGAAATCACGGTGAAAACGCAACGTTACGCTGATTAATCATTTAGCTTTGAAAAAAGGGTTGACAAAGATTGAATATTACCGTTGATGTTTACTGTAAAATGAACTTGATATAATTTTGTAAATGAACGTAAACTAGGGCTGATGCACTTTCGCTTACTCTTCAATCGTTCATGGGCAACGGAAATTGACGTTTTAAGAGGAATTTAACTGGCATTTCGAAAACGGATTTATCGAATTATTTTTTTGTAAACCCTGATTTTTCTCCCGAACTTTTTTTAGCCATCCCAATTTTCCCCAGATTATTTTTTGTGAGGCCCGGTTTTCTTACGATTATTCTTAGCAATAATTCTTAGATTATCCTAAGATTTTTTCGAAGTGTAGATTATCTTCCAATTTTTCAGAAAAAACGATTTTCATCCCGATTTTTATTTACTTTCGCTCATGAAATGTAGCCCACCGTTGTTGTGAAAAATGAAACAAAACAATAAAAAAAAATAAAAATAAAACTCAAAAGGCAAGTCTTTTCTGGGTCAAGGCCAATGGCATGATTTCCTCAAGTCTCTTCAATTGCTATGCAACCATACTGGGACCGATTCGTGTCGTTCCACTACTGCCCTTGGTGGGGGCTCACTACCATACTGTATGACTCCCGGAGTCTAATAAAGCTCGTCAGTGGAGGAACCAACCACAGTCTCACAATCTGTCTCCGAAGAGAACCGACCCAAGCCAAGTGCCGGAGGTTGGACCTTCGGACCGGGTGTCCTGTAGTAGCAATGATCAACGACTCCGTACCTGGGGCTCGAACGCGGGACCTCCGTATCCCACTACGTTCAACTACGTGTCAGAACTCTTAAAAAGTAATGTAGTTGTTATAATTATTTGCTTGAATAAACGTGATACAAACATTTCTTAATTGATTAATCCCATTTAGTTGAAATCGCAGTTTGACTAACGATCAGGTCCTGAGCAGGAATCCAAAATCCGTACTTCAAGAAGATAATAGGGAGTTTAAGCTTGCATATAAAATCGAAACGCCAACCTATACATATGACCAATCGCCCATACACATGCATCGCTTAAATATCTTCCGTTCGCGTTTAGGTTGTGAAAAACATCACAAGCTTAAACTCCCTAAAATGGATTTTGAAGCCCTGCGTACGGAGGATGGTCCCATTGGTGTTCGGATTTGTTCGGATACATTATAGTTACTGTACAAAGGACGATCAAGTAAACGCAAACAACTCTTGCAAATGTGTACGGGAGTTACAAAGTCTGCAAAGTCGATAATGAATGAATCGGGTTCAATGTTTTTTTAACATGATATCAATTTCCAACGATATGATCACGAATATCAATAAAAAGCGTCCCGGCGTGCGAACCAACATGTTTCAAACATAGAACATTGCATTAACTCTGAAAACAGACTTTGGAACTCGAAGATGCATCAATTGTCAATTTCAAATTCAAAGCTACAATAGAAACACCTACCACATAGCAGACTCTGCGCGCAGGGTAAAGGAACAGAGAATCATGTTCTCTTTCAAGAAGCGAAGTCAACGAATGCAAAGGGTGAGTATATTGCTTTTTCGATACTCATACCCACTTTGTCTTGTTTCCTGAGCAAGTGGTATATAAAAGGGGGTCTAGTTGACCAAAATACAATTGCCAGTTATCACTAATTTAATTGATGGTATTTTAGGGAAGCTTTGTTTCTTACTTATCGTACACTGGAAAAACATTTCACCAAAACAAAATCAATTGAGAAAATAAAGAAACCATTGTTCGGTGGTATAAATACATTTATTTACGACTACCCGAATTGAAATGTTTGTTTCCAATATTTGCACAACGTAGGATAATTTCTTGAATAAAATGGTATCATGTCCTCCCTCCATTGTTCCACGATGTTATTTGCCTACTATAGGCTTGTAGTACATCTATTTTCAACAATCAGACTACGATAGTCATATGTAGACCATCAGTGTGTAGACCGATAGTTAAGTTTTGAAATATATAAAAGCTCATCATTTTTGTTTTATCATTAGTCCATTGTCACTAAAGTATAGTTAAATTGTGGCGTAAGAAACTTGATTTCAAATTACAATAACACATTTACATATATATGAGGAAAGTCTTCACATCGAATTCGTTGGTTTCGGTTTTAAAGAATATTATGCGAAGACGGATGTAGAATAATATTATTCTCAGTTTTATTTTCAGGCCAGCTCATCCTTCAACATCAGCATCACAAATCAAGTAGAATTGCGAAAACTGACAATCCTCGCCGGCTCGGCTAAGTATCCCATTGGCCAACACGGTGGTTTTTAGAATTGACGAGCACGCCGACTATCTATTGATATCATAACTTCTGGCACGTTTGCTGAAGCACATCATGATAGCAGCAATGTAGGTGATAAGTTGAATCCCAGCACAAGCGAATCCGCAACCAATGAGCACAAAGCAAAACTCAACGTACCACCGTGATATCTGCCTGTAACATCCACTCCTGAAGGCGACTGTTGTAAGTTTCCCAGCCGCGCATACCTCGGAGAATTTGGGTTTAGGGTTCTTAGGTTTGATACAGCAGGAGATGGGGAATAGTTTCCCAGTATCCTCTGACCATTTGGTCGTGTTAAAATCGTGCACACTGTCCACCCCGCAGCAACTATATTGTTTCTGAATGACATTCCAGCCGAAACTCTTACGCTCGGTGAACTTATTGTAAAGGTTGTTATGGAGGGTGGGGTGAATGTTATCCGCCAGAGCCCGAACGCCGAGCACTCCTACTACCACATATCCCGTCATTACAACCGTCAAAAGACAAAGATAGCCCGCCAGCATCATCCTGCTTTTAATAATCACTCCACACACTCCATACATGGCAAAGCTCACATGGGTGACGGCCCCTAATAACATGAGGAATATCTGCACGTATGATGCCATAAATTTGCTAACATCGGAATTTGGCTCAACGACATATCTTTCCAAATTTAACCGTGTTTCATCCAGAAGTCGCCATATTCCTATACCAAGTAGGGCGGCACCGCCAATACTGACCATGAAGTTCAAAGCATAAAGGATATATTTTCCACATGATGTATGTATAACCGCCCGAGTCATTTTCCTGTTTTTCCAGAACGAACTTAAAGTACTGTCAAGAGCTTGTTGATATTGTGTTCTTTGTTGTGAGCAGAATCTAAGATGTTCTGTTCAATCAAGTGTTCACATGGGCTCGTATCCTAAACCTGATATTTGTTGCTCATCAGTCCGGACGTCTTGTATCTTTCTTGTTCCCTTCACGATTCAGTAGATCTTGTTATTGTTGGTGTCGCATTGTTTGGCGCCATATCCTTTTTCATATAGCTAATATATATAACGAGTCAATTAATACTTGACATTACCATCTAAGGAAAGGAAATCAGCAATTGTTTTGTTTTTCTTTCATATCCTGTTATAAATTAATTACAAACAGTTACGTTAACTTTGTGTATATTCGATGACTCTTAATGTTTATTTCATGATGTTATACAGTATCTTTACTTTTATTCTTCGCGTCCAACTCAGCTATTCATAGCATTTCGCCACATCTTAATGTTCTCCATTGTCTTGTTGATACAAGTAAATTCAACATTAACATCGGACCAAAACTTGAGAAGAAATCAATTATATGTTAGAAGCTCATGAGTCATCCCAATATACCAACAGTTTACTTCTATTATTGATGAACTTTTGCTACCTGGTCACGCAAATGTAGCATCACTTGAGACGCTGATTTCTAATCCAACGCAATAACTTTAAGCGCTTCGTTTCTTCCTTCGATTTACATTATTCATTTACAATGACATCGTAATTACTAATTATTTTTTAAATCAGTGTCCTCATAATGTTCGTTTTATTTCTTTATTATATCGTTCTTCTAATTATCACCAAGGTTCGATTTAAAGTAAAACATGCGGCTGGCCTTTGGCATTAGCATTTTCTTTGACATTTACGACTCTCTATGCAATATACAGTAAAACACATGAATGTCACACTGTGAGGTGATAAAATAAATTGGAGTTTCAAGTCATTCAACAACACTACGGTAACATGACAGATGTTTCTAATGGTTATTTTCCTCAATGCACCTTTATTACTTTGTGCTGAGGTTTAGTGATCGATTCTTTTAATTTATTTATGTTATAATTTGAAATAATTAGGAGATGTAATCAAGGAACCGTCCAATCATTTCGTATTCGGTATTACTAATTTTTGATAAACTTGAACAAAACCCGTTGTTTTGTAACTTTAAGCAGTGGTGCACTATACACGATGAAGGATTTTATGAAAAATGGTTTCAATAATTCCAACTCAAAGAAATCATATTTGATAAAACGCTGACACGTTCGCCCATTAGCTGCATTTGAGAATAAAAATCGTCTTCAACCTAACTCTTGTTATTTGTTTGTCACTTTGTTTATTTGTTCTTGTTCTCGTTCGTTAATACTAAACATACCTCTCTCTGTCTCTTTGTTAATAAGTTGATTTTCAAAGGTTTCATCTTATCTTGAAGATTAACTTGACCCCATTCTACACCATTCATTGTCGGCTACTTACTGTTTAGCTAAGATTATTCCTGTTATATACAATACACTTCGTACAACACACCAGGCTTGAGTTCACCAAGGTTGTTTTTATGCATGTAACTCAGAGGAATAACATAAAAGTCATTTTTGGATATCATTTAGATTGAACAGAAACTTTGCTAAAAGTGATGAATTCCAAAACGAGGACATAGAAATGTCAACTGAACACCGGCGAAAAGATAAGATAACCTTCTTTTCCAATAACAAAAATGACAGCAAACAAGAAAAAGATAGCTCAAAATGGCATTTTTACAAATGTGGATTATATGGAATTCGTGATAGGTGGCGCTGCATCTTGTGGGGCCGTCTGCTTCAGTAACCCATTGGAAACTGTTAAGACTCGGATGCAATTACAGGGGGAACTGAAGGCAAAGGGACATTATGCAGTCACATACAGGTAGTATTTGTGTATCCTGAATCATCAGCATTTCAAAGATGTCCTGTCCAATGTATTTCAAGTATACTGCCCAGACTGCCACCACTATTATCAACGTGATCATTGCACCTCTAACTTAAACCATTGCACCACCTCTAACGTGAATTAGATTATTCGTAATATGATTGCTATTAGTGATGATTTTAGAGTAATTTGTTCTACAATTTGGATTTGAAACTGTTTATAGAATCTTGTTTGAGAGTGCTTTCTGTTTTCTGTCTACTCCAAGGGAGAGTAAAGGCTGTTGATCCCACAGTGCCAGAGTACCAACACATGATTCTCATGCACCTAGTCGGTCTTTTGTTGTATGATGTTCTATCATTTTCTTTATACAGGAATGTATTTGATGCATTCATAAAGATTGGACGACATGAGGGATTGAGGTCTCTCCAAAAGGGCCTTTCCCCTGCATTAGCATATCAGTTATCACTGAACGGCACACGAAGAGGCATATATCAGGTATTTCTCCCACATCGAGAATGATTTTGATTTAGACAGATTTTTTCATAATTTTATAAATTAGGATAACATGTATTATGTGAACATTAAAACGACTACAATCAATTTTGAATTTTCTGAATATTTTGATTGCTCGTGTAAGATACTTGCATAGATACTATCACCGATCCGTATAATCTATTTTTGGTGCCATATACGTGAAATCAAATTAAACTATAACACATAATTTCTACGTCACCACCACAAGTGTTGACATCTTGTCAATATAGTCTCCAACTTTTTTGTGAACGGTGTTCGGCGTTCGGCGTCTGTAACAAATGGTAGACATTTTGCATATTTCGTATATGCCTTGTAATCTTATTTGTTTCTAGGCAATAGTAAGCGCTGGTTTCGTAGAGACCAAACCTGGAGGTGGCACAAACTTGTGGGCTAGTACGATGGCGGGTGGAGTCGCAGGATGTATTTCAGCGTGTATTTCTAGTCCTTGGTTTATGGTATGGCTTGTTCATTATTCCTTAGATACAGACACATTATCAAATCATAATCAGTGATAACATTTAAAAAGTTTTGGCTTGGAAAGTGGTTCCTCTCATAACTATATGTGTTCGTTACCAGTCCTAAATATCTGCATTTCAAATTGTCTATCACCTGATCAATTGACATCTTGTGCGTCCTTAATCCCTCATCAGAAATGTAGACGCCATCGACAATGATTGCACGTGTAGCGTGCACTGTAGGGCCGCACGTTGTAGCATCTTTGTTCCATTAACAGAGGTGTTACACTTTACAGGTTTTACTGAATAACTATGATTATGTCTTGCGTTGTGATGCCATCTATATTTTGCCCAGTTCAAGACCCAGTTCCAGAGTGAGGCTGCGTCTGCGATAGCAGTTGGTCACCAACGTCATTACGCTAGTCTCAGACAGGCTGTAGCTCAAGTGGTCCGAGAACAAGGATTCAAGGTGACTTACCTACTGGATTCATATTTTAAACTTTACGTAAATAAATGCAAAGAAACTTGTATCAACCTTTTTTTAAACACTTAATAACATTATATTACTACTATGAAGTTAGAGTTTTGCTTTTTTGGGATGCTGGGGATTTTCTTCCTTTCGACATGTTGTACTCAATTGTTTCTTTTCTTTTTTTCTTTACCCTTGTGTTGAGTCTACATTTCCATTAATTAATATTGAAATCAATTGTTTTCAAGGGGCTATACAGGGGTGCGACTGGCATCACCATACGAGTAACATGTGGTTCTGCAGCCGAGATGCCATCTTTTGCCCTCACCAAAGAATTCTTGGACAAATATCAAGTAAATGCAAATTCATTTGAACTTCATAGAATATTGTGTACTAGTATTGCATTGGGTGAAAATGCGATAATGCTGGTGTATTTATAATAAAATCTAGGCATATACTCGTTTGTCGGGTCTTGAAATCCAATGATTAAAGAAATACGCTATCTGTGAATATAAAATGTCCAATATTCAAGAACGCTTTAATTCAAATATAAATTATAATTATTCAAATATAAAAATACAATCCCTGCTCAGTTGTCCGAAACAGTATTTGAATAAAATATATTTGATTAACTCCATGTTTTCAGATTATGGCTAAAGGTACTTTCATGAACGCGGCAGTATCAAGCATCATTAGTGGAATAGCAGTGACTGTAGCAATGTGTCCTTTTGACGTGGTGACAACAAGGCTGTATAACCAGGGGCTGGACGCCAAGGGAAAGGGACTTCTATATGACAATTTCTTTGATTGTGTATGGAAAATACTCAAACAAGAGGGGCCATTTGGGTTTTATAAAGGATTTGGTGCTCTGTTATTTAGACTTGGACCTCATACTTTACTTAGTTTAATGCTCTGGGACGCGATGAGAGTTCGATACAACAGATACAAATTACGTGACCTACCTTCAGAAGAAATCAAAGTAAAAATTTAAAAATGTCTCGTTCGTTCGTTCTCTTATTACGTGTATTCAAATATACATGAATTATTCCACTATACTTTAAGGATATTGTAAACGATTTTAAGCCATCACAATAAATAAATAGATGTCATGTTTGTTTGGTCATATGCTCAAAAAATAATCAATGCCAATTAAATCCTTTGTTACATGAATTTTTTAAGGTGTGTCGTCCGACTGACTTCAAGATCCCCAATTTTCGAAAACTCGTTTATAAATGCTATTTGAAGCAGGAACAATTTAGAAACTGAATACAAAATCTGCAAAGCATTTAATAATAAGGTCAAACGCGGAAGGACAATAGATTATTGCAGAACCCAGCGTAAAAATATGAGCCATAACACTTAACGCATAACACATACCAGTCATAACACTTTTTTAAATTACACTCCCCTCCATAAGTTTGACAACCTTAGCTCCCTCATTGAACTACGTGTTAAAGCCTCTTTACGTTTGAATTTTTATTTACTTAACCGGCGATGAGATAACTTGACTTTATTTTTAGACATGAGATAGAGAGAAGTACAAAATATGTTCAATTCTATAGCCTATCCCGGTGCGGATGTTCGAAAAGCGGGTTGATGACGTCTTGGAATTCCTGCTATATATAAGACAATTTTCATTTTACAAGAATTAATATTTATTGTCATTCCAGTAAAATTATATGGGTTTTGACTGTTAGTGAGACTATCCTGACTTGTTTTGTCCCTGAGGTAACATGACCATTCCCCTGAGAAAGACTATTTGACACATTGAATTTTACACTCTGTTACGACCTTTGTGTTTCTACCAAGAACCCACGCGGAGAATTTCAAGATTTGGGGTCCTACTTCAGCACACTCTATAGTTGTTGTGTATTTTTTTCCTTTATCCAACCAGTTTGTCAGGCTCCCAGGGCTGTCTGTGGACGCTCCTTCTACATTCACCTTCATGTTTTTACTGGTTCCATCGATTCCATCCATCCTGTTAAAGGGAACTTTTCATAGGATTATCGGCGACAGAAATAATTTCTCAATAAAGATGGCAGTGTAGTCAATCTGTTCTGCATATCATCATTCTCCAAAAGAGAGAATACAATAGAATTCTACCACTGCTGCCATCTTTATATCAGACTAAAATATGGAATTTATATGATATTCTGATACAAGAACGGGAATTTGTGTTTCTTTTTTCAGCCTCTTACCATATGTGATACGTCAATGGTTTATCATTGGGACAGGGGTTTGTGAATCGATATTTAAAGTCAATTGCGAATGGAGCCTCTTGTCCCAATCGTACCAATCCTCTCTTGCCTTTACCACAGGATTTTAACTTTGCTTCAAATTCTGCGATGACGCAATCATCTGTAATAAAACAAATATTTACATCTATTCCAACCACATACGTGAATTGTTTGCCCGGCAGATCCACCACCTTGGCTAGTGCAGTAAAACAACGCTGACAACATCCAGGAAACTGATGTGTGAGTAGCTTCAAGTTGAGACGTTTACTGAGGTTTTGTGTTTCTAACTTAGACTATGATCACTAAATACCTTTTGTGGTATCCAAGCAAACAGTCAACCCGTCCCCACTCCACTTCCCGTTCTCTAAACACGTCCTCTCCGAAACACCGGTTAGCAAGTAACCATCGTTGCACGTATACGTGATGGTATCTCCCGTTGCCCCTGTGTGTGCAGAGACTGACCCATGCATTGGGGGCTCCATCTTCGGACATCCAAATGCTGCATATTGAGATACGATTGCAATATTTAATAAAACGTACTCAAATGACATACTAAGCTAATATAAAAAATAGGGAGGTAATGAGAAACACCTTTACTTTTTTCTTAGTGTACGTGAAAAAAGTGTACATTGAAAATCGTAAAAGAAATTGCAAGAGGTATCTGTACGTACAGCAGCCTAACTTCTCGTCACAGAAGTTCCCCAGATCCTTTCGTTTGCAAACGGTTGCGTCTCCAGAAAATATACAGAAGCGTTCCGCCCCGTCACACTTTGTCTCGCTCTGACAATTTGCCTTTTGTAATCCCCCGGATAACTCGAAGCATGGATCGCAAGTATATTTCACTGTACACACATCTTCTTTGCAGTCATATTTCATCTTTCCGTTCTCCGGGTCCGATGGAACGTGGCCTTTTGTCCCTGGATATAGTACACAACTTACATATGCTATGTCAATCGAATAGGTAAAAAATTCTCATTTTTGAGGATCTTTATTATTGGACGTTAAAAGGATTACCACCCCCTTCTAAATTCGTTTTTCCAGGTACCGTATTAACTGTTTTCGGGTAAATGAATACTACGAAGGGGAGAAGTAATCCCCAGAAGATCATAATTTTATGTGTTCACGTCATTCCTCATGAAATATGTAGCCTCGCCACAACTTTCGAGAAAATCATTTTTAGGTGTTCTTTAACTGAATCTGGGAAATATGCTCCTGTAGAATTTACCTGGTTTTGGTCGACTTGTTGGCCTCGGGGTAGTTGCCGTGAGAACATTATTTGGGGTAGCTGGTGGTACGGTAGCGTACCTTTTGGGTTTTAGAGGCATAACCCAATTGGCGAACTCTCCAATGAAGTTTCCAGGGGGAGAATATTCACAACACACAACGTAAGTGTTCAGTCCTCCCTGAAGACCTTGACCCCACCCACACCCCAACTTGATGGATTCTGCCCATACGACCTAAAAATTGAAGAATGAAATGATTTTCCTTGGAGCATGTGCCCAGATGTATGTGGATAGTATCCTCAGTTTGTTTTAAGTGCAGATAGTATCCTTAGTTTTTCGCATCACGATAAACCATGACATCTCATTTCTTCTCAGCCCTGAGTTTCAGGTGAAACAGAAAGATGCTATGAGTATCAGAATGAGTTTCTCGGGCTCGGCCTGGTTCTTTCGGACAATAAAGGAAGAGTCATCTACACCCCTCAATAAAGGACGATTCTCGGTTTGGAGAACGAAGTTCATCAATATAAATGAGCATTATCCCTGCTTCGGACAAATTTGATTTTTTTTACATAATATAGAGTTGAAGGTCTTCTTTTGAATGGTCATAATTTAATTTGGGTAATATTTCTAGATTTTTCGCAAAAAAATATTAGCGCAGTACACTTATGAACTTTTTTCCCCAAATCGAGACTTGTATTTTATTGAATCGGTCTAATTGATCGTTATCCCTGCTTCAGACCAATTTGTTATTTTTACATCTTGTAGATTTAAATGTCCTCTTTTGAATATTCATAGTTTAATTTGGGTAATATTTCTATATTTTTCATGAAAAAAATTATTAGCCCAGGAGACTGTTCTCCAAACCGAGAATCGTCCTTTGGCAACCGAAATTGGACGTCCGATTGTCAAGCTTTTCGAGGGGAGTGTAAGTGCAGAGCCAAGAGGAACATAGTATTTTAGCAGGAAGTTTTTTAACATCAATAACAATTTGCTGACCTGCAGACCACTTTTCCTTTCTTATGATTACATTCAAATAAATTGAAGAAGCGATATGTCTATGAAAAATTGTTTTCAAGTCAGAATTACAAAATGTACATTTGATGACATTAAATTGGTTGAGAAATATTGAAATGGCAGACCAATTCCTAGATCTTAATGATCACCCTGTATCGTACACAGAAGTGCGTGGATATTACCAACCTGAGTAAAATGTCCGGTTCTTCTGTCAAACTTTGGGTTTCCGTACTTGTAACTACTTATTTCATCGTACCTACAATAAGTAACCGTATTTAGATTTGATTCAAAGATTTTTGGGATTACATTGGGAAATCGTATTTATATTATATAATGCCTATGACAAATGGTGAGCGCATCAAAAATGTTGGAATTCATTTTATTTACAAGAATAGTGTAAACGGGAAAACATAAACAATTATCCATACAGCTTTCAACATCTTTTAAGAACATACTGTGTTTCAAGAGGGAAATATAGATTTATACATCTGATCAAATATCGAAGTCAGTGAACAAATGAAAAAAAATAAGATAAAGGAAAAATCAATACAGATATAAGGAACAAAATTAGGCCTTTTATTGCTCTTTTCAAAATATAAAATAAATTTAGTAAAGTGATTGGTTTATCATCTATTGTTTGAGATGGTTCACTCCGAGGACCATGACATTACTACAAACTGAAGAAACTCGTGTCAAATAAGTACATGTTCCTGTGAATGACTAGCTTTTACTTTTTTAGGTTCCCCATACTCACCAACTTTGTGTTGCTTCGGCCCCTAGGTTTTCCAATTCTGATAAGCGAAGTGGTACAACTTCTTTAATTTTGTATAAATTCTCCCCAGCTTCGTCAGGTCGAACTCTCCAATTTGAGTGATCTAATCTACAGAAACAATGGCCAGTTTGTTTTGTTTGTTGGTTTGTTTGTTTTGATATATTGATCGATTTCTTGATTGGTCGGATTGATTGATTCTTTGATGGATTTTTATCAATATATCAATAGGTCATTTATTTGTATGTCTATCAATTTGTTTTTGTTTTTGTTTACTGGGATGACAATAAATATAAATTCTTTTAAAAATGAAGATATTGTTGTTTAAAGATATTTCAGATTGCATCACACACGCAGCATCGTTCTTTACTGCCAAAGAATCAATCAAACAATCAAACGGTCAGGAAAATACTGAATAGCTGATAATGCTTTATATAGTTTGAAATCGTCGTTTTAAATAACTACGTTTACGTCCGCATTGTTAATTGTTTTATTTGAATAATCCAATTAATGTAAATGATGTTAATACAAGAGAGTGTCACCTATTTTAATCAAAGTTTAAACAATATAAAGTAAATAAAATGGGATGTACCAACTAAATAACAATACGATTATACGTTAAACCAGGATGCTGGTCATTATAACGTTTAGTATTGTATGATATGAATTATATTTTAAATTATTGTATACCGTATGTAGAACTAAATAATGAAACGACGACCCTTTGAACGAGGATACTTTTCATCATACTTTTTATTATTGACTGATGTGAGTGTATATCGGAAATTCTTGGAATGAATCTCAGAATCTCGTTATTTAGCCCAAGGGAGTTACATTAAAATAATTTTTCATAAAGATAGACAAAAATATGATGTAGAAGAAAATTCCAAAATGACCGATATTATAGTAAAACAAAGCATTATTGTATATGTAAATGTAATTACAGATTTTTTATCAATAAACAAGTAATAAGTAGACATAGACTTGAAAAGGTATATAGGCTACTATTCAAAATCAAAATTTATTAACTTACGTATTTGTTGCTGCTAGATGTTCACACCATTTACTTGCAAAGTCAGCTAATTCAGTGTCCCATGTCATCGGAGGAGTTCCCACATGTAGAGCCCTTAATTGATTATTTCTTAATAATGTCGCCTCTTCAAATGTTAAAGTATCTCCTAATATCAGCTGGCATAGAAAAATGTACAGACTCGTGATTTGTACATTAAAGTACATTTTCTGTCTTTGACATGCGTTTCTTGTACTCCTGAAACTGTACACATGAGTGCTTTTATTGAAGTGAGAAATGTAAATTGAATAGCATGCATATTTATCAATAATATTACAAATATTTGACAGCAGCGCTTATACAAAGCATATCCACCGATGTATTTATCACAAATGTATTTACCTGTCCAGGGCAGTAAATGCTCAGCCTCCCCAATCCATCGGATAGACAAAATTTATCCTTCACGATCTTGGCAAATCAAAAGTTGACCAACTTAGCAACTCGTTGTCTTGACAGTTAATAAGAATATTTTTCTCAAAACCTTTTAATCGACCTGGTAACTTTTTTAAAATACATCACTTTGTAAATTCGTTATCAATCATCTTATAAATATAAAAGACTTAAATAATATTGTGTTTCAAGACATCTCGATCTACGAAGGTTGTCCCAGAAATAGTGCATTAAGGTGCTCCAAATGACTAAATTGACAGATGGCTTTAATGCTTCAGTCACATTTGATCTACGGCAACCGTCTGGCGGGCGTAGCTTCCCAAAATCAAAAGAAATGTGCAGCGTGAAATAAAGGGTTAAGCAGTGCAATGTAGATTTTCTATATCAATTTTGTGACGGCCACCGAACGCCTACCGTAGAGCAAACGTGACCGAGGCTTTCGTTGGGATATTAACTTTCAATGTTAGGAAGTAAAATGAGAAAATGATTTTTCTCCAAAGAATCATACTGTTAAACCAGTGTATTCCTTCAGTCATAATGTATTTACTTTGTTAGATCAAGATACCAGAGAATATTGTTGACTGAAAATCCTAAGATAGTCTAATGCTAGGATTTTCAAAATGAGTCTTGCCAATAACCTACAAATTCCTTGTTCACTGCGTTTCTTGATTATCTTGATGGCCAGAAAAGACTTTTTCCCTGGCCTTACCAATGTCCGTGACCTCCTTGCCCACGTGATGGAAATAAAATTGCCGTCTATGATTCCAGCATGAAACCTTTTTGGACACAATGAATATTTACCAGAAATGACAAATAGTAGGATTTACATAAATAAATCATCAGGTTTATTCACAAAAGGAATCCTTATCTACGAGCTTATTCAATTTCTTTTTCTTAACAATTACATCTGCATAATCCGGATACTTCGCCTTTTAATTTAATCTCTTGTCGAAGCCAGAGATTATTCAATAAATAACGAATTTAAAAAGTCATATTTCATTTAAATAAAAAAATATTTTCATACATCTAGTTAATGAGCCTAACGGATGAAAGAGCTTACCAGAGGACAAATGATGACCTTGCTACTGTTGGTATATAATGCAAAAATGTAATCCATTGTAAAGTGCAGATATAAGGAGATCAACTGTTTGATCGTCTGTCTGGAATTTGGAACTAAATGGTATGACCTCAATAATAGTACTAATGAAATATTTTTGTAATTGGTCATCTTACAGACGATGTGATTATAAAGATCTGAAAGTTTTGTTTTAAAGAAAAATTTGTTTTAGCGCCCTGTCGCCCATTTTCCACGTTGTACCAAGACAAGTCAGTGATGTAAGAACGTAGAAGATTTCGTGTTTTCGCTATTTTCTTCATTCACGTTTGAATATCGTCGACGATTCATAGTCCAAATCCATACCTTATGTTAATCCTATCATTCAAAAATTAAAATCTGTCGTTGGCAATATGAAAGACATGTTATGGTGATCCACATCAAAATTAGCACATATATACGGGTCATTCAGGTAAAAACATTATTGTTGCTTAGACAAATGAAATATGGCAAAAGCAGAAGTGTTGTTTCAGTTTTAATTGACTGATGTTCAATCAGAAATCAGACACAACTGAAATGTTTTATAAAATTATGAGTTCAATCTTAAGTCAGATTTGAACTTCTGAGAACTTGTAGCTGATCTTGAAAAAACTTTGGTTATTTGAAGCAAGTATAAAAATACCTTTTTGACTTTGTGAGGGTCATTGAAGATAAAATCTCATATCTCAAGTCAGATTTGATTGGTCAATTTGAAGCAAGTTGAAAAAGGACCTTTTTGACCTTGAGAAGGTCAAATTTTAAATCTAAAGTCAGATTTGCAGTCAGACTGCTGGTGAACTTGAACTTGTAGATGATATTGAAAAAACATTTGGTCAATTTGAAGACTGCATCATTTTTTGTAAAATTCAAACAAATCTTTCTTTGGCTCGATTATGCCACAATCGCACCCGCCCCCTGACTGGAAACCAATTTATTTGGCGATTGCACCCCCTGACTGAAAGCTGGCTTCACCCCTGCACAATGTCTGTTACATGTATTAATATCATAGAATCATATTACAGAATAAAATTATGTATTCACAATAAAAGCCACAAAGCGCTTATTTCATTGTTTATACTTTTATTTCAATATTGTCATATCATATAAAACCAACTGTGTATCAAAGTAAAATGCACTTTTATCATTAAACTATTAAAGTTATAAACATGATTAAAGACAATGCCTACTTAACTTGAAATAAAACTGTCCATATTAAGTACAATAAACATTAGTTTCAAGTCAAAATTGGTTGAATATTAATGAATCAAAGCCACACGGATGTAAATGTGTATTGCTTAAACTTTCCCTGAACAATTGTGTACTTTTTTATTTTATACATCTGTACATAGTGGAATGGAATCTAACTATACTTTTTAAACAGGGGGGGGGGGCTTTTATACAGTAAAACCACTACATGTGAACACTGTTCCCTATAAAGTGAACACTGTCAGCTCAATTGTGAATTGGCTGATCTAATATGTCTATGGGGAGCATCTCAAATAAACATGTCCTAAATCTTACTTTATGAATACTTTAAAGAGAGTGAATATAATCTCCACGCCAAAGTAAAGGATGACAAAGGGTGACAAAAATCAAATAAGAATAGCACCACTGAACTGATATGACCTCATATCCATAGCCATTTCTTATCAAATGATGATTTATAATGGGAGATGATTTAAATTGTATCGTTAAAGAACTGTTTCATCACAACTACCCGTTTGAATACATTGAAAACACATGACATGCATCATTTAATATCTACTACTTATGAATTTGCATGGAATCTAATATAATTATCATCTAGTACTATACAAAGATGACTAATAAAATAAGTTGTGGTATTTTTGTCGCCTTTTCTCATTCTTTACCATTTCTATTTCTGCTCACATTTTATTGGTTGATAAGGCAGGTAAGGGCAACACTTTTCCATGCATTTTTCAGAAATATATTCACTCAGACATGGATCTGTGAAAATGCACTTTACCTCATTGTTTTTCAATTGCCACTGGCTTTTGGTTATTTTGTATGCCCTAGCTATTCCCTTGTATACATGTATAAGTTTCACTCTATGTACATTTCACTGAGAAACAGCACACTTTAGAACAAAGGATATATATTATATGATCATGTATAAACCCTGATAAAATAAGTAAAACCGATGGAAACGGAAGAGATTAGAAAATATTGGAAAATGTTCAAGTTGGTTTATTTATGAATGTATGCTTTGTAAATCACATATATTAAAGAAAAAATAATGCTTAAAATAATGCTTTGCTTGTTGTGATAATATTGTTTGGAATCAATAATATTGTTTGGAATCACACATTCCAACTTTCATCCTATTCAAGATAACATACAGTAAAACCTGTGTATATTGAACATTTTTTGCTGAGAAAATGCTCAGTGTTGGTAGGTAGGTGTTCACTAGAGAGAGGGAAATTTATATAGAAGTCAGTAGAGTATGTGCTGAGGAAAGGTAGACAGGTGTTCACTACAGAAATATGGTAATTTATACAGAAGTCAGTAGAGTATGTGCTGAGGAAGGGTATCCAGTAGAGACAGGTGTTCACTAGAGAGAGGTATTCACTAGGGGTACCGCGAGCGCTCGAGTGCTCGAGCAATTCACCTCCGATACGAGCTGTATCGATACATAAAATGAATATCGGTCGTATCGTTTTTTGAAAAACTCAGAGGTTAGAGATGACAGACAGTCATAGTTACGTATCTTGCTTGCCGCCTTCGTTTGCCCCGATAGTTCCCGAATACCACACGTCGTTTAGATGTTTTAATCGATGTTAGCAATTAGCATATTTTACAACTTTCTTTGTCGTGATGTGAAATAAACGTAATCTGGCTGAAGTACTTCCGGCTTTACAAGTTTGAAAAATTAGCAAAGTTAAGTTTTACTTCAATTTACGCTGTATCATTGTATCGTATCGTTCGTATCGTATCGCGAGGTCAGTATCGTAGAAACGTATCGATATTAAATTTATTATATCGTGGTACCCCTAGTATTCACTAACACAGGTTTTACTGCAGTGAATAAATGAAGTATGAAATGCCACATTACATTGTAATTACTAACAATACCATATTTCATCAGAGCTTCCATCATATTATATACATTCTCCAAATTGTTACTAAATAGAACTGTTATAACATGATGCTATATCTATTTCATTTCTACATACATATGTAGATATAAAACAGGGTTGCTAAATATCCTGTTATATTAACATATCAATATAATAAATCAGACAGGAATTATATTTTGGATAATTGTTTTTATTCCCTGGCTAAAGGACTTAACACTGTCTATATTTGGCAATTTTTTGTACAATCCCTCTTTAACAAAAAGGATGGATAGATTATGTACACTGTATTGTAATGTATATTCTATTCACACAAACCTCTAAGTATCACATATATACCTCATTATCATTTTGAATAAGTTCTAAAATCACTCTTAGATAGTGTATAAGAAATTGTATTTGTACTGTCCCATATGTGCAAAATGGCTCATTTGGCATTGCATACACATGGAAATAATTAACAAGGCATTAATATGACAAAATGTCACCACCTGGGTGCAATAACATGTATATAAGTGTAACCTGGCTTAGCTACAGATGCACCACACCACACCACAAATACCAAGGGATATTTAAATAGTGGCTTTAACAATTCGACTATGCCAAACTGCTGTAATCTCCATAGACAGTGTGTATTTGAATTTTCCAGATCTTTCTCTGCCACTATAATACCATACATCTGTCACAAATACTCTCTGTCACTATAACCTCATACCGGTCACTATAATATCATACCCCAGGTAGATAATATCATATTCATCTATAAGTATAAGTAAAATATCAAACATACATATCATCTGTCAATGTACTCACAGATCTCTAACACTATAATCTCCCATATTTAAAATGTGTATGTACATCATATACTATAATATCACAGATCCATCACTATAGTATCATACACACATATGTCGATATGATATCTGTGTCACTATAATATCATACTTGTCACTATAATATCATACCAAGGATACTATAATACCAGATCTCTCTCACTACAAGCTCACACATCTATCATAATATCATACCTCTGGTACTACAATCTCAACATTATATTTAAATTGCCAACCATTCACAATTGTCTATTCAATCTGAACAAATCTTTCAGATTCCTGTTACTATGAAATATTTTGAATTCATGTATCAATATGCAGGACTCCATTGCATAATTGTCTATTCAATCTGAACAGATTTATCAGATCTCAGTCCCTATAAATCATCATTCTGTAGGCCTATCACAATCTCTGTCTCCCAATCTCAGTATGCTGATCTCTGTGTTGAAAGTGTAGACTGATTAGACATGTGGCATTCTCCAATCTGATTACAAGCAAGTATCAGGAAGCTATATTGAGTGTCTGGTTCCAGCCCAAACACCCTGTGCGTGTCTGTCTTGTACGTAGGGGTGCTTTTCCACACCTTTGTACCTGTGGACTCCCGATAGAGTAAATAGTGGGCGGTATCCTCGTTACTCTCTGGAGGACTGGGACTGAAGATCATTATTGAGGTAGTGAATGACTGACACATTGAACGCTCAATTTCAGGCACTGAAAATAGAGTAAAATAAATAATATGTGATATCTATAAAAACTACAGAATCATATCAAGAAAACAAGGCCCTGTCTGATATTCAAATTTCAAATATTGAAATAAATAGACTACAGCCTTCAAGGATTTTGCTTTATCTGTGTTGACCAAGAGTTCTCTAATACTGACTATATATAAGGGTTATGTACTAGGAGGTTTTGGATATGGGGTTTATCCAGAGGGAGATATGCATATCTACCTGAGGGACCGTAGGGACCGAAAGTAGATGTGCATATCTCACGAGGGATGAACCCAATATCCAAACCGACCGTACATAACTGCTTTATCCTATACCAAGTAGAGTTTTCTAATTTTCTTTCAATTTTTTCCAATTTTTTTTTTATTTTTTCAATTTTTTCACATTTTTTCATTTTTTCTATTTTTTCGATTTTTCTTTCTTTTTTCAATTTTTTATTTTTTTCACATTTTTCTCATTTTTTCTTTTTTTTCAATTTTTTCTTATTTTTCAAAAAAAAAATTCGAAGCGGGAAGATATGCCCTGGGGCGGGAGATATGGAGGTTCAGGATATGGAAACCTCAAAATCAGGATACGGGATATATCTTACCAACTTATCTCCCTAAAACTCTACTTGGCATAGGATAAATAGAGGATATCCTATGATTTATAAGTGATATGATTTTTATCCACGAATGGATATGATATCTGCACGAGCGAGCATAGCGAGAGAGTGCAGATATCAATATCCATGAGTGGATTAAAATCATATCACGAGTAAATCATAGGATGTTCTTTTTATTCCATAGTTAAAGTCATCATCAGAATCGTCGGAAATTAAGCTATTTAATTCGAATTTCCAAACGATCCGGCGATGTTGACACTTAGCCTCGTTTTGAGTCTGAAGTAGCAAAAATCCATAAACCATCGCATACGACGTCGTATGTCATGGCTGAAAAACCGTATGTTATGGTTAAGTGAAAATTTGTCAAAAATATCATATTTTACCACTGATTACAAAAATACCGTTTTTATTTTCACATGTTATCCTATGAATATCATGCTAACTATGGAATAAATAGAGATTATCCTACACTTAGTGTACTAAATGTATAATAACATGAAATTATCCTATATGACGTTCAGGATATTGGGATTATCCCGAGGCAAATATAATATATTTGCCCGAGGGCCGCAGGTCCCGAGGGAAAATATATTATATTGACCAAGGGATAATCCCAATATCCTGAACCGACTATAGGATAATATGTTTATCCCATACCAATCTTGGTCATCTGGTTCACATTGTTCAATCGTGGAAACATTTTAGAATATTCATGTCCAGTTTTGTTTTCTTGGCCATGGGGGGACTTTCCTGTTCTCTCAAATATTCCCACATTTATTTTCTCGAATTTTTTGATTGATTAAGTGGATGCTCCTTCCCTTCTTTAAACCATCAAACAGATCCCGATAGTCTGTGTTTTCTCCATTGTCGTTTACAGTCATTACGCAAACGTTACAAATTATGAACAAATAAGCGAGCGGCGATTATGACGTAGCGGGCAGATATACTATATCTGCCCGCTCGGAGCGGGACGTAAAGCTATATCTGCCCGCTGATGAAAATATAAGATTTTACAAACCGGCTTTATGTACCTGTAACACGTCCAAGTATGGGATAAATCGAGTTATGTTTTTGTTATCATACCAAAAAAATATGCAATATCAAGTCATTGAATTACGCATGACCCAATCCAATTAGTGTAAAGTTAAATTCAATTCTCCTTCTAGTTTCATTCAGTGCATTTCTTCTTCCTCTCTGCAGACCCTTGAAATGACAACATTTTGTATATTCAAGAAACAAGGTACAGTAAAACCTGTCTAAGTGGAACAACAGTGGTACCTCTAAAAACGTTCCACTTAGGAATTATTCCACTTATAGAGGTTCATTAAACATTAAGTCAGTTGGTCTTGGGACTATGATGTGCAGTGTTCCACTAACAGAGGTGTTCTGCTTCTAGAGGTGTTCTACTTCACAGGTTTCACTGTGTGGAATACCCCAGAAAGTAGGAGGCAGGATTGCACCGAATGAAATGCTTGGAGATTAATTAAACTGGCAATTATGTACCTGGCACTCGACTCTGGTTTTTAGCCATAGTTGTACAGTTGATGATATCAGAGTTACAGCTGTCTCCCGCCCCATTGCTCGCCATGACGCAGAAATAATACAGTGTATCGCTCTCCAGGTTATTCACAATGAGGCTGGTAGCAGTGTTGTGAGCCTGGCTGTAGCCAAACTTACGCTCTTCCAGAGGTGTCTTGAATGTAACAATCTCCTAAATGTTGGAAACAAATAAAGAGGTAAATACTGTTTATGACTCCAAGTATTAAATCAGCAGCTTAACTTATTATTTCCTGTGAATGGTAATCAGGGGGGTAGGGTAATCAGGGGGGGGGGGTAGCGTAATCAGGGGGTAGCCAGGGACCAACAAAAACAGTTGAGGCATTATATAAGTGAGGTAAAGTTTCAGCCAAAGAAGATACTACAGGGTGTCCTGGATAAGCTTTAAAATAATATATGACACATACAAAAGGTTGCAATGTCTTTCTTAAGAAATTCAATGGTAAATGACTTTCAATTTTGATATTATCTACCTGAAGCAAATAACTTCAAAATAAGGAAACAGTCCATGAGCAAAAAATGAACATTGGTTTAGATGTTTATTACAATCAATGTACCTGTTCTCCCTTAGCCTTCTGTTCTAGTGAACAGTAACAGACTGAGTAACCATCTACCACATCGTCATAGCTACATGGTTGCAACACCAGGACAACACTGTCGCTTGATCTGGTACACTTGCTCACATCAACAACTGGGGTACTAGGAGCTACAACATACAAAGTAAAATAACAAATAATGAGATGAAAAACAAGATACAATAGTGAGTGATACAATGCAACATGAATACAATATGATACAATAAAACACATGATACTAAAATAAAATATACAAAATTAAAGGGACAATTCTTGTAACTCTGAATCTAAATACCCAAAACAGTGATTTGTAACTTGCAATATTGGTAGATGGGCAGGTCCTATTTTTGCAGAAAAAATATATTAAGAATCTAAGCAACAAAATATAATTTAGTTCAATTTGCAAGGCCATTAATGTTGAACATTTTCAAATAGTACACCTAAGGTCATACAAGGGCATATGACAATAGATATAATATAATATACCTGGATCGATTAACAACTTAATGAAAACCATTACCATTTTGCATGAAACAATTTTTAATTAAAAAATGTGATATCAACACCCAACAACTATGAACATATTGAATATTTATTAATTCCAATCCTTCATAATCTATTTTGCACAATTTTTACAGTATATAAGGTGTGATTTTTTTCTTGACAAAAAAATAATAAAGTTTTATGTATGAAGGGAAAACACCATATACATGTATTATCTCTATGGGAACCTACCATCACTTTTCTTGATTCCAATTTTTCTCCCATTGATTCATATATTTAAAAAACATTGAAATGTGAACAACGCTGCTAATCTGAACACTCTTGACCGGTGTTTAGATGAGACAGATTTTACTGTATAGTACTACATTAAAATAATATTGTACCAGTAAGTTGCATTATCGTCATCAATGCCCTGAAACTATCTTTGACAGATGTTATTTGTCAGACTTTCAGGTGAAAACATGATATTGCAATAGGCTCAAGGCTACCCCACAACAATCCTTCTCAAAATGATCCTAAATCACTGATTGAATGAATGTTTTCAATTCTTTAACGGCGAATTTTTGTATGACTGGGGAGCAAGTGAATCTAGGGTTCAATATTTCCACGATCTAGCTAATTTTAAGGATTAAAATCTTGCTTGCTGTCAAAAAAAAAACATGTACCAAAATGCAGCCTGAATCTGAGCCATTTTCCAATTCATGAATTATGTTGTTTGAATTTGCTTCTTTCCAACAGCTTTGTTTTACAGATGCCTAATCTACTAGGCTTTGATACTCAAGGATCAATACGTACTCAAGGTAAATGGAGTGAGTTATCCAAGATCCTTTAAATATGAGGAGATAAGGTACAGCCTTTAATAAATTCAAAAGATATACAAATACTTTGATTGCACTTTGAACTAAACTCAACAGAACTACTTCTTATATTACACTATCATACATAAAGCTGCATATAATACAGTCTGACAATGATCATGAACTTACTAAAGAATCTGATATCTTGAGCGAAGTGGGGAAAGACGTGAAGTAAAAGCATTTTCAATAGTTACAAGCTTTGCAACCTTGATGTCACTGTATATATAGCCGTATTGTAGTGATTATTATAAGTGTTTAGTATGATTGAAAATAACCATGAAATGAAAAGTTGAAACAGAAAATAGAATCTAATATTTTGAGAGGGGAGAAGAAATACTTGCAGGATAAAAACAGGGATGGTGATGAAGTTATCGAAGAGCCAGTTGGCAGGAGCACTGGCGACTCTCAAGAAGAAGACCCCACAGTCTCTTCCTGTAAGTATTTCACATGGTATACAGCTGCAAATCAAACTAGCAAATCAGTTATTGTATATGATAGTTGCCTATAGAAGTATGTGTTGTCGGAACATAATCAATGACTCATGAGTGCCATGAATATTCTTAAAACTTCTCAGAACAATAGAGGTATTTTCAAACATTTCATATTAAATACAGTTAAACCTGTCTTAGCGACCACCTCTCTCTCTAGTGAACACCTGTGTCTAGTGAACACTCCTTCCTCCACACATACTCTACTGACTTCTGGAAAATTACCCTCTCTGTATTGAACACCGACCTACAGAGAACACTTTTTTGTGGCTCCATACTTGGACTGTACATAGGTTTAACTATACAGGGTGTCTACCATAGACAGGTGTTCACAAGAGAGAGGTGTTCGTTTCATTTATTTGAAGATGTGTGGAGTGATCCAAGCTGAGTTAATTGTTGGCTGGGACTGGTATGACTTCATTGTAGACAAGTGGCCAGACTTGACATGTATTGCTGCCACCCCACAGGAATGGCTTGTTAAACATGTTAGTATTCAAGTGTATGTTAATTGCATGATAAACCCAACTATCAAACAGATTGAGAATGTGAGTTTATACTTTTGATTTAATGTTCTTCAAAGCTACACTAGAGGAAGTATGTATAACTGATGATTGACTGATTTCAAAATATGATAAGTGAGGCCTGAGCCTACTCCCCTCTAGAAGTATATGTAGAGAGTATTTATGTGGTGCTGCAGGTCGAGTGCACTCCACATATTAAGACCAATGTCATTACTTTTAGGGTGTCATCAATAAAGGAAAATCAAACTGATGTGGAATACATTTTCCATTTGTATCATTGCAGAAAGCCAACAATGGTGGTGATGTATGGATGAACATTTTCTCCTGCAGTTCTGATGCATCAACCGCAGCATTCATTGAACAATGTGGGATCAAATTCAAAAATGCTCTATTCTTTTCAGGTACTAAGCTTATAAATCTTTTTAAACTAAGATTGTACAGTGAAACCTGTAAAGTGGAACACTTCTAGAAGTGGAACACCTCTATTAGTGGAACACTTCAGTGTCCCAAGACCAACTGACTTATAATGTTATATAAACCTCTATAAGTGGAACACCTCCTAAGTGGAACAGCTCCTAAGTGGAACACATTTTAGAGATACCAAAGGTGTTACACTTAGAGAGGTTTTGCTGTTCCCAGTTTGCATCATCTGATCATCATCTGATAATTAGAGGTTATGTCACTATCGTGGCATATATGCCCAAGGGTTTCAGTGATATATGGCCCGACCTTGGGAGGGACATTGATCTCTGAGAACCGAGGGCATATGTGCCACGATAGTGACATAAATGATTTATAACATACCTATGATGATGTAGACTGGTCAGAGAGTACCGTTTTCTTATAGAATTGACAAACAAATGGTTTGAAAATGATTGAAATGAGTTAAGAAAAATTGCTTGCGCAGTTTTATCTTCGATTGATTGGTTATGACATCAGCGCCTTGACCAATCAGAAAGTTAGGGGGCGCTGGCTTTTCAAAACTTATATTGGCCCGCTGTCTTGTGTACACTTTGCACTATACATCATCATAGATATGTTATAATCTACCATATAAGGTAAATAATAAAGCTTGTTAGTTACTTTCTCTTACCCAAAATATTTTACAGTAAATCCTGCATGACTTTGAAAATGTTTCAAAATACACTAACAATGCCAGAGAATTCAGCTAAATACAGTGTGTACTTTGTATATATTTGGGACAAGAGATTAAACCAATCAAAACCATTAAGATTTGATTTGATCCTGTGTATTAATTGTTGGTCACCTGAAATGGATGACAAATAATCTATTTTATTTGTAGCAATACAAGATAATGTATTGAGATGTCTGAGGAAGATGTCTTCATCTCTGGGCAGCATAAGAACAAGCCCATGTCATATATTTGGTATAGATGGCAGTGCCAATATGTAAGTAAATGTTTCAGGGATCTCAAATTTTTGAGTATTTGAAAAAGTGTGAGGTTTTCTTACCTTTCCCATTTCCCCAATAAAACAGAGAAGATTGTTTATAGACTGTTAATAAGTAAAGCTAATTTAGCCTTAAACTTTTATGTTTATTTATTTGGTTGACCCAAATGCAGGAAATTTTCAACAAAATGTTAAAATTTCAGATTTATTGTATATATTGGAGATTTAAGTAATACTTAGCACTCTTAAAAAAACATTTGCATTTTTGGGATAGCTTTAACATTCACAGTGATACTATTGCTCATTACTATACTATTATATGTACATGTACATCAATTTATGGTCTCATGAAATAGAAAAATTTTGATATTGCAGGATTAAAGATGTCAATTTTGATGGCTTGATGTTTGATGAGCTACGACAGAGTGATGTAGATTATGTCAATAGCACATGGACATTTGGTGGATCAAAACAAACCAAAGAGCTCATCAGCAACTATGTTGAAGTATTCCCATCATCTTGTATTAGAGACAAAGAGAACAATTCAATATATGCCCATATGATGGTTACAAGAGATCTGAGTATGGGCATGCTACATGTGGCGGAGTCTAAACGTCGCTTGGGATATGGATCAATTGTCATAAATAATTTGGCGGCAAAAGTAAAAGCGATTGGAGGGATGCCTTTTTGGTTTGTGGTAGAAGACAATTTGGCATCGTTAGCACTGTCTGAAAGGAACGGAAAGAAACTATGCGACGATATATTCTCCTGGGCAAGATTTGAGCCCAATAAATAAAAGGAAAGTTTCACATACATTTGTAAATAAATGTTGTTACAAAGTAGAAATAAGCAATCTCCATAATCTTTATGCAACTTTATTATACAAATATAATACATTTAATTTAAAGAAAAGGCCAATTTAACATAAATTCCTTGCAATATCTTGCTGTTTTTAGTGAAAATAATTCAGAATTTGAGTAAGGAGAATTTCAATCCACACACCACACATACAGAATCCTAGGAGAAGTGTATTATGGTATTTATGGGACAAGGTTGCCATTGAGACCTTTTGGTAGTTTGGAACTAGACAGAAAAACAAATTGCTATTGTATTAGCCTGTAATAATCCAGAGGTCAACAGATCTGGAGTTATACCTTTTGCCTTGGTAGATATGTCAGATAGAGATCAGATAGATACACAAGAAAAGCAAAATATCTTCACCTTTGTCAAGTAAAATGTAATAAATACTTGCCTCGTAATTTTCTGTAATCTTTCTGTTTGCATGGTATCAATTATAGATAGTATTTATTTATTTTAAGTGTTTTTTTTCATGCTCTCAAACTGGAACATTGAATTCAGTTTGCAATATTCAGGGTTTGTCATCTCTTATTTGGTTCTATCAGATCATCATTTTAGGACTTCAACTCATTCAAAGAATTGGTTACTACATGTTAAACTCATTTATATTTTAAAACTAATTCATCAGTCATCACAACTTGCTAACTTCTGAAACATTTCATACATAAGAGTGTTTTTGAAATGCACAATGCAATAGAAACATCACCTGGCAGATATTTTGAGAGTGAAACAGACAAAAACGGTTTCAAACTCTATTACCTAACACTGATCCAAAGGCCGTTTTCCATACTTAGGTTTAACTAATGAGTTGTTATCACAGCAAAGTGGAATTTATTTATTAGATTTATTTAAATCTAATAGTGCAACTATACATGTTCTTTAGTAACTTATTAACTTATTAAATCATTTCATAATAAGTAGATTTCAAATCTGTACATATGTCAATAGGTATCTGATATACTGGTTTACAATCCACTGAACATGATGAAACATTTGAATTTGAAAAAGTACTTTGAGTAGAGAAGGCCAAAGACTTATATTACCAAACAACTGCAATGGTATTGAAGTTGTTAAGGAGCCAGTTACCAGCTGCACTGTTGACTCTGAAGACAAAGGCTCCACAGTCTCAACATGTAAGTACATATACTACATTTCAGTAAATGCAAAATGTGTAACAACTCTTACACCAGGGATAAATGAAATGTGGGTCATAATGAGAAATGGCCCTGCTCTCCATCAATCACAACCTTGACAACTGTTCATTATGCTCATTCAGGGCCAAAGAGAGCCATAGAGAAATGGGGACAATAAACCCTGGTGTACAATAATTCATCTTACCAGTTAGCAAAGCAGTAAACCATATCACAATGGTCAGCAATGTAGCAAATTAAAATATACATATTAATTTTGGCAAGGAGTCTGAAATCCTTATGGTCCTTATGAATGCAATTCATATTTCATATATTTGAAGATGTGTGGACTGATCCAAGCTGAACTATTTGCTGGTTTGGAATGGTTCAACTTTGTTGTAGACAAATGGCCAGATTTCACATGCATTGCTGCCACCCCAGAGGAATGGCTTATTAAAAAGGTGAGTGCTCAAACCCCATGTTATTAATATTGTAGGAAACTATTGTAAGATCACAGTATAGAGGTAGAGAGGTTTCAATTTCGCACAACGTTTTAGTTCAATAGGAGAACTCAATACAAAGTATCAAATGATAGGAACATTTTACTTTTTGCGTCTTGCTTTGCTTGTATTCTTCATTAAAACAACTAAAACAAGGCATTAACATGACCAAAGTCGCACTAACAATTTTATGTTATTTCGAAGTGGTGTCATAATAGCCAAATAAATCAATGCTTTAAGACTCACTTCATCGATTCAAAATAATAAAAATGGTGGGTCTTTTTCACCTAAGTATTTCAACATTTCAGATACCTAACATTGACGACAATGTAAGGGTGAGTGTTTTCTCACATGGTTCTGATGCAGTGACTACTACATTCCTCCAACAATGTGGAATCAACTTTCAAAACAAAATATGTTTTTCAGGTATAAGAAACTCTTGTATAACTCTCTCAAAAATCAATCTTGACTGACCTGACCCTTTTATCCTCAAACAAACCACAAGATACACAATTTATTCTATGAATCCAAGTCCTAAAATATTTTCCCTTTAATACAAATACTTCTTTCAACCATTGCATATCCAAACTTTACCACTGTGGTTGAGAAATCAAAGCATTACAATGTATATCTAAAAAAAATGTTTTGCAACATCCAGTATTAAATGTCAATAATCTTTCTGAGATTGTTGAGTTTTTTTACATGTATAATTCTCCTGTGTTAATGAATCAAAAAGCAATTCATGCCATGCAGGGTATATTTTTCAATGCAGAACTTAGAATTCCTCAGATAAACAAAAGGCACACAGGGAAATCAACATGTTTGAAGAAAAGGATTCTGAAAAGTTTAGTTCCCTTAGAACCTCCACAACCAAAGTTACTGAATATTAATTTTTATTGGCAGCAATAGAAGAGAATATCATAAGATGCATAAAGAATATGACTCCAACGCAAGGCACCATCAGAGTAACTGAACCATGTTTTATGTTTGGAGTTCACAACAAAGTTTCAAATATGTAAGTACATGTATGAAGAGACAAGTGCGAACTTTTCTTTCTTCCCCAATTCATGAAGTAAATTTTCAAGTTGAAATATTTTTGTGCAAATGTAGAAGATTTGAACCATGATTCTCATAATCTTAGATGTATAACTGTACATTTAAGCAAAATTTAAATTTAAATTTTGATTTACTAGGTCTAAAGATATTGAATCAAATGGTGTGATAGTTGATGAATTAAGGGAGAGCGATGTCGATTATGTGAATGCTACATGGACCTTTGGTGGAAACGTACATACCAGAGCATTCATCAGCAATCTAGTTGAATCATTTCCAACATCTTGCATCAGAGACAAGGAAACCCATTCAATATATGCACATATGATGTTATCTAGTGATCTGAGTATGGGCATGCTACATGTGGAGGAGTCTAAACGTCGCTTGGGCTATGGATCAACTGTTATAAATAATTTGGCGGCAAAAGTTATACAGATTGGAGGGATACCTTTCTGGTATGTTGTCACTGACAATCTGACATCTACAGCAATGTCTAAACGTAATGGCAGAACACTATGCGATGACATATTTTCCTGGGCAACATATTTGCCACATAAGTCAAATGAGGAAAAGTTTAACTAGACTGTGAAAGTAATTTGATTTTGATTTTTTAGAACACTCCCTTTCAACTCTTAGTATATAGAACATACTGTACATCGAAAGTGTAGAATAACTTTGTGTTAGTACAATATAAGAATCCTTTATGAGATGGCTATCTGTAAAACTGTGTGTATACCATAATCACTGTGATATTAAGTATACTAGGTCATTCAATAGGTTCTGAGAAAAGTCTCATAAATTAATTGTTTAAATAATTGTTAATGACTTTCTTCTAGAAATCTTCACAGGGTATGATCCATCTTTTTGGAGAAAAATATGGTTATTCATGTTTTGAGTGGGTGAAGATTTTCTCATAACTTATTGATCGACCTGGTACATAGCACATTGATGAAAATGATATTGAAGTTTGTCATATACCCCATAATTTCATCTCATTACCATTCCTGATGCATCCCATACACTTCCCTCCTAGGATTTTATGATTTTATTGTATTTCGTCTCTTTTAATTTCATCATTTGTTTATGAATTATTTGGTCCCTCTAGTCCAGTCTCTCAAAAGATATCATATCATCCCTATGATAAACCCAATATACAATCCCTCCAAAGGCATAACCTCTATGTCTAATACAAATATATGCATATCACCCAGGTTCATTTTCGCATGTCTATTTTGGGAGATTTATTTAGAATTTCATCTAAAAGAGCCAGATCTGCAAATCCGGGTCAGACAAAAATGTACAAGTTACACATATAAGAATAGGCGTTCTCTGTAAAGGCCACAATATAATCAAAACCTACAATGATTCATCCTTTATATGAAATGTCAAAATAAATTCTATGAATAAAAGAATACATCTGTACATGTATTGCAGCTACTGCACATTAAAATCCAAATGTTAGCTGTAAATTATGGGAACTTTAAGTGAAAGAAGGATGGCCAAGAGAGAAGACATAAACTGACAGACTACTGTTGCCATCTTTCTTTCAACAAAGTGGCTACTGTAAATGGATTACCTGTAGCTAGTGCTGTGGTCACATTTGATTTTCAGTGCCGGCACCTGTCCGATGAGTATTTTGTTTAAAATTGCATTCAGTTCTGAAGAAAATATTTATCGGCCAGACACTGGTGTTGAAGATTGGCGCAAATATGACCATGGTATAAGGTGAAATATTAAGAATGTACCTGAAAGGTATGTCATGTCCCTTAGCATGGCCTTTTCTTTACGGAAGTCAACAACATTGTTTTTGACCTGCAATGTCTGTGAAATCACAAGGTGGCTGGCCTCAGGGGTGCCCTTCATCACTTTATCATTCACAGAGTTAGCCAACTATAAATAAATCAACAATGGGCAATAGAAATTATGTTTAAAATGGCAAATCTGTTTGACATGAAATAGATAATAATATGAAGAAACAATTCTGCCATCTTTAAAGTTGACTAAAACCTATAAGAAGAATTTAATAACACCTACTTCTTCACCGCTGTATCAATTCAACTATTTATTTCACATGATATTGTTCTTTTGGTTTTATCTTTTATCTTCTTGTTTTTGTTAAGAGTAACATTGACGCACCATACGCATACTTAACACAGAAAATAATTCAAGTTCAAGATAAAAGAAACTGTTAAATGTGTCAATAAGATAACACAGGTGCCACTCAATGTTATCTCATAAAGTCTAAAGTCATTGCGCTATGTAACATAAAAAAGATAAACTTTTTAAAATGAGCACTTAAATGATAAACCAAAAACTGTAATGCGTATTAGTTCTTGATTAGTAATTATCGCTGTCAATTGCAAGATGCGACTCGATATCCTAGCATTGTTGTTATGTATCAGTGATGCTAAGTATGTCACTGTGAATACAACCTACGGACAACTAAGAGGTGAGGTTAATACAGCCATTGGTGAATACCCCAAGGGAACGCTTAACAATATCACCAGCACACAATTTTTAGGTGTTCCATTTGCCAAGCCACCAATCAATAGACTGCGTTGGAAAGCTCCAGTTGAACAGGACACTTGGACAGGGGTAAAGGATGCTTTGGATTATGGTAATGCATGTTGGCAAGCACAAAGACCCAACGTGGACTATTCAGAGGACTGCCTAGTACTTAATATATGGATACCAGGAGATGTGAATCAAACTGCTTTAAAAAACCTAAACCTTTCTGTTATGCTATACATTCATGGTGGTGGTTTCCAGACTGGTACTAGCTCTCGGTATTTTGGAGGTTTCATGTCAAATGACAACAATGTTGTCACGGTAACAGTGAACTATCGTCTAGGAGTCCTGGGATTTTTCTCAACTGAAGATTCAACGGCTGAAGGAAATTATGGACTGCTTGACAATATCATGGCACTGCAATGGGTCAAAAATAACATCAAAAACTTTGGCGGCAACCCTAACTCTATAACCATATATGGGGAATCAGCTGGGGCAGCAGCAGTATCACATCTTATGTTGTCTCCAATGGCGGAAGGACTTTTCCACAGAGGAATAACTCAGAGTGGAGTAGCCACAGTATACTGGGGCATAGCTAGGAACTATCTAAAAGAGCTATCAAATTTGCTTGGAGAGAAGTTAGACTGTCCATCGCGTGACTCAAAGGCATTGACGAATTGCTTGCAAGATAAAGATCCAAAGGAAGTTACAAATGCAGCCATCCAGCTTGATGGTGAAATACAGCTGAACAGGAATGACACTCAGAGTAAATACCTGCCTAGAATTGATGGAAAAGTAATCATTGATGAACCTTTGAAAGTGCTTCAATCCGGAAACTTCTACCCATATGATTACATGACAGGTATTAACAGTCATGAGGGCTGGATGCTACAAAACACTGTTGCGATTGATTTAAGGAACAAAACCCTTGAACAAGGAATCAATTTCACTGACTTTGATCTCCTTACTCAGCGTTGGATGCGTTTTCTAAGCCACCCTGATAAACGGTTTGAAGTCAGCCAGGCTGTGAAACTTGTATATGACGTGTACTCATCAACTGCTGACAGCATTGATCGCTCTAAATCCTATTTAGACTTTCTCTCAGACTTTGTCTGGATTGCTGACAACGATAGATTCGCTAAATTGTACAGCAAAAAGTCCACAAATATCTACAACTATTACTTCTCACCGGAGGTATCAGAATACCAGAGGCGAATAAAATTTGCAAAGCCAGCCCCTGATTGGGTAAGAGCGAGTCATGCCGATGATATATCATATGTGTTTGGGTTTGCCAAGTATGCAAAGGCTGACAATGCAACAGATGATGAGAGACTGTTCAGTGATGCAGTCATGAAAGCTTGGGCCAACTTTGCCAAAACTGGGTGAGTATAACTGAGTAACTTTGTGGAAATACCAATGTGTCATCTTACATCAAATATCCATGATTACAACAGGCAATAGAATACTGTATTTTTGAGGTATTTCCTTTGATTTTACTTCATTCATTTCCCATTCTAACTCTTGATTTATATTTGTTGAATCTGAAAAATTCACAATATATCATAACTATACTCTTTTATTTCATGGAAGTAGTAGTGAAACATATATTATGTAGTTGTTGGTATATATCTAATGATCAGTCAATCACATTATATTGTATTGTATATTGTATATTGCATTGTATGTTATTGTAATTGTATGTATAGTTTTATTTTTATTTTATCATGTTTATTTGCTGTACACTCACCCGAAAGGGATTTTTAGTACAAAAAAGCATTGAATAATAAAATATTAAACATCATTCGTTTTAGTGATCCAGGGGAAGTTGCAGGCAAAACCTGGCCTCGGTTTTCAGAGGACAATCCCACATATCTTGACTTAACAACACCTATATCAAATATAACACAGATCACAAACCTGCTACCAAGAAAGATGTCATTATGGCTTGATTTTGTTTGGCCCATGCTAGATCAACCAAATGACTGTAAAATTCAACCCACTGGTGAGTTAAAAAGAAATCTATGTGAGATTACAGTATAACTTTTAATTTCCATTAACAAATCATGTTATAGTCTTATTATACATTTGTTTAAGACAAAGTTGCTAATTCAAGGATTATCTATAACTTGTAGAAATTAAGGAGAAGTTATGTATAATTTGTAGTAGTTAAGAAGAATTGTGTATTCGCAGTTGAGACAATATTCTATCATTTACCTAAATGATTTTTGAACAGTATAATCTACAATCAATACAGCATCTCAAAATTGTTCACCAAACCCTCTAACACTCTTTAAATGATTATGAGGAAGCCCCTCACGCCCCACCATATCGATAGATTACTAAACGACCATTAAAATAGAAATAAAATAGAAAAAAATATGTCCAGTATCATTTTATTTCCATGGTTTCCAGGCAACCCAGTGACGAGACAACCCAGCTCAGCCAGTACTGTGAGACCACTGGCAACAACCCTGATAATGGTGACACTCTCACTCCCAATGATACTGTAGAAGTTATGAGAACAATGAAAGACTTAATATCTGATGACATTTTTGATTCTATGCATATTTTCTGTCTGAAAGAACATGAAGTTTCCTAAATTGAATTAACCTGGCTTTTAAAAGTTTCTTAAAAGACTTCAAGCTTAAAACCCATTAAAACTATGTTAAAAATGTTTTAAAGTTGATTTACTTCCTGGCAATTGAATTAACATTAATTCAATTGAAAAACCACCTATTGAAAAACCATCTATTCAAACATCTATATAGCAAAGCAGATGAGTCAAGTGCAATGCATATTAAATCAACATTAGCATGTTAAAACTAACTAGCAGACTAAAATACAAATCTCCCCTTTAATTCTTAACACTGAACTGGGTATTGTTTGCATCAGCGTTAAGATTTTTATATCAATTACATAATAAATATTAATTTCCTGATGGATATTCATATCTAGAGTATTGAAAGTGAATGTACAGTATTGAAAGTGAAATTGTACTTAGACTAGAGCCTAAATGCATGTTTGAGAAGTCAATGTTTGAACAATCAATTGGGTTTATGAGGCTTCTAAATTATATTTGCCAAGATATAAGGAAATCCACTGTGTTTATATATCAGGAAATCTGGATTTTATTTCTATACTTAAACCATCATAAGCTTATTTGAATAAGAAAGCTGATTACATGTATACTATGTTAAACTGCTCTGCTAAATGCACACAGTTGCAAAGAACTTCACATGGCTTTCTCTAAAACAACCTCGTTGATTTTAGTATTATCTGCAATATCTATAGCCATCGCTTGTATGATAGGATTAAGAATGCTTGTGTTTTACTATAATGACAGTTCTTACATTATGGAAATAGATCCCAAAAAATGGAAACAATGATTTGCTTAAAACAGACTACCTCTAGGAATGTATATGGGGCAATCAAGGATATCAGCCTATACATCTAGGATATAAGTGGAACAATTAAGGATATAAGTGGAGCAATTAAGGATATAAGTGGAATAACCAAGGATAAAAGAGGAACAATGAACGATATAAGTGGAACAATAAAGAATATAAGTGGAACATTAACAAATCTGTTTTCCCATTTCATAACAGGAGAAACAACAGAATTAATTTCTGCAACATAAAAGATGGTGTGCATTCAAACAGGATTTAACAGTATGTGCAGGAACTGGAGATTACGAGGCATAAAACACATAGATGCCTTCAATGTAGGAAATACTGGACTCAAAGATATCTTTGGCTGACAGAAGAGTTTGACATAAAGGATTCGAAAATACACAAAGTGATTCTTATGCCACACATTAGTTTTTGCCTCATACTGTATGTGTTTCACGAGCTTAACTGATAACTTACATTTTTGACTGAGATAGACAGAAGTTTTTAAAGGATGGGTAGATATTATATAGCAATGTTGCTCTATGAGCTCTTCATTCACCACCTCTTAAGATTTGTAAGACAGATATTACCTGTGTACATATGGGGACAGGAAAAGGGGTCTTGTCACAGATTTTTTCAATATCTTGATTTTTTGTTTATCTCAAAGAGCACAAAGAGACCTATCATATGAGTCATGGCTTTGCTTATGTCTTAACGATTTTTCCTTGCAGATATAGTCCAAAAAGACGGATTTGAATTTAGCACATTCTCCTGTAGCACAATTTAGAGGCTCATATAGTGAATATATGATGAACAATACTTAGCAATTTGTCACTCTTTTTGTAAGCAACAACTTTATTTAACCATAACATGATGAAAAAATAAAACAGATTATAACATAAAAATATATTACCTGTAAAAATGATGAAGGGTCAGTTTCCTTGAGCACTTCCTTGGCATAGTGTGCCAGACTCTCACTGTGAACCTTCTGTCTCTGGTACTCCTCTATTATATTTTCAATCCCACGTGTCTTGCTGTTCTCTTCATATTGTAGATCGCTCAGGAAGAAACTACGCTTAACTTCAATTTCTGCGATCAAGGCATCACACTGCTGTTGAATACGTTGACGGGATTGTTGTACTTTCTCCTTAAATAGAAAGTGAATAATCATTTAGTTAAAACATCATTTTGATTTAATATGAGGCCATGTTTACAAAAATGTACTTGACACCCTTACTCCCTCAAAATTGAATTGAATAATAATCTTTTTTCAATGTAAGCTAACACAATATAATGGACTTTTACCCTCTACTCACAAATGTAATTATTCACGTTTGTAAGGATACATTGTCCATATCTGAATTCTAAACATCTACCTTTACCTGAGGAAGAATAAGTTTAGTAAAGCTTGACATAGTTTTTATCACATATTCACCTGATTTGGGCAGAATTGGTTAATTTGTATTTGTACATATATCATAAACCATATATAGTAAATAGTGAACACCTATGGAGCCCAAAAAAGTAGTAAGAGTTCACTACAGGAGACAAGGTAAACTTCATCTTCAAGTTATGTTCACTTAACACAGGTGTTCACTATAGAGAGGTGTTCACTATGACAGGTTGTACTGTATATGAATGATAAATTGTGGCAATTTTAAGCCTACTCTTAATCTTAGGAATTTTTTCTTGGAACGATACCGAACCTTGGCATTAACGTGAACTTCATGAACTAAACTAGTCCAATTTCTAGATTATAAACCTACTCGGAGTTCCTTGAGTTCAGTTCTGTGTCCTTTAATGATTTCATTCAACTGCCCATGACTGGATTCCAACTTCTGAAGGCTGTTATCTAGGACACCCTAAAACATTAAAATAATAACCTATATTACATCATATTATTACAATTTTTACTATATTGTAGCCTTTATGGAGATTGTTTTGCAGATTGAAAAGGAATTCATTCACTCAAGGAGGGCCAGAAAATGTGTTTAATAATGCATGGATTCTTTGATATGCAGCAGCCAGTTACACAATTGTTTCCTAAGTTACCAAAGTAAACGTTATATCTTCAGCAGTATTTTTTCATTTTATTTATTTAATCACTACAATTGTCTAATATTAATTAATAGTTTTAAATAAGAAAGATTAAACAGACAATAGGAGAGTGGATGCAAAAATTAAAAATAGACTTTACTCTTATTTATAGGTAGGTAGGGATTGATAGGTATATTCAGGACACAAAAGTTTCCATATCCTGTAATATGATTGCAAGGGTATCTGAACTGCTGTTCATAGCATCTGGCTACTTCCCAACATCAATCTACATCAATGTTACCATGGTAACAGATGCAACTCTATATCTCAACAACATATAACAGCTGATTGCTGCATTCAGAAATGGGTTGTTAGGCCATCTGCAAACTTAAATTGCATGTTTATTAAATAACCCGCCTCTACTAAAATAAGTTCACATTTGGCATCAGTTTCTTTCCTTGACTAATACATGTTTTGTTTGATACACAGAACACAATTATAACATTTTCCCCCTTATCTATTTCAAAATTCATGTAAAAGGAACACCATGTGTTAGTTATAGAAATAAACTTTGAATCTGACATAACCCATCTATTTTTTACAGCCAACTTAATCCCCTCCCCCCCCTAGTACTTAACATGGATCAGCAGTTAAATTGATAAAACAATAAAAGGGCTCAGTTTCTGTTCACAAACATGAATCAATCACGTAGGTACTTGAACAAAATGAAAATTAGTTACAAAGTTGTAGATGGACAAATGGATTCGTTATCACGTAACACGTATTAGTAGTTCACCAGATACTTGAAATTAATTGAGTTTTATAATACATATGAACTGCAGATAGACAAACAGGTTACTTATCAAGTAAATTGCATTTTGAAGTTATCTTGAACTTGATTTGGGTTCAATTCTGATCTGGTAGTGCAAATGACAAATCACTATTGCTCAGCTTTGCAACTAGTAGACTAGTGAAGAAATAAAACCAGAAAGCATGAACACATTTGTTTAGTTATCAAAATGAACTGGCATTCATGGCCGTACATATGCTATAAAATCAATAAAACAGGAAAATATGTGCTGTGAGGGGATAAAAAGCTGAGGGGATAAAAGCTTATAAACCATTCAGAACTGGTCACAACTTGCTCCATCCTTCTTTTCTATAGACATAAAGCTAGTTTAAAAAGTAGAAAGTAAAATAGAAAAAGCATTACTTTTTGAATTGGAATAATTCATTTCTCATATCATTTACATTTTTACAAAAAGAATTGTATCAAAGTCTATAAATGGTGCACATTACAGGCTCTTATGATTTTTGTGTGAATTGTACATGTATTTATTTAGAAAAGTATGCCAATGTTTTATTTATAATTCAAATTATAAGATTATGATAATAAATAAAATAAAAATTAATCATATAATTTTTGATAAAATGTAAAAAAAATAAATATCAAGTGAAACACCTTTGGTACCTCTAAAAATGTTCCACTTGGGAGGCACTGGCCGATCCAGGGGGGATTTTTATATGGGCTCAAAATTTGGGCCATTTTAGGCATTTTTTGGATCAAATTTTCAAGATTTGGGCCGAGTTTTTGATTTTAGGGCATCCTTGGCCCAAAAGTAATTCATTGCATTACATGATCTTAGACTAGTTGTTACAAATTGTCACAAAAGGGTAACATTTAAGTGTTGTTCAGATACTGAATGCTGGTCACATCTTGGTAGACACAGGTACTTAACAATAATAATTTTCAAAAATCATTTCAAACTGTTCTCTTTTGATCTTAATTTTATTTTCTGAAAAAGAGTTGAGCTATTCGATCAAATACAGAAGTTACTAAAGATGAATAAATGCAGGTATCCCCCTTTCCAATTATTTTAGACTGACAATCTTAAAACTTCAAGAATAACTTTGTAGTAAAGTCAGAACTCTTTGACTTTTTTAGAAAGAAGACATGGCATAGGATGATTTATCACAATATATATTGGGAAATTGTCACAATTTTTCGAAGAAGCTCTAAACTCATCTCCATCACTTCTTATCCAAAACCCCTTAGCTAAATGATGCATAGCTCAAAATCTTTGCTAGATATCACTGAAAACATTGAATCAAGTGGTAGACAACTTTTATTCCTTACCCTGATCATAGCATAGGCTTGCTCCACAGGGGTGACAGGGTGTCCTGCGTGTGTGCTGTCTTGTATGCATGTGTTACAGCCAAGTGTCTTACAACCCTGGCAATAAACAGTAGCTGCTTCACTATGTACCATGCATAGTGTTGTCTTTGCCTGAAGCTGTTTTACTGGCTCATTTAGTATATGATTACTGAATGGTTCACGATTAGGATGAGATAGTTCCAGGCAATGGTGACAATATGATGCATTACAATCAACACATATTTTCTTTGCTTTTCGTTCGTTTCCTGATTTACACAGCTGACACAAGGGGGAGCCATCTTCATCTGATTCGGTTGAGTCACTATCTTCAGTCTCCGCTCTGTATCTATCAATTATGTTCTCAATTGTGATGACTCTCGGGAGACTTGCAATACCACCACTGACGTATGATGTATCCCTACATACTGGACACTTGATGAAGCTGTGTTCAAACATGCGCTCACCACACGGTGCCTTACATAGCACGTGTGAGCATGGTAAGATAACTGGATGAGTATATAGTTCTAAACATATTGGGCATTGGAGTTCTGTGAGCAACCCCTCCATTGTAGTAATTTAATAATCCTTGCACAAAGCCCTAACACAATGCAATCCAAAGTAGCAAATAATGAAATATGTCTTGTGTGTTAGTTCACTCACTGCTGTAGATAATCATTCATGTGCTCAGTTAGCTAATTTTTAAAATTATTTCCAATTTATTTCAGATAAAGGAATCATGAGAAAACTTCCATTATTAATCGATGTTCAATTTGTTAATATATACCAAGATAACTGCGCAGCACGTTAATGATCAGAAGTTTCCTGTTACAAGGATCTTGGCAATTTTCCCTGTAGAGGTTGGCCTTGTGATTTTAGTGTTTTTGTTTTGGAAAACACACAGAGCTACTGGTTGTTTTAGTAATCTTTTTTGAAAATTACCCATTAGCATTTGCATTCATCTAGGCAGAACTAATAATAAATAGCATGCAGTAATATATTTTCATATTATGTTCCAGAAAATATAAAGGACAGAAGAAATTGTAGTCATTTAACTGAAATACGAAACTAATTTTTGACTTTTAAAAATGGCGGCGTCCATGAACACTTCCTGTTTAGAAATATTAAAATTTTTAAAATGAATATACACCTTTTCCAGATCATTTATAACTAAAAAGCTACAGAATTTATGTTAAAACAATTCGCCTTTAGCACATAGATCCCGGCCAGATTCTTTTGTAAGCCTAGTAGGATCAGTAGCTCAATAAATATTCCTCAAGATGAGACACCTCAGAAAATTTCAAATTTTAAAAATTATGACGATTATAGAGCCATTTCTGAAAAATATGAGACAAATCATACCTCATTCGAAGCATCTTGTTATTCTTTAACTTTTTTATTACCAATGACCGTTATTCAAGCAATGCTGCGTTGATAAGAGACCAAAACAGTGATATTTTATCGCCGGACTCTTGTCTGTGCAAATCTGAATGGTGCTCCCGTGGTTCCAGAAATGTGACGTCATCAGTACAATGATATTTGGACACACAAGAGTCCGGATCTCGTGAAAAATATTCGCCGTATTAAAAGTCAAATAACTACATCTATAGGTTATTTACTCGAACCAAACAAGTAGAAATAGAAAGATGAAGATCTCAGCTATAAAATGAGTGCAAAATCTGTCATGGGGAAGCAGGTACCATTTTGTATAAGGAACATTTTTGAAAGGTGGTCATATTTTTTTGAAATTTTCCAATTTAGTGTCGTATCTTGTGGATTATTCTTTGAGCCTATGAGATCCTACTACAAAACGATCTGGCCAATATCTGTGCTTTAGCACAAGGTCATTTAGGACGGTAAAAGAGAAAGGAATACCCCTTGCAATCACAGGAACCTGTAGTTACTGTGCTTGAAAAATGGAATTCGTTCTTGGAGGAGTTGCAGCATGTGGAGCTGGTGTATTTACAAACCCTTTGGAAGTGGTCAAAACTCGAATGCAATTACAAGGGGAATTAAAAGCGAGGGGCCAATATGCAAAACATTATAGAAATGTGTTTCATGCATTTTTCGCAATAGCTAAAAATGATGGAATACTAGCATTACAAAAAGGATTAGTTCCGGCACTGTGGTATCAGTTGTTTATGAATGGTTGGCGCCTGGGTGCATATCAGTGCTTTGATAATTTTGGTTTTACAAAGGATAAATCTGGGACTGTGAGCATTCCAAAAAGTATTGTAGCTGGTGCAACTGCTGGGGGGATTGGTGCTGTTGTAGGCAGCCCAGTGTATATGGTAAATATTCAATGTGTCCTATAATGTATATGTCAACAGATGATAAAACTAAACTACAGTTTGAATAAAGAGGTTATTTCAGATTGTTTCCTTTCTGAAAACACAGACCATGGGCTTTGAATGCCCATGCACAGGCCAAACTTTTGTTTATCACAGGTTCAGTACAAGGTGCTATTGTACAGTTGTATAAACTTTTGTAAATTTCAAGAATTTCACTGATGTTAATTATGTAATTTTTCATGTTAAGGTTCAGCTGGAAAGTAACATTTTGGTAAAAAATTGCCATACCTGCACATGTTATTTTCTGGTACAAAATTAAGTATGAAGTCATTTGTGTATCTCCTTGCTTTTTTCAGGAAAGTATCATTACACTGTTTACTTTTAGAATATCTAGAAACAGGTCAATGGAAGCTTCTGTGTTGTCTGGAAACTTTGAAAGAAAATTTGGAAAAATAGAAAGTGTGAAATATCAGAATTTCCTGGAGTTCCCATTGAACCCCTACCAGATACTCTAAAAGAAGACAATGTAATGATACTTTCCTGAAAAAAGCAAGGAAATTGACACATGCCTTCATACTTTATTTTGTACCAGAAAATAACATGTGCAGGTATAGCAATTTTTTACCAAAATGTTACTTTACAGCTGTACCTTAAGATTCACACTTTGTTCCATGAATGAAGTATTAATCTTTTTCTCACTATTAATCCAGCTATAAGATCATTGTGTATTTTGCATGTTTACTTTCCATCATGAAATGTATCAAGAAATGTACAAGATGCATTTCACATTTCCAGATAAAAACTCACCTGCAATCCAGGGCATCCCAGCAAATTGCAGTAGGACATCAGCATGATTATTCGAGTATGTCCAAGGGCATCATGGTCATATATAGACAGCAAGGTGTCAAAGGCCTTTGGAGGGGAGTGTCAGGTGCAGTACCCAGGGTTATGGTTGGCTCAGCAGTCCAACTAACAACTTTCTCAAGAACAAAACAGCTGGTGGCAGATACTAAAGTAAGCATACCATGTACATTATTTTAATCAATTCCCTTATATTCATTTGATTAAATGGAAAATCCCTTGGCATTTCAAATGTTACAGAAGTAACTATGACTTTTAATCAAGTTTATTTCTGGTTTGGTAACTATTGTTGACATGTACAAATAGTTCCTAAATTCATTCCACACATTTTACTTTAAGACTTACTTGTTTATTTTTAAGTTGGTGTCTGAGGACAGCTGGTTAGTACCTTTCACTGCTAGTATGATGAGTGGAGTCTTTGTGGTGGCCTGTATGACACCCTTTGACGTTGTCTCAACTCGGCTTTACAATCAAGGAACTGATGCTCGTGGCAAGGGACTTACTTACAAAGGATTCTTTGATTGTTTTGTGAAAGTGTTCATGAAGGAAGGTATATGGGGATTCTATAAAGGATGGGCAGCATCTTTATTTAGACTCGGGCCACACACTGTATTAAGTTTATCTATATGGACTGAGACACGGAAAAACTATAAGAAACTCAGTGAGCACACACACTTTCCAGAAGTGTTAAAACTGAAGAAGTAATACAGTAGACACCTCAGTACTCATTCTACCTTTTCTAAATGAACATTTTTACAGCTCAGGGTTCAAAACTCCCAGCTGCCAACTGCCAATGGTAATCGCTATTCACATTTCACACTTGCAGTGATCTCCCCAGTATTTTTTATCAGGGGGGTGCAAAATTCTCATTTTCACAATTTACAATGGTCAAATTTTTCCTGATTCATACCTGCCAACCTACCGTATTTTTACGGGAATCTACCGTAAATTTTTCGTTTTTCCGTAAAAAAATGACAAACTACCGTAAAAAAATACCATTTTTTTCCCGTAAAAACGCCCGTAAAAAAATCTACCGTATTTTTTCGTAATCTACCGTAAATTTTCTTTTTAAAAAACTCGTTTATTTCATGAGAACGGCCGTAAAATCTACCGTAAATATTTGAAAATCTACCGTAAATTTTCGAAAATCTACCGTATTTCTGCTAAAATCAACAGTATTTTTGTTCAAACTACCGTAAAATTTCCCGTTATTGTTATTGGGAAATGCTGAAAAATTGAAGTCTTCCTGTACTGTCCCTGTAATATTCCTTCACCAACCCGAATATATAAGGGTTATGTACTGGGAGGTTTTGGATATGGGGTTTATCCAGAGGGAGATATGCATATCTACCTGAGGGACCGTAGGGACCGAAGGTAGATGTGCATATCTCCCGAGGGATGAACCCCATATCCAAACCGACCGTACATAACTGCTTTATCCTATACCAAGTAGAGTTTTCAGGGGCATATGGCCATTTCAATAGTACAAGGTGTAAAAATAAACAAATCAAGTCATTTTAATGCATTACCGGAAGCGGGAAGATATGCACCGGAAGCGGGAAGATATGCACCGAAGCGGGAGATATGGCGGGAGATATGGAGGTTCTGGATATGGAAACCTCAAAATCAGGATACGGGATATATCTTACCAACTTTTCTCTCTAAAACTCTACTAGGCATAGGATAAAAATAGGTATCGGCAGGTCTGTGGTTATCAGGTTATTGCGCATATTTATCTAAGTAAGCTTGCGTGTAATCAGTCCAAACACCAACTACCACTAGCTAGAAAGAATTCTTTCTGCCATGATTTTTGTAGTTAACCAAACCCTTTTGTACACAAATCTTTATTCCGAATGCAACAAAAATATGATTTTAGTTGCGCTTCATCTAAATAAATGAGTGGAAATGTGTATGCATATTTAACGTATGAAATATGCGTAGTTTGATTTGTTATGAGTCAATGATCGAACGGCACATATACATTATACATAGTTTAATCAATTTGTTAACAGAACGATAAAATGTTGTATTTTTCATCAGAACACATTATCAGTAACAAATACATAATTAAATAATAATATTGTGACATCCGAATCTGAACGATGTCTCAGGGGAAAGGTTTCAGCAAATGCTCATAACAGATTATTTTTGGAAGACAATTGATCTGTACTTATTTTCTATTTGTGCCAGACAAACACATTGATATCATTAGAGACTTGCGAGTGAACAAATCAATATTTAATACCATATGATTCCAATGTTATATGAACATTATGTCTGTCATTTTAATTCGTTAAAGTGATAGATCATATTCATAGATGGTGAGTAAAAACGTGTAAAATCCATATTTTGTATTTCAGTAAATGTTTCATTCATGGTATTTCCAAACATCCTAATATCTAAAAAAAACTGGTTAGAAGGTGAATAAAAGTTGAGATATGAATATTGTGTTCGTATTTTGAATCAATCTAGATTTATTGTAAAAGAGTTGTATATGTACATTTTGCTGAAACATTAAAATCCAAAGTTGCTGTCAGTCCATTGTAGGCATGGTAAATGAAGAATAAAAAGTGTTTAGTCTCTATTTATTCTTGAAAATAGTATATCTATTTTTTCTTGAAAATAATAGTTTCGTATAATTCTCAGGTGGTAGTTCTGCTTTACAAACTGTAATTATCAAAAGCACTCTTGCAGTAAAATATGTATTCACAATAACAACAACAATATGACCACGTAAACATTGTATCAATATGAAAAACCGCATTGTATAAAGGTTTAACTACCGCATTTTTCAAAATCTACCGAAAAATACCGCATTTTGGCAAATCTTCCGCAAAAGTACCAGTTTTTTCCAAAAATTACCGTAAAAACTAATGCAATTTTCAAAATCTACCGTAAAACTATCGCATTTTTTCAAAATCTTCCGCAAAAGTACCGGTTTTTCAAAAAATTTCCGTAAAGACTACCGCAATTTTCAAAATCTACCGTAAAACTACCGCATTTTTTCAAAATTTTCAACTACCGTACAAACTACCGTATTTTTTCAAAATCTACCGTAAAACTACCGCATTTTTTCAGAATCTTTCGCAAAACTACCGGTTTTTTCAAAAAGCTACCGTAAAAACTACCGCATTTTTAAAAATCTACCGTAAAACTACCGCATTTTTTCTAAATCTTCCGCAAAACTACCGCTTTTTTAAAATTTCTACCGCAAAATTACACTTTTTTCAAAAATCTACCCCAAACCTCTGAAACTACAGTATTTTTTTAAAATCTACCGCAAAAACTACCGTATTTTTTAAATCTACCGCAAAAACTACCGTTTTTTAAAAAATCTACCGCAAAAACTACCGTTTTTTTATAAAATCTACCGCAAAAACTACCGCAATTTTGTTTAAAAGTACCGTAAAAACTACCGTATTTTGAAAAAATCTACCGCAAAAATACAGCAATTTTAAAAAAATCTACCGCAAAATTTTTGTCTTAGGTTGGCAGGTATGTGATTTTCTCATTTTCAAGTGGGTGCAAATGACTTTTCAGGTGGGTGCAAGTCTGTTTTCAAAACCTCAGGTGGGTGCTGTGCTCACTTGCTTTAATGCTGGGGACATCTCTGCACTTGGGCTTGGAAAAACTCGTTGCTCATTGGGCAAGTGAGTTGTTACAGGTCCACAATATGGGAATCTGGGCAATCATGAGTAGACTATCATGTTTACATGCCTGTTACAGCTACAACATAGAATCTCTTAGCATTAACAGTCACAAATATATTTTGCACTGCTCTACCTTTTGGAATTTTTGCAGGCGACAACTTTAAATCGAAAAGAAATCTTAGTATTAAATTACTATATAGATTTTTACTGATTTTTAAAGCAAAGAAATAATGCATTTTATATTATTGCTTATATAAATAATAATATTTATACAAAAAAATATGATTTACATGAATAAAGTGAATAAAGTCAAATGTATGTCGAAACATCATACATTTTTCAAAATATAACTGTCCGGTTATTTTTGAGTACCGTCATTAAATAAAGGTAGATGTTGATAAAAAATAGTTGACCTAAAGGTCTACAGACAACGACACCAACATGACCAATGACCATGATTATCAAAAGTTGTCTGAGTGGATTTGTTACAGTCAATGTAATGTGAAATAGGCCTCCATCTAAGCCTATGTGATTTATATCAGTTGCACCAGCTCGTACCAGGGTGACAGGAGCAAAAGGGAACATGAGACAAAGTGGCACTCATGTGACATTTAAGAAATATTGGATTCATTTGACCTTATCCCTTAATATTTGATCTTAGCATAGACCTTATGTCTACAAGTTACAGTGAGTATATTATCAGAATTTTACTGAATGAATTAAATTTTGTTTTTGGAGAAAGAATTATGAAAAGAATCATTGAGATAACTAACTTTTTCTTTACATCACTAACCTACCACAGTGTACATCATAGATTTGTATGTTAGCATATCTTCAAAAATGACATACCCAAAATGTAATTTGTTGTTGATTGTCATTACAACATTAAATATTTGAAATCAAAATGTTAAACCATTTGCCTGAAAATGCATAGACAAATCTGATGGGTGGATTTAAATTTAAAGCCTGAAGATGTGAAACAATTTTTTTTCCTGGCCTAAATTGAACTCTGTAGAACAACCACTATCAGTGAAGGTCTTGCAATTGATCCACTTGGTACATTCAGGTCATTTACATATATTCTATAAATATACTAGTGCAAATAGTGCAAATACATACATGACCTCGTCTATTAGTGGAGGCACCTACATGAAATATGGCTTTGATTAAATTTTCCTTCTGATGACACTTTGTTTGGAGTTTTCCAACAGCAGTAAGAAAACTTCTTGCACCAGTTGATATAGGCTATAATAGTCGAATTAGAAATGTTCTAAGAATTGGGCGAATGGTCCTGCAAGCTGGCCACGAAGGGAATGTAATCTTGTCAGATAGGATAGAAAATGAATCTCTGTTTAAACATGGACTTGGGATTTAGGGTTGTGAACCAATAAGACCCCTGCATTTGATCCCGATACAGCTCAATCCACAGCAAATCAGGAATGGCTCAACTGTATGGTATACAACCCTTACACCACCCTTCTACAAATCATAAGGCAAGCACTTGAATATTTTAACACACCAACGATTGTGTGCTGTAACTGGGGTCCAATGTCACTTGATGCCAACTTCGCCCCAATATGTAATTGGCGACTAAAGTGGATATGGGATGATATGTACAATTGATTTATCTCTCTCTGCAGAGAACATGGCTATGGAGATGCATGCGACAATATTAGAGATGCATACAAGACTATATCACTATTCATGATAAACAGAAATGACGCTATCCACTACCCTGCCCCATATATGCCACATAGCATATCTGTTGAAGGATTTTTTTGACATCTGAAACAGAACCATTGGATACAGCAATATCATCAAGAAAGCAGGAGAACAAGGTATAAGTGTTACTAGTTTTGGCTCTATGCATCGTCCATTAGATCCTAATATAAGTGAAAAGTTTGGAAGTGCCTTCGCCGCAAAGCCTCAGACTGTCATATGGAGCTACGAGGGTCCCTACCAAAAGGACTTTCTGTCAAATAGATGATTCAAATGGAAAAGTATTAACTAACACAGGAATTAGTTTAACATATTTGTCTGAAATGCAGTTATTGCCTTTGATCTATACTAGAGATTTATTAACAAATGTCACAATTCAGTAATGGCAAATGACAATATAACACAACATACTGACTTAAAAAGGGCCAATCTTTTATTATATGCTCACAAACATATTTAGCTACTTCTGTATAAACTAAAAGTCTATAACATATATGCCAAAAAATGAAAAGTATCATCTCAGTACAAAATGGCACTCTATCGAGGACAATGTTAGAGAATTTCTGCAGTGTTCCATGCCCATTTCCCCATATGTGCCCTTTGAATGCAAATACCAATTTATTGATTATCAGCATAAGCCAGCATATAGAAACTATTTATTCCTGTCTATTTATTCCTGTCTACACAGAATAGACTATAGAAGAAGTTGTGAAGTAGTGAATCTGGAACATTCAACATAGATTACTGATACAGTTCACATACCAATCCACATGAATCATTAGGTATAATTCTAAAATTTCAGATGTAGAGATTCCCTTTAAGTTTTTACAAAAGTATAGTCCACACATTATAACTTATTTTATACGACAGAAGTCAAGACATCAATCCATCCCTGGAAATTATTTTTCTTCGCCGAAGCCAAGGAACTTTCTAGTTGAATTTTTGAGGAAATCATATTGTGTTAAGACTAATCTGTTATACCATATACAAGATCCATATAGATGCAGAATCTCAAGTTCATATGCCAGTTGTATCTGAGTATTCCATATTTTGCCTTATTTGCAACACAATTCTTCAAATTGAGAAATCTTGAAGCTACTCAACATTGTCACATGTTTCACATTTCTCCACATTGCAATGATTCACATTTTCTCCATTTTGTTTCACATTTCTCCACACTGCAATGTTTCACATTTCTCCACACTGTAATGTTTCACATTTCTCCACATTGTGAAATCTGGACAGGTATTTTAGGTTTATTATTAGGTCCAGTTGGAACGTTTTCTATTTTTCTTAACACTAAGAGTCCTTCTGTAACTCGACCTGGAACAAATGTTTCAACACTTTTATTATAGCTACTGTATACTGTATACCGACTTCATCTTATCATATTACAATTTGGCATGTTTGACCTGAATTATGGAATCCCTTTTTATATTTATCAAATTCGATGGGATGATTCTACTCGTCAGTTTTCTTATATCTAATGTTTTGCCCTTTCTACTCACATGCTTTCAAAGTAATAATGATGAACTGAATAGTCATAACAGGTGTAAAGAATTCAATGATTGATAGTATTGAGGAAATAACATGTTATTCATACAACAAAATTAGGAATAATTTTGCTTGTTAAAACTAGGTAGGCTACATAGTACATTTTAGAATTCTGTTTGCTTACTGTACTGTGCTGTGTTGTGTTATGTTATGTCTTGTATTGTATTGTATTGTATTGTACTACATTGTATTGTGTTGCTTTGTATTGCGTTGTATCATAAGCATGTGAATGACAGGATGCTACCAACACCTTGCATACTAATAAATAAAAATAAACTGTAAGTAAAATAGAACTTACCAATTACCACATGTTTTCCATCCAGGAAGTCACACTTTGCACATGTGATGAAGAACTGACAGCCATTGGTGTCTTTACCACTGTTGGCCTACAAAGTATACAACAAAGATTGTTTTCAAAGTACATGTACACTATATTGCTCATGTATGTGATGTATAAAACCTGTATAAGTGGAATATCTTTGGTACTCCAAAACAGTGTGCCACTTGGGAGATGTACCACTAACACAGACTTATTTTACATGGACATAATTGGTAAGAGGAGGAGCTCCTGTATATGTACAATAACACTCATACTCTTTAACATGTTAACCAGTGATCATCTTACTATAATGTCAAATAGATTTAATTCATTTAACACAAAATGCTGTAAAAGGGTGACAATTTTCCTCGCACTCTATGGCCACCTTACCATATCAAACATATGGGTGGTCTATGGTGACCTATTTGGGTTAATGACTTAATGTGAACAGTTCTTATTTGTTAAATGTACATTATCCATACATGTTATGTTTGAAGTTTGAAAGTACATGTTCCTTTATTAATTGTTTTTTTATATAACAGATGCATGGCAATGTAGCACTCACCATTGATAATATTCCTGCTCCAGTATGTTTCAACTTAAAGTTCTCATCTGCAAATGCGATTCCTCCATATATACTGGTCAGACCAACACCATCACCCTGGAAGTTAATAAAAAAATATGTAGGAATGATCCAAAGGGCATCAAGTAGCTTTTAACATATACTGAAATGCACTTCACAGATATTTATTAAGAAAAAAAGTATGCATGTAAGTTCAGAATTTTAACTGGCTGTTGATAAAATATATATTATCAAACTGCCTTAATGGTTATGAAGTCAAAGTTAAAAAACGTCCATTTCTACTAACTAAGATAATGATATCAACATGTTTAATGAGTAATCGATTTCACTTCCAAGGTAATTCATTGACTTTATTCACTGTGAAGCTTATTTGTATAGCATTAACTAGAAAATGGCAACTCCAGGGAGACACGTGGTCCTAACTTCGACCGTTAATTTGAATTTTTGACCTACCAGGTGCTTGAAAATCAAAAATTGTGAGTCTCATACTGCACCATTTTTCTTCAAACTTTTACTATTAAAAGCAGAACAAAATTGCCTTTCTGTCAGTGCATTACTTAATTGTAAAGAGTCCCTCGTTCTAGCAGCGTTTTGGTCCCCAGCTGTTAGAATGCCTTCTTACAGCTGGGGACCAAAATGCCACTGAAAGTAGGGACTCTGTTGAAGAGAATAATGTACCATCAGAAAGGGATTTGTGTTATGCTTTGAATGGAACAAGTTTGAAGAAAAACGGTGCAGTATGAGACTCGTAATCCTTGATTTTCAAACATCTGGTATGTCAAAAATTCAAATTAACGGTCGAAGTTAGGACCGCGTGGGAGAAGCAAATCTAAAACAAATGATAAATGAATCACAATATAATATTTACCATCTACTTTATCCTTTATGTGCAGATAATAAGATGCAGATAATAAAAGACAGACATTGGAGATAGATCTATCAAAATTCCCACCAATATGCACAACCTAATGTATACTAGTTTAGCAAATTCCCATCTTAGTATTCTTTTTTATTCTAGGTCATTCAACTCATGCCTCTAAAAAAACAGATCTGAAAATAATTTTTCTTAATTACAAGTTATGGTACTCACACTAATAAAATCTCCACCCTGGACCATAAAATCTTTGATAACCCTGAAATTAGAAATAGGTCATGAAAACACAGGATTTTGAATATTGAAGTTAAGCATTTCTAGTCATATCAGTTATGGCCTTCAAGAAACCTAGTCCCACAACCTCTTTCTCATATTAACTAATACACATGTGTTAATACCCAAGAGTAATCACATGGAATTATTCATGTCTTAAGATTGACTCTGTCATATCGGAATACTTTTTCCATTCACATGTTTTCATTCTAGTTTTGACAATACACAAAGAATTCACACATCATAACATGGGAGGATGAATGGAATAATAGGGCCTCAGAGGTTAATACATAGGGCCTCAGAGGTTAATATATAAGGCCTCAGAGGTTAATATATAGGGCCTTGGAGGTTAATATATAGGGCCTCAGAGGTTAATATATAGGGCCTTGGAGGTTAATATATAGGGCCACAGAGGTTAATATATAAGGCCACAGAGGTTAATATATAGGGCCTTGGAGGTTAATATATAGGGCCTCAGAGGTTAATATATAGGGCCTCAGAGGTTAATATATAAGGCCTCAGAGGTTAATATATAGGGCCTTGGAGGTTAATATATAGGGCCTCAGAGGTTAATATATAGGGCCTTGGAGGTTAATATATAGGGCCTCAGAGGTAAATATATAGGGCCTTAGAGGTTAATATATAAGGCCTCAGAGGTTAATATATAGGGCCTCAGAGGTTAATATACAAGGCCACAGAGGTTAATATATAAGGCCACAGAGGTTAATATATAGGGCCTTGGAGGTTAATACAAGGGCCGAGCAATATATTCGCTACTTTTTGCTCTCAAATTGTTAATGATAAAGTATCTTACCTGAAATTTTCCAAAATAATAGAAAAAACATTTTTCTGTAATATCACCAAATGTGCATTTATTTGGTTACATCCGTAATATTTTACATGGCATTGAATATTGGTTGATAGTGACCACCGGAGCTGACATTTGTGACAATGTTTCAGAAAACAACTTTTATACAAAATTTCCTTTTTGTTAATTAAGACAGTTACTCCTCATTCCGTGCCTCATTCTCAAAATAGTGTCCATCTGCAGCTATGCATTTTCTACATCGGGAAAGCCAGTCTTGATAGGCCTGTTGCAGTCCGTTTCCATTTCCATATAGGTATTTTAGGGCCTTATGGACGGCCTCAACCACTTCTTCACGGTCACCAAACCTCTGCCCGCGTAGCTCATTCTTCAGTTTGCCGAAAATTTCAAAGTCGCACAATGCAAGGTCTGGACTGTATGGTGCATGATCAAATTTTTCAATGTTTAGAGCTGCTAATATATCAGTTACCTCACGGGCCCTGTGTGATGGAGCATTATCTTGATGATATAGCATATGGTTGATCAATACTGGGCGCTTTTTATACAAAGTCTCTGTTCTTTTAGATTTGCATTTACCATGCTTGCTTCTTGATGCAACTCAGGAAGCAGAGTCTCCCTTTTGTGATGTATATCATAGTTTACTCAATCATTCTTAAATAAAGTTAAGTTGGAGCAACTGAAATCTTGAGAATCAAGCTGACCTACCTATGGAATGGACATCCTTTATATCCTATTGGGACACCATCCTTTCTGTATTCACCTGTGCAAAATTGCCTATAAGCAAGATAAGCATAAGATGAGTCTTACATGTATTTGATTTCATAAATTGAATAAATACTTTCTACTTTTAAAACTATGAGAGTTATACTTGTCATTTCATGCACTTTTTTCAGCAAAGTTATATTAAATTTAAAGTATTTAACCCTTAATAGATAATTTCCCTGATGTAAAATTATATTTTTAAATTTATTCCAAACTCACATGCCTTACCTAAAGTTTTCGGCTGACTTTGGAACAACATCGGCAAAAAGCTCAAACTTAATTCTACCAATTTCCTAAAAAAGACAAATTAAGTGAAGTATTGGGATTAAGGAAGAATTGGGGTTAAGGAAGATCTGTATGTTGGGAATTCTTACTTATTTCCATAATTATGATTATCATCATCAATAATTAATAAAAGGGTACAACATTTTTCACATTTTTATGTGGATATTTATATTATGGAAGAAAGTTCATACAAATTTGAAAAATACTACGTGTTTCAATAATCAATAGTAATAGTAAATTAATCATTAATATTCATAAAAAATCTAGACATGCCAATCTACCTTATGAGGGACAGAGTCTCAAAATTCCAATATAGCTCCTAAATGAACTAATGATATATAAACAATTGGGATAAAAGGGTATTTTCAAAGACAATTTCACAATTACTAGATTAAAATGTCAAAAATCTGAAAATTTCACAAGCTAAAACATAGTTCAATAAGTTAAACCTAGTCTTGGTCTTATTTCATATTGAACATCCCTTGTGACCCGCAACTAGGTTTGACATCTTCCATATTCATATATGGAATATACCATATATACCATATTCCGCCAACGCTGCAAGAAATTTAAATCAAGAGGGAGATTCCATGCACATGTAATTAATTCCTGCTTTTGTGATGTTACTCCTGAACTAATGAGATCCAAAAAACCACAAATACATGTAGTTCTACCTTATGAATAAAAACACATACCATATCTCCTTTGTCCTCACTCAAGCATAATTTTGAATAATTTGAAGACAGCTTTAGAAAAATTTGGTTCAGACTGAGGTAACATTGAAATGGCAAATCACCATTGATGACACTGAAGCATGGGCTTTCAAGAGATCTGTTTAAAACCTATGACTGAACGAAACGCCATTGACAAGTACACAAACGAGAGATGCACATTATTTCCTCAGTGGATCTATTCAATATCCCCTGGAAGAGATTATCAATTTATTGAAGGCAATTTCATTGCACTAAGAGTTTGAGGTTCAGACACAAATGGCCAATGCTCAAACATTGATTTGGGAAATGTAGATTGTCACATCTTCTAACACTCCTGGACAATTGACTTTGAAATGGAAGGAAAACAAGAGATTACAACCTTGATAACTATACTTTTCTTGGCGGGGCGAAAACATGTTCAATAATAGTACGATATAGAGTAAACGTTACGTTCTTCAAGTTCAACGTTACGTTGATTTGTGACCAAAAATAAAGGACGGGAACCTGTATCAACACCTGACATTTATTGGTCACCAAACCTAAAATAATGAAAATGCACAATTTATGCTTCAAATGGTACGTCTACGTATATAGTCTATTATTTTTCCATGTTGGTCCACCCACAGGAACCTGTATCAACACCTGTCACGAGTAGATAAGGTTAACTGATGTTGCATTCTGGGAGTCAATCCACCTTGGATCACAAACATGGCAATCCATGAAAACATTCATTCGATTTGGTTGGAATTTATCCATCATTTGCAGGTATGAAGCTTCGGATTCAAGTGTAGGGAGTCAAGTGGACACCCTGTTTTCAAAAGTTGGTGGTCCATATTATAACAAGGTGGTCCACTAACTATGGATATAGCAATCATGATGCGACCCCCCTCCTTTGCACCAAATTATTTTTTGAATCATATTCTAAATTTTTTTAAAAACTACCCCCTCCTTGGCTACCCCTCTCATACAGACTCAGAAAGAGGAATACCCCCCAGCCCCCAGTTGCTATACGGCCTATTCCCCCACCAAATATCCTTTCCTAGTATCCTACACCCCCTAGTAAATGTCTGCCCCCTCATATTATCATTAAATATTTATCAGATTTCGCGGATATATTGCATTGTTTTCTGAAATTAAGTTTGACTTTTTTTCAATTAGTGTCCGGTTGATATATGCGTGTAAACAACGAACAGTAGAAATTGACGAACGTACGAACTTGAGCATACACATCGGTGTATGATATTTATATCGCCCTTGATAAATGAGGTAGACTTATTTCAGTCAAATGTGCAGTATACAGCAGTAGATATCGATATATTTATCGGAAAGCTGCCAAAATGTTGAAAATCAAATTTGAATATGTTAGTTACGAACCAAACGCTACGTTTGAGATTGTAATGCAACCAAATTACCCAGTATTCTTAGTATGATCATGCCGAGTTTTTGATTGGTTAATAGGGTTCAATGTAGAGGTCGGGCCTACATTGGCGCTGGGTAAAGTCCTTTTTTGCAGAAGTTTTCATTTTGTTCGTGAAATTTTTGTTTGAAAGTTGAAAAGATCGAAATATCTACCAATTTCAAAGTAATTTTACTTGTTTTGTCTAGTGTTGCGGGTGGTCAAGAGTCACTTCTAAATATATAAGGGCATTATCACATGGGAGTCAAACGGACTCCCGTTTATGACAACGTAGGGTTCCGGAACGATATCACCCGGGTCTACGGACTCCCGCTTCTGCCGAACCCTGCATATCAGGCTTTAACATTACCACGGTCATGACAGGCCATGCAATACTAGCATTATCACGGTTATATCAGGCTTTCACAATAACAATACAACGGTCATGGCAGGATCCTTGCGAAACTTAAAAACACTTAATAACATGGTGACGGTTATGCCAGACATAAGTCTTGCAACAGATAGGGTCTCAGTGAAGTTCCTGTGAATTATAAAGAAGAATACTTCAATAATCAATATATGTTTACTCTAAAGCTACAATCTGCCTATTATGCACAATTGCAGTTGTTCATCATGATGAAATATAAAATCATATTTACTTACTGTGTGTCCGACTGTAATATCGAAAAACACAATAGGATTGTTTGGATTTGGCTTTTCCGGAAGTTCCATGTTTTCAAATTTTCGCGGTATAAATATTTTCTACAATTTCATTGGTCGTTTTTCTAATTTCATAAAACTAAAAAATATGAGCATTTATCATTAATTATTTTTGAGATCAATTAGCGAAACATTATTTATATTTGGGCCATTCTATATGTAAATAACTTGAGTTTTCGAAGTCTTAAAAATTTCAAAAAATGCGAAGCTATTCAATCCGTATAAATAGCATCTTGAAAAATAATTTTGGAATGTACTCTCCAAGAAATGTTGATTTATAAGCTAATATGTGACAATTAGACAGGTAAACTAATTTTGTGTGTATGTTTTTATACAGTGGATTTGATAGATATCGATGATTATAACATAAGATGCCTAGATTTTCACCCATCTCTATCCTCAAAAATAAATTGAAATGAATATTGTCCTGTATCATCCAGGCCTGCTGTGTCTCACTCTCAGCTGCCAGCTTTGTCAGTGTTGACCACAGGAAGCTATTTACGTACATATAGATGAGTGACATTCGGGACACATTTTTTTAAACTTTGACTCCATAGAAAGAAGCACTTCCACGAAGCTTCATCGTAACTCAGTCTAAAAATGAATTTAGAAGACGTGGTTGGTTTGTTCTTTGTGAAGTTGTCTGAGGTAAAGTGTGTTATTTTCAGGTAAGTTGATAGAAATAGAAATAGAAATATTTAGGCTGTACCAAAAGATTGTTGTTGTGCATGCAAGTCATCAGTGGATATACAGGCCCTTTAGCCAGGAGGGGGGCGTAGCCTTTTAAGTGATTTTGGACATTTTTGGACCAAGATTGTCAAAAGTGATCCCCCACCTGGAATTTTTCTAAAAGTGAACCCCCCTTGGGTAATCCTGGCTATGGGCCTGTACATGTGTAAAATATGAAGGATGTAGGCTTTAGTATACAACCTTGAAATTGATATGTAATTAACAATGTATATTTTCAGGTCAAAAGATGTCTGGCAGTTTAGGAGTTGTTGCTTTTGAAGCAGAACTGAATGGAATTGTACAAGAGGTAAATTGTTTTTGGCTCACACTAGTGTTGTCGCGATTAATCGATACATCGCCATATACATCGCCAAAGCTGATTCTGGCGATGCATCGATGTCTGAAACAAAACATTGATGTTTTAAAAAAAAATTAATTTGCTAAAAATCACCCTTTCTTATCTTATTTTGACTCAAATCGCTTACCTTTCTCATGACTTATTTCATTTTCCAATGTTTTCTGATATTCTTTCGCTTTAGAACTTTTTCTCGATGTACATCGCGATGTGCATCGATGTTTACTCCTGAAAATTGCCGATGCATCGATGTACGATTATGGCACATCGCGACAACACTAGCTCACACACACAGTGAGCCTTTAGGATTGATCAGGCGTCCGTCCATCCGTTAGTCCGTCTGTTGGTCCGTCCGTCCGTCAACATTGGTCGCACAAATTAAAACTGCTATTCGGATTGAGTCATATCCACATTCATTTTATGCATATCCATAATGCCTATTTGACCTATCATCGCCATTTCCCAAGTTCGCCCGGTTTCCGAGAAATTGCTGATTTTAACGTCAAAAAGTTTCTGTAAATACTAGACACTTTGTTAAAGTAGAAGATTTCAAAGCTCTTGAAATTACAGTTTTTGGTGTTTACTCAATAAAATTTGACAAAATTTAGGACTCATTTTCAGGACATTTTTAGGACTCAATTTCATATGTATTAAGTCAATCATCATTGGCTGCTCAAAACACTGTGTGAGCACAGGACTGTGGGTCCTTTATTTGTAGTATAAAAATAGATCTGATTATCTAAATAAATCTGATTCTATCCGACAAATAAATTATAGATCATTTGTCTTCCTTGTACATGTATTTTAATCCTATAAAAATAATTTGAGTTTCTCTGGAAAATGTATTTTTGTTAAAACTTTTTTTCAGTACCTGGATTTTGTCAGCTATGATAGGACCCTTCAATCATTCAAGGATGAATGCATGCAAAATGGGAAGCCTATTGCTAAGTCAGATGCCAAGCCAAAGTCGGATCAGAAACTTCTAGCTTTACAGGTGCTCTTTTGTAAAAGACATCACTACATTGGATAACATGACCACAAAGTTTTCCCTCAAAACGTCTTAATTTATTAATTTGGAGTGAGATATTGTATTTGGCTGAATGAGTGGATGGTATTTTGATTTGGAGGTTTTCCATCTAAACACTAGGCCATTATTTTGAGGCCATTATTGAAACTTTGTTTTTTACAGTATACATTTCATTTACGTTAATTGGAAATTACATTTTGTCCACTACTTGCCATATTTTCACAATATGTTGGCCACAAAACAAATAAAACTATTTTTTAAATTTTGTTTGTGTTGTCCTCATGTTTGGATTTCTTAACCAGTCAGTTTCTTGTTTTTTCCAGAATGAACTAGTCCAATTATTCCAATATGGAGAAAGAGACAAATTCTTTAAACTGTGGGATGAACATTTATCGGAAGAACTCCGTAACAGTGATTCCACTGCACAGAAGTTGGAGTTTTATTTAAATATTTATTTTGCCATATATCCCTATAAGATGGGAAACAGTGTAAGTAGTGTAAACATTTTTTTTTCAAATAAAATAATGTTTCCGATATCCTATCCTCCTTTACACTGTACTTGTTTTTTGGAACGAACAATTGATATTATGCATCAAACATAATAAAACGTCGTACATGGATTTGGTCGAGAACCTTCATTGTAAATCTTTGTCAAGATTTATATGTCAGCTTCCCATTATAGAGATTTGGGGCTAAATTATTTGAAAGAACTCTGAATCACAGGTTTATTCAATCATTATTCTCAACAAAATCAAAAATATCTTTACGTACACTGCATTCCAGACCAAGGCGGATATTGAGGACTCTATGGGCTACTTTAAGCAGTATATAGAGTCAAGAGGAGCCAATCTCAGTCAAACTACAGAGTTCTTACCATTCTATGCCTTACCCTTTGTGCCTAATCCACAAAACCATCCAACCTATAAAGAACTTTTCTCAGTAAGTTATGGTACTTAATATAGAAGTTTTTATGTATTTCATGGAATAAATCAAAATCATTGAAATTGCTTGAGGTATCACTCAAATATATATAAGTTTGATTGTTAAGATAATTAATATTTTGCTTAGGCTGAATATATGGTTGAAAGTTGGTTTTAACTTTTCAGGAAGCCTGGGTACCTGATATACAGATCCGATTGGAAAAGTTCCTAACTCTTGCATTGCAATCCACAGCACAGCCACGTCTCTTTGATCTATATGTATCCTTATGAATAATCAAATATCAAAGATTCTTGTCATATTTTTATAAATTATCAGCTTAGTTCATGAGAATCAGATGAGATTGAGTAAAATAAATTCATCAGTGAATATTTAATGCTTTTCAGCTGATCCAAATAATTTGACATGCAAACTTATTACTAATATGTGACTTTATGATAATCAACAATGTTGGAATACGCAAATACATGTATCTTTTATATCAGAGCTTTAGAATTAAAAAAATCATCATAGTTTTGGGATATTTTGATATGCTTCGGGAAACCTATAAAATAAGTAAAATTGAAATGTTAAATCCAAATGAGAAAGAAGAAGAATACAACATCTGTGTTAGTCCTTAACTCGTTTTCAGAAAGGGACAAATAAAGGTAAGTTTACTTTAGAATATCAAATAGGTTTACAACAGAATAAAATGTGTACAGAAACACCTTTCCGGGAGAATTTAACACTCCGTTATATGATTTCATTGATAATTACTGTACTGTTGTTTTGTAGAGATGCAGAAGCAAATGGCTCAGATGCAGCAACAGATTGTAGATGCAGAAAAGAAGACAATGACATATATGAAACGATACAACAGGGTACAGGTGAATGAATTAACATGGAATCAGTGGTGGGGGGGGGGTTATGCCATGAAAAATCCTTGATCTTAAAATTCTCTGGTGAAAACCCTGAGAAGCATATTATGTTTTAATCCTAGTATGGTAAGATCCTGGGGGAAAACTTAATGCTTGGAGTTCAATGTCAAGTTCAACATTATGGAGGTCATACACAAGGTCGGTGTGACATTTAATGTCAATGATTAATGAAAGGTTACATGTTTAGATAAATTAATAAATATTGTAAACAGGGAATTTAGACTTTTCTTGTATTGAGTTGAGTTTCTGATCATTGCCCGCAACAAATTGATGAATTTAAGTCCAATGTATCCTTTTCATCTGTTACATAATCTGTTATGTAATAAAAAATCATCACAATCATTATGATTTTGTTTTTATATTTTAGGCTGACTATCACAACCTTATTGGTATAACTGCAGACTTGGTTGATACTCTTGAAGAAACCGTGAAAGGAAAAGTAGTAAGCACAACTTTTGACATTTGAAGAAATTACGTAATAATAGAAAACAATAGATAAAAATTAATTGAAGCAACATTTCACAATTTTTTTTGTTTTAAAATAGTCACAAGTACCTCCACTTATGAATAGTACATGAACAAAAATAATGTTATTTATCAATTTTTATTTGAACCTAACATCTTCTTTGGATTATTTAAATGAAAATGACCATATTATGGTGTAAAATATTACAGGATCTATATAAGGCAGTAAGTAGTTGCATGTAGATAGGTTTGGTGGTAATGCTTGCTTTAGGGGTTACAACAGGTATATGTTACCTCTGTACCCTTGGGAAGGTCTGAGACTAAGGTCGTTATTACACCCTAGCAGGGTGCCCTCTGAAATTAGGGGTGGGTCATCAGAAATAGGCATGATTAGGTACTTAGTGTAATTGACACCCAGGCCTGACGGTGAGGGTGGATGCCATGTATCTAGTTATAGTTGAAAAGAGCCACGACTAGCAACTGTAAGTGCAATTTGCAAGGTGGTACATGTGCCATAACTCAATTCAGACTACTCTACTTCCAAACCTTTTTTGTGTTTTACCAGAAATACTAATTTAATGTCATGAGTTGTTAAGGAAGGTTTATCAATTTTTATTTGAACCTAGCATTTTTGGCATTTGGTGGGGGGGTTCAGGAAATTAATTTATTTTGAATTTTTTATTATGTTCTCAGATATTACTTACTTACATACATTATGAACATTTGCTTGGATTATCCCCAGAATACAACATTTTTATAAATGCAGAGTTGCAGAGAATGCCTAATTCGGGAATACATATTAACATTACTAAGTGCATGAACTGAATCTAATATGGTATCGATGTGATGTTTTAATGTTCTGCACATTATCCAATGATCTTCAAGATATTATTGCACTGCATGAATCAGTTGTGGAAGGCTGTGTAGTGGACTAATGTTAGGTGTTGGGTATCGTGAACCAGAAATATTAGGATATGAATGCTTTTTCCAAAGTGGTTGTGACAAAGGTCAAGGAATTTGACTAAATAACTGTACGTACACAACTCTTCAGAGTACAATACACCATAATATTAGTTTATGCATTATTTAACCTGCACAATTCATCACTAAATTTTTATATGATCTAAATTGCAGATTTACATCTTACATTATTAATTCAAAAAGTCCATTTAAAGCTATTTGGCATACATTATTTTACAACGTTTTCATGTAAATCATCTCAGAATCAAAGTATTTGTTGAGTTTATTAAAAACTAGGACATTAAATATATATTTTCAGGTAACACCAGAGTATCTACAGGCAATATGTCAAAGATTATTTAGTAACCAGGTCAGGGCCACTATGGACTTCACACGTCCTGGAACTGCCGCAGATGTCCTGCGAGCCTCCATGGCAACAGCGTGAGTCTTAGCTTGTGTTGTATGTCTGTGTCCTCATGTATGTAATTTGTAATATAGTTTATGTCAGAGTCACTTATTGGCCTGTTATACAGATTTGTGTATTGGCTTCTAATATGTTTGCCTATCAGCCCATTGTTGACCATAGAATGAAGTCGGGGATATTGAGAATGCTGTCCATCTCTGTCTGTCCATCTGTCCTTATATCCATCTATCTAGTCAGTGATTCAATCAAAAGAATGACACATTCTTCTTTTAGCAATTCATTTAGTATCATAGCTATTTTGAGAATTTTTTTCTAGCAGTCTTGTTTAGCATTTATTAGATATATATCTATGTTATATATTTGTTTGAGCATATATGTTAAAAAGGGAAATTCAAAAATGGTGACTGTGAAACAACATTAAAATAACAGTACGTTGTAGAGGTCAGTAGGTGAGAAACTATACTGTCAGTCTTTTTCTTTGTAGACCAAAGAGGGAGGAACCCACCCCACTTGCCTCCATTAATGTTGTCCCCACATTGGACTATGAGAGGATTAAACAAGACCTCATCAATGCTGATGAACGAAGACAGTGTCTCTTATTACAAGCTTTACGATGGGTGAGCATCAATCTTGTACAATCAGAGATCTTTTCATAAGATTGATTTGAAATGGTCTCTTATTCTAAGATTTACAATATAAAGTACATGTAAAACATTATCTGTCTTACTTAATTAAGTATGTGGGGTATTGAAATTGCGATGTGATATATATAAAAAAAAAGCAGATTATGAAGATAAAGTGATTGACTCAAGTTCAGTCACTAAAAAACAAGACATCTACTGTTTTTAATTGATTAACACTGTTTGAAATAGCAATTAACTTTACAGTACATGTATGAATATTTATGACATATGACATATTTAGTGTGGATTCATTCTTTATGAACAGTGTTGTTGTTTATTGTTTTAGAAACTCACAAGATCTGCTCCAGCAGAGAGAGATGTCATCATGCAAGATTTCATCAGTAATGATATAATGGGCTGCGTGAATGCAAATCTCTACAGGGTAAGTAATCCAGACAGTAGCAATTTGCAGATTGATATTTTTACACTGTTTTGTAATGACAATTCCCATCAACCATCAATCCTAGAAGGCATACCCCATATGTTATATATCATATGAAAGCTTACTCAATTGTGGACCTATTTTGAAATATGCATATGAGTTCAGGCAAAAAGATGTGAACTTAACAAATGTAACTTCAGGTCTGTCAAAAGGAGGGGTTTGTGAATTCTAGGGCGTTGACGTACAGAGGCGTGCAAGGCAACTGCCTCATAAATTTATGGAAATGCCATACTATCTAGGACATACAACTCTCGGGCTCAAAATCGTTGAAAATTCAAACAAATGTGTATGGTTCAAATTTACTCGCTGTTGGAGAAAAGCAGCCCTGTTAGATGACCTCATAGAATTATATCCATGTGGTTTCCCTCTTCCAAGACTTATTTCCATCTTTTACGTTTCAGTTGGAGTTTTTAAAGCTGTTGCAGTCTCCTAACGAAATAGTTCAACAATACACAGCCAGACTGATCAATGCGTTTGCGTCACTGTGTGATGGTTAGTATTGTAATAAGATGTTTGGGATTTCATTGTTGAATAAGAAATGGATGAATGTAAAGTTTTATTTTACACAGTATCATGCAGCAAGATCATGAATTTCTATTCAAAATATGATTTGCATTTGTACATGAAGTCCACGTGCTCTGGTGATGTGGCACACACAATTTGATGATTCAGAGCTCAAAATTGAAAACAACCTGTTTTGAAGAAAAATATTTGTTTCAAATTATGTCAGATTATTTCCTCTCACTCATTAGATCTTTGATGTACATTCAGAGGCTTTTTGAATGTTCATGAAGGTTACATTGGTTAGTCCCAGGGTACCTATACCAGGCCTGTCAACTGTCCCGCAATTTGCGTATTTGTCACGCATTTGCTGAAGAATTTGAAGTCACGCCAGTTATTTTTGCGTGACAGAAAATGTCACGCAAATACGCATTTTACCTGGTAATTGTCAAGCAAAAATATTTCTGTAGAAAAATTTCTAAAGAAGATCGTCTACACAGCAAAAATACGAACGCCGGAAAAAAACGTACGCATTTCGTTCGGACTTTTTACGCGAATTACGTATATGTCACGCATTCTGTTCAAAATTTTTCGTACCCCCCCCCCCGTTGATTGATGTTTGAAACGCGAGCGTAGCGAGCGCGAAAAATATGAGGTGTTCAAAATTTGGCAAGATGTAATAAAATTTAAAACCAAGGTGTTCAAAATTTGGATCAAGGTGTTCATATTTGGACCAAGGTGTCCACATTTTGAGGCGAGGTGTTCAACATTTCCAAGTCACTCATGTTAAGTGTTCCCAAGTTGACAGGCCTGCTATACCTCCTTCACGGAAATAAAGATTAAAATGTATTACTTATTTTATATTCAAATCTTCAGGTCTGATGGGTAATTGAATGATTCCTCATTGGTGAAAAGATCTAAGGGATTGGTTGATAAAACATTTGTTTAAGAAAGCAAAAAACTAAGAGCTCAATCAATAGAAATAATCCATTATTTAATGATCACCCTCATACAAAAGAAAATTTAACATCACAACAATTTTTATTTCAGGAAGAAGTTATATCTCTGAGAGTGCAGACCATCTTGAGGCTCTTACTGAGAACCTTTGTTCAGATGAGAAAGACTCCATAACAAGAGAGAATGTCCTCGGTGCTCTACAAAAACTCAGTTTAAGGTAAAAGTAATGTAGAAGTCTGTTATAGCATTAGTGTGCAATGTAGGGTTTTAGACATGCTGGTCAAAAATAAACTATACACCAGTAGTCTAGGTACAAGCCCCTGTGACTCCCCACTCCCTGTGAACCCCTTCCCATTACCTGACTACACACAGCTCACACAGTGGACTTGTAGCTAGACTATTGACCAGATGCAATGTAATTTTCCTATACATGCTGAAAAGTAAAGTGGCTGAGACAAAAAGAAACAGTCTCAGGACCACTGGACCTGTGCTTATTTTGCACCCTATAGCATTGAGTCTCTGTGTAAGTCTAGTATTTACATAAGGGGGTGTTAGGGTATGGAAGATGGGGAAGACTTGTAGAAGCCCGTTGTGAGAAATCTTTCTGAATGGGAATAAATTGTAATAATGAACAGTAAAATTTTCATTTTAAATAAGAATCTTGTATTGGAGTTGTATTTTTAACCATCCCAGATTTTGTTTAGATTTTATATTTGATTTATTTTTCAGGAGAAATCTTCAAAGCCAGATGATAGACAATGGGATCATTCCCTGGTTGGTTTCTGTTTTGGAAGATAATGACTCACTGTCAGACTACACCCTGGAGTACTCAGTTGCCTTACTGATGAACCTCTGTCTCAGGAATGCAGGTATGTATCATAGTATATCATCTCTATATGTGTCTTGCTGGGAACAAATGTATGCTGGGGAGTTGCATGTACCGTCTGTTATATGTAAGAGAAAATGAATTATTTTTAAGGCGTAGTTTTGCTTTAAGTCTCATTGGACACCTCCCCCCCCATACTTACTTCACCACCTATTAAAGAATTTCTTTCAAATTTGTCTTGAAAATTTAATATGAACTACAGAATGGAGATTGAATAGAGCGATATTTCAAGGAAAACAAAAATTTACAAAATGCACTTTCATTGCTCAGGCATTGGTTATTTAAAATTTAATACAACATGGGAAATAATTATAAAGCCTATATATATGTTCATTGTACCATGTATTATAGGCAAGAGAAAGTGTATACCCATTGCCCATCAAGTGTTGAAGGTGCTAAGTGATCTTATGGGACATGAGAACCAAGAGATCATACCATATGTGAATGGAGCCCTCTATAGTATACTTGCCATACCCTCAATCAGAGAGGAAGCCAAAGCTATGGTATGTATTCATACATTTCAACACCCTTGCTTGTTTTACTATGTTTCTAATACTACATTACAGTAGAAGTTTAAATTAAGAAAAACTGTTGCTATATTATTTTTATTATTTATTTTTATTTTTAAAGTTCATTATAACAAGACATTTCTTTCTGAGTGCAAAATAGAGAATCCTTTATTGTTTTAAGCATTTTCGCTTGGGGTGAAATATTTATATATTTTACATGTTAAATGTTCATTAGGATATGGAAGATTTGCTGAAGATGTTCATAAGAGATGGCCAGCCAGATATGAATCGTCAGATAGAATTCATCATAAAGCAGCTTAACTCAGGTACACATAGTTAAATTTCAATTAATGTTTACTTTCTAATTCTTCACCAAAGAATGAGTATTTGGTACAAAACATGTACACTTTATCTTTTACACAATTTACAATTGATTCTAATTCAAACATAGATATTAACATCAGTTTGTTTATTATCAGATTTAACAGTTTTTTCACTTTTAAATTGATATTTACACAAGTGGGTTTACTCATAGTTTGAACAATACATACTCAATTATTATTTTGAGTCGATTTAATATGGCTTTTCCTTGTTGTATTTTGTAATGTTAAAATAGCATTCTATTACAATACACCAGATGAAGAGCCTGATGATGGTGAGTCAGATGAAGAAGATGAGGATGAAGATGAAGAAGATCAAGATGCCATGGAGGCAGACCTTGACAAGGCAGAGGTGCTAAGACCCCAGCCTGGAGAACTGCTTGGTGATAAACTTCTCACAACCCAGTACTCTAATAAACCATCAACCAATAATAATAACAATCTACAAAATGGAGGCATTCCAAGAAAGAAAAAGGTATTTTTTAAATTGTGAATCCATTTTACTGTTGTCTTATTGTATCTTATTTTTCCCTTTGAACTTGGATTTAAAAGATCATAATTTCCTTGGATTTTTTGTTCAAGTTTTGCTTGTATCCCACCTATATACACATTTTGCATCCCACTTGTGAATGAAAAAATCATGAAAATGAGCTCTACTTGATCAACTTTTGTCAACATTTGATCAAAGAATTTGTGCACACTTAAAGAGAAAATCTTTGGGAGAAGACAGAAATTTGTCCAAGCTCGAAAGTTGTATATTTTTTTTCATTTATCTTTTTGCAGTCATCTCTCCAAGCAGACCAGGACTTGCTCACAAGACCAATAACTCCGCAATCCCGTAAAGGTGGTCCAGCCTTACAACCCAAGGATATGTAAGTCTTAGATGACATCATAACTTTGAAAGTGAACTTAAAAATTTTTATGAAGATATAATCTGCTTATAATTACCCAAAATTACCTTATTATACAGTCCTACAATCTCAGTTTTATGGTTTTCAATTAATATTGTTTCTTTCTATACAATTCCCATTTAAATGGAATATTTTTTTATGTTGTAGTCCAAAATCAAGTGGGGACTTCAGTAGATCAGTATCCCAGTCATCAAGGCCTTATACCAGTGACAGACCTCCAACAAGGAGTGGCAGTCGACCTGGAACACAGGACTCATTTAGAGAGCCTCCACCCAGAAGTAAGTCATTTATTAGCTTTTAGTATTATGGCAGTTCATTCTGCGTACAATCTTTGAATAATCAATCTAAAGTTTGTAAGTTTTCCAAAGCAATTAATGTATTCCACTTTTAAATGTTCAGTGTTACCTACCTTAAACCTGTCGCCAGCTTTCCAACTTCACTTTTCAAAAAATTCCACATGATTCAGACTTGACAACGTTGGCTCAAAATCACATGAAAAAAGTGCTCAGAATAGTGAAAGCTGCATGATTTGAAAGCATTTTTGGCCAGGGAGGAGGAGAGTACTGTATCAATCATAGTTATGCACCCTCAGAGTGTTTTAAAACAATTAACTTAATATTTACAGAGACTGATGCTAAAGGATCAGCCACTGTATCGAAGGCCCTTGGTCAGAATGTGAAGCTTGCAGAGCCCCAGGCCAACAGTGGAGTGAGACCATCAAGTAAAGCTAAGGGACCAGGGTAAGTATAGAAAACTGAGAATTATACTATGGCTATTCATTGTCAAGTGACCGAAACTTTCAAAATTAAAAAGACGAAACTGAATAATTCACTGTTGGACATTTATTTATAATTACAATTATAATTGGCGTGAGACTTTGATAAAATATATTCTGTGTTTGCAGATCATCTTTATACATGTTCTATTCAACAAGAGAAGGAAATAACCCCAAATTCAAAGATTACATTGTTTTCTATGAAAATGAATCTAGAGGTTCATCTTTACTACATGAAGATAGGTTCACCTATGAATTCTGGGTAATTCTTCCTTTTCTAATTAATATTCATCCATATTTTACATTCAGAGGTGAAGAATACACTGCAGCCTTCAGTGCTAGGCCTAAAGTTCCCAGGACACCTGATCCCAATGCTAGACCTGGCAGTAGAGGGACCATGAGTCCTGCCCCTAAGCCTCAATATTCCGAGTCCCTTCCTTCATCCAGGCCTGGAACAGGACAGAAAGCACACAGTATGTACATTTATGTTTGATATGTTGCATTCTGCTGAAATGTTATTTAAGGAGCAAAACAACTATAAGATCCTCAAAAAGCATGCAGCTTCCAATGCATGGTATACTTCACAGAAGTAGTTTTATATATTGTATTGTATTTTATTCAAAGGTGTTTTAATGTGCCCAGTTCGTTTGTAATTTACAGGTTTTGACTTGTCTTTGTTTAGTGAATGATTTATCCATGAAGGGCAAAGGGATGTAACATTGTCACGTCGGGTATTGTCAACGGGAGAAATGGGGTAACTTCGACCCTTATTTATATTATTAGAAATTATCTGTTTTCCATCATGTGCAATTTTCGGAAAAAATAAAAATCTCCTGAGATCTCGATCTATGCGAGAGAAGATTAAGAAACATGACTTCCCCCTAAATCGGAAATTAGAGCAAATAAGCAACAAGGTGGCAAGGTTACACCATAAGTTAGAGTTACCCCTAATTAAAACAAAATGGCATTGACATTATACCCCTTTGCCCTCGTTCTAAGCTTTTATCCTCTTTTATTCATAAGCAGATTTGCAGTTTTATTACACTTGTCTATTGAATTACTTTTCAAAACCAGATATTTTAAATAGAATACAAAGATCTGTACACAAACTTTTTCTGAATGGATAATGTAAAAGCTCTTCATTTTCTGTTTCCTAAACATTTCTGGGTCTATATTTGTGCTACTATAGCTGTCATTCATGTTGTTCAAAGTACTTTGCTCATTGGAGATGACTACATTATATTTCACAAAAATTGCAATTGATTCAGTTCTTGTATCATTTTGTTTCTTGTAAATCTGACTGTTTGTCTGATAGCATGTAAAAATGTATCAGTTCAGTGTTGTATTTTGATTTTATTCTTATACCCTAAACAATGAAGAAAGGGAATGATGAAATAAGAAATTATACTGATACAAAGGTTTCATGATGCATGTAATTTCAAGAAGAAAAGATTAACATTGGACAATCTGCAGCACTTAACTGCTACTTAGCAACTTGTAGATCAAATAAAAACATTACACTGAATTGATACAAACTGGCTGCCCTATCCAATTTTCTTTGTGTTCCTTTATCCTTTTGGTACCTTCATTTAAAGCCTTAGTCACATTTGCTCTTAAATGGGCGAACGGCGGCTGTAGCTTCCCAAAATCGATATAGAAAATACACATCTTTCTGCTTATCCATATATTTTGTGCTGCATATTTCTCTCGATTTTGGGAACCTACGTATGCCATAGATAAAATGTGACTAAGGCATTAGTCATCAGCTTCCCTTCCTTCCAAATAGGGTTATAACCTTAACCTAGCTTGCTTATCATTGCTTCCTGTAGGTCTTAGTACTGGCTCCATAAAATCTCCCACACCCAAAAAACAACAAGGAGTCACAAACCCACGAGTCAAACAAATCAAGATTAAAACAGGCAGTGTTAAAAGACTCCGTAAAGAGCTCAATGCTTATGAAAAAGAACTGAAAAACCAAGAAGCTAAGATAGCTTCAATGGTTAAGAATAAAGAAAATGAATATATGATTAAGAAGCAACATGAGTTGGCTGCTGAGACAAAACAAGCAATTCCAATGAGCAAACAGAAACTGCAAAAGACGATACATGAGCTTACAATGTTAATGGATAGTGCTAAAGACTTCTCAGATACTGAGGAATATAAGATAGCTGAGATTGAACTGCAGTTATGATGATTGTTGTATAGATTGGAATTCAGAAGTGAATGCAACCATGGCAGGTAACCATAGTGTTGGTTTTAAGGTTGACCATATGGGTGGTTTGACAAATTACCATTGTGCAATCAGGTGATTTGACAAGTGACCATTGTGCATTTGGGTGGTTTGACAAGTGACCATTTTGCAATTGGGTGGTTTGACAAGTAACCATTTTGCATTTGGGTGGTTTGACAAGTGACCATTGTGTATTTGGGTGGTTTGACAAGTGACCATTGTGCATACGGGTGGTTTGACAAGTGACCATTTTGCAATTGGGTGGTTTGACAAGTAACCATTTTGCATTTGGGTGGTTTGACAAGTGACCATTGTGTATTTGGGTGGATTGACAAGTGACCATTGTGTATTTGGATGGCTTGATTGACAAGTGACTATTTTGCATTTTGGATTGTATTTGAGCTTTTTCATGTAACTGTCTGTAGTACTATGCTAAATGCTTTGCTTTTGTGTGTGTTCTTCTGTAATTCTCTGTGTGTGTGTAATGTTGTGTATAGATTTCAACTTACACTTCCGTAGTACCAATAGTGCCCAACAATTTTCTTTGTAAATATAGTGCTTACATTTAAAATTCAAGAGTTATGTAATGTGTGATATTGCATCCATAAAGGCAGGTCCTTATAACTTTTTTTGTGTTACAGGTTCCCGAAGTGGATCAGGAGGTACACCCTCGTTGCGATCAGGGCCCAGCACACCAAAGAAATCTAGTTCAAGAACTGGGTCAGGCGGAGCAAATCAGCAAAGTAACCGTCCAACATCGAGAAATTAATCATTTACAGTACTATATCTGTATAATGCAGTGTCTGTATGTAGTGTCCGGATCAAATACATACCAGGAATCACATAATTGGATTTACTTCAATTCTCTAAAGGCATCCTTACCAGTCAGTTATATGGATTACTTCTTATAGACTTACCAACTTCCCATATTTCTGTATGTAGGATCAATGTGCCCTTAACTCTGAAAACCAAGTGGCAAAATATGTCATTAATATGGCTTTCAATCAACCATATTCATCATTTCCCAGTTTTTGGATCTACTAATTTGGGAAAATAGCAGATATTTTGGATGTACTCCTTGAACTAGATATTTCACATTTTGGATTTACTCAACCAAGCAATTTGGTCGGCTATTTCTTTCATTGATGGATATGCTCAACTCAATATTTTTTCAGGTTTTCAACATATCAGATTTACACAAATTAGTCGATATTTTGGATATACATGTACATAATGGAATTCCTTTGTGAGGTTATTTGGATATACTCAACTCAATTTCTTGGATTTACTCAACTTAATTTCTTGGATATACTCAACTTAATTTCTTGGATATAATCAACTTAATTTCTTTGATATACTCAACTTAATTTCTCGGATATACTCAACTTAATTTCTTGGATATATTCAACTCGGTATCTTTTTCAGATATTCAACATATCAGATTTACTGATAAAGTTAGTTCACATTTTGGAGAATACAGTAATGGAATCCCTTTGTGATAATTTGGATATATTTATGATTTAACCATGCAATTCCAGTGGAATATTGTACCGTTTGCATGTACATGTACTGTTCCAGTACAGTACATGACACACTCATCTTTATTACCTGCAAGAGAGACTCCATATACAAGTACATGTATACCACCTTATTCAGATTATATAGGATGCACTCAACTAAATAGATGGATATTTCCCCAGATTTTGTAGGTTGGGTAGAAATGGACTAGACACATTACCAAAACACTAAAGATTTATACATATAGGACACAAGTGTACCCTCTGTTTATACTTACTGTCTCTTGATTGATCTACTCAAATCATATTGCCATCCAATCTCAATTGACTGAACAGTTTTTGTAATGTATATGTTTACATTTGTTATTGTTTACAATTCTATACATGTGTACCCTAAAGTGTATATTTGAAATGTACATATATACAGTGACATGTATCTTGAAATGTATATATTATTGTACATGTACTGTATATATTATAAATGTAAAGTTTAAATGTTTTAAATGTAAATATCATATTACATGTAAATGTACAATTTTAATCCAATCATATTTTATTGAAAATCCATTATACAGAGTGTGTAAATAAAAAGTTCATGTCATATTTTTCATAAGTACATGTACTTCACTTAACAATGGCATTTAACAGTGCTAAAACTTTTTGTTGACTCAGGTTTGAAAACCCGATCAATATTTATTGACAAGATATCATTTATGTATGTTTAGATTTATACAGATCATTTTCTATATAAACTATAGCGTTGGTGACATTGACTTAGATTAACTTAAATTATTGTTTTGTGTGTTGAATTAGTTGTAGAAGTGCAATTTTAGTATTAATATACGTATACATATATGATTATGATGTTGCCATAATATAATCGCTTGTTACATTTTATCACTAAAGGTTTTATTATTTCCTATGCTACGATCATGCTGGAAATTACGTGTTATTAAAGATATTTATTATTTGAAGAATGAGTTCGTTGAGGAATCAGAATTTTCAAATATTTATTGTTAGTGAACTTTTCAAATGCAATGGTGTATCTTGGTAGTGTGTAAGTCGTAATATCATTCGCCAGTTCAAATATCAGTGGATTTTCAACTTTTTCAAGTTTTATTAGCTTGTTTGAAATTTATCATGTACTTGAATGGTATGTTCATCTCCACATTTCCACATTTTAACTGGTACCAGTTGTTGTTTGATGCTCCTCATCTCTCCCTCACAATCCTCCAGTTCATAGTCTACTGCCTCTAGTTTTAGCAGTGTTACATCAGCATCTCTGCCTGGAGAGAGACTTCCAAATTGACGGTTGAGCCTGGGGTTGTTTAGAATTGCAGCAGGTGTCTGGGTTGTTGCTTTGATTACCTCCTCAAGGGGCATTCCAATGTGAAGCATTTTAGTCATGACTGAAGGAAGGTCATATGAGGGTCCATTAATGTTACCAGAATGGAGATCAGTGCTTACTATATTGGGCCAGAAGCCAGATTTAGCACATATTTCTGCCACTGTCCAACTAAAGGATCCCTGGCCATGTCCTAGATCAAATAGGACCCCATCATTCTGAGCTTGTACTACCTCTGGGTAAACCTAAACACATTGAAATGTCTTTGAATGTATGAAATTTCAACTTGAGTTTGGATATGATTTGATATTGTCTTTCCTCTACATTAAAATATGCTATTTGTCTTTCACCAGATTTATATAAATCAATAAAATATTAATGATTGAATAATTTGATTGGTGAATTGATTTTCTTTTGAATGTATTTGGTAAAATGGCTAGATCATCACCTGTTTGGTAGCAGCATCTATTATGCTACTGGGGGATGCGTGGAATGAATGTGTATAGATGTCACCGGGTGACATGTCACCTGGGCAACACATCTTTCCATCTGAAATTAAAGAACATTTGTAAGGTAGCTTAAAACACCTGTTAAAGGGCAGTGTCTGTAATTTTAATCCTAAATGAACTCAAAATATTTTTGATTTAAATTAACCTGTAACCTGCTTTTTCAAGACTGGTACAAACCCTCTTGCAAAAATATCTCTCCTAAAGCAGTATGATTCTGAGACAATTTCCAAACTGTTTTTTACTCCTTTTTTCATTTCAGTTTTAATTGGCAATAAATTCGTTATCATGCTTCAGTAATTACAAAAAGAGGATTTAGGCTAATGTACTATATAGTGCTAACCTTGTATTCGGGAATGCAACTAACGCCTGTCAGCTACCGAATTAACCTAGTATTTTATGACCAACTCCTTTATTGAATGGAATGGTGGTCGGTACTATTCATATTTAAAAATTAAATGAGTTTCCTATAAAATAGTAGGTAAATTCGGTAGCCGACAGGCGTTAGTTGTATTCGCGAATACAAGCTAAGTATTGATTAATTGTGTAAGTTAGCTTGTGAATAAGAAATACTTTGGGGTTATTGAGGATGATAATGACACATACAATATCTGAGTATTATCCCTTTAATATCAAATACAGGGTGACCCCAAAAAATGCCACCTACTTCCTCAATAATGAAGAAATCTTCATGGTTTTTTTGAAGAGTGTTCAATGGAAGAAAGATTGGTGTACTTGTATAGCATCAACAACTTAGAGATTTAACGTTTTTTGGGTCACCCTGTATTTACATGATAAATACAGTTCATGATTTCAACTTTTCAACCATACTATACAGTGAATGTATAATTCTTGAATAAAATTAAGAAAGAAATCAAATTCTATTTTATAATTGAGAACCAAAAATTAGGAGTGAGGAAGTGACTCACAATTTTTCTATGATAAGATTTTCATGTCCTATACAACTCTGTTTTTTTCAAATGTTGATAATTGATATGATGTTTACAATAACCTTACCTCCTTTGAGGGTTGGACCATTTGGACTGGGGTATGTAACCTAATTCAAAAAATATTCTGGGCTTATATATTGTCTGGTACATCTGTATTCTTAATGCAAGGGGTGATCCAGATATTCTGATAAAATGCTCTTATTTCTTTATTATTGAGATTTAGATTTTGAAATTCCCACGCATATTAAGAATAATTGATTTGGGTATAGGATGTAAAAATATAAATCTCTTTTGTGCAATATTCTCCTCATTGGAGATGATAATGGTTATCATGGCAACTGAAAACACAGCGTTATAAGGATTCCACTTCATTTCTGAGAAATATTCCCCTTGTCATGTATAAAAAGATTATTTCCTCAGATCTAATGGATGACCCCAAAGCGTATTAATTATTACGCAGACTTAGAGCCATTATCACCTGTCTCATGTTCTGCATATTATTCATTAATTGAGCCTACGTGCAAATCATGTTAATTATTATATTGTATGTTGTTGGACCTTGTTTCTGAATGGGTATCGTTGAGAATGTATGGTGTATCATCAATGGTGTTCCAGTACGCTGGGCCGCTTCTTTGGCTCGTCTAAAATCAAGCACATATTTTCTGTTAGCAAGTTGGCATCAGATTAAGCCTAATTTTAGGGTTCATTCAATAGTATTAGTTCCAATGATAACTATAGATGTCAGGCTTGGACCATGTTTTCTCTTTACACTAATAACTTACACAAAATGGCTGCCCTTTAATAATACATCAAAGTACGATTGGCACAGTGTGGGGGGGGGGTTCGATGGGCTCGAGCAACCCACTCCCCCCTGGCCATAAAATCGGTTCAAAATCATGCAATTTTTCATCATTCTAAGCACTTTTTAAGTGATTTTAGCCATTTCTGGACCAAAGTTGTTGGCCTGGTCTGTATAATTCTATTATAAATGATCTATTGATATCTTTCATTTAGCTATTCATGTAGTAAAGAAAAGATAGGAGATCATAATAGATTTTCAATCAAGGGCTCCCTGAAAAAATCCAAGCTTACATTCAAGACTAGAAAAATAATTAGAATATTACTCCAGAAGCTGACCTATATATTTCTTCTTCATTTGCGCCATCGTTTGCTACATTGGCAGTGAGGCGCACCTTGACCCCTACGACCAGATCTCTATTATCTTCTATGGCCTTGATGCACATCTCTGTATCCACTTGGTTCAGGCAGTCACTCTCTCCCCCAATGCCTACAATGTATTGTTGGGTTGCATCACAAAATATATACAGATCTAGATGGTTGGAATGGGGAGGGGGTTTAGGTAAAATGAACTAAATTTGGTGTAACGCTTCACTTTATGTCCTGAATATATATTATGTATCAAACTGGACATTCAGAAGAACATCTGGTTTAAAAAGTTTGTTTTGTTGAAACCCTCTTGTATATACTTCGTTCTTTTTGCTTTAAAAGGATGAAGTGCAACCAATTCTGTAGATGTCCTAGATTTAAACTGAAAACTCTATAAGGAATACAAGCCCTTATGAAAATAGCTAGTGGTATGTATGCAACATGAGAAAGAGAGAATGTCAGTATATTATAACACCAGTGTTTAACTTTTTTCTGATGGGATGATATTATCGCAAATTGTATTTCATATATTTTTGTTATCATCCAATCTGCATTCTGTTTATGAGATTTTCATTTTTTCTTATTTGTTCTTCCAACAATATTCATAGAAAATTGTTTAGCAAATGTTAACAATGTTTCTCAATTCAAGGTTTTGATGAATTGAGTTGTTGATAAAAACAATTGGAGAACATGTAATTAAATATTCAAACAGATTCAGGATATCATACAGATGATGTGTTTATGATAATAACTTCACATAATGATGGTTTATAATTTTCATAGATACACCTGTTTATCATTAACACACATTAACAACTTTACATTATGTAAGTCTGTCTATTAAATGAGGTTATCAAGTGTGGTTGGCTACTTTTGTTGTTTTGGGTATGTTAATAATAAAAAGCATTCTTTTATTAATTGTGTTTCCATAACAACAATGTACATGTATTTTTAGTTAATAACAACTCTTATTATTTGATGTTTTGCATCTTCATTTATACACAGTGAAGGTTGACTAAAGGTCTGCTTAATCCTCTCATCGTCTCTTATTGTACTCAGGGTAAAGAACCTGTGGTTACCATGGCAACTGATTAATGTTTCTCTAATACACGGATCTGTATGAATAGATAGGATTATGGAGAGTTGATTGGAAATATATTCATCCTTGTATTGGCTGGAATCAAATCTCCTGTTTTCTGTTAGACATCATTGTGTGTTGTCTATGAAACTCTAATCAAACTTAGAATGTTGAATTGATTATCAGATGTATGCATGAATCAAATTTCCTGGATATGGAGAGTTCTATGGTATTAGACATTCCAAGTATTACTACAAGATGAAGAACAGATTAAGGAAATAACAGAAATTATATTGATTCTCATCTTAGAGGAAGTGAGATGATTCCAGCTTGTAGGTTCTCTCTCTTTCCAGTGTGGCTTTCTTTTAGATTCCTTTCGTTAGAAATACAGTAAAACCTGTATATCCACACACCTTTTGAATCTGCACCGAAAATCTCTCAATGTGAACATTTCAGTCAAATTTTTGACTTATTTATAGAAAAACATATGCCATATAATGCCATAGACTTTCATGTTAAAAAAACTTGAAATGTGAACACCTGCCAATCCGAGCATGTTTGGCCAGTCTCAGTTGCATTTGGATAAGACAAGTTTGACTGTATAAGTCAGAATGTCAGTGTAAGACTTTGGGTGTGTAATACCTAAGTTGGGGAGATTTTTGATACATACCAAACCCTTTGGCACATCCAGCTGCTGCCATGCCATGGCTAGCAATATGGAGGAAGGCAAACACACTGGTCTTACTGGGCTCTGCAATGTACTTCCTCAACCCCATCAGAGTTGCAGCCCCTACAATGCACAGGGTTATATAAGTGCCATACAACCCCATAGGTAGATCAATATATGCTATTTGATGTAAATTTGAATTATACAACATGAAAATCATATTGATTTGGCTCTATGTGATGTTGGCTGAGTGATTTGTCACATATTTACAGTTTTTGTAATGCATCCCAGCCTATTGCCAGGTTAAATTTAGGTCTTCTTACAGGTTAACTTTCAGTCTATAGCAGGTTAACTTTCAGTCTACTTTGGGTTTATGTCCCATGTTGAAATTGCATTAATCTTTAGACCTGGTAAACTCTCAATCTGTTCTTTAGTTTATTTGGTCCATTTTAGGTTAACAATGGGTCTACATTTTGTCTAGAGCTGGCAATGGGCTGGGAATCTGGGATGAGCCCCATTGTCATTTCAAATTGAGGAGAGGGAGCATGGTAGGCTGTCAAACTCTGTCAAACTAATTGTATTAGAATATTAATTCTATGAAATTATGTTGGGGTTCTCCTTTGCGAAATCATCTCTGGTCACATGAACAAATGACGTAGAGTTTCCTTGTGATTCATTCATTGATTGTTGTGGCAGCATGTTTTTGTATTCTAAAATATCGAAATGATGTACCCAGATTATCAAAAGTCTCAGTGTCTCCCTAATGAGAGGCTATTTCCTTTTAGCTTGGCATAACTGTATTTTTAATATTCAGTTTGATTATCTATTTCTTGCTGTTGAATTCATATGACTCTTTATATACTCTTCATTCCTTGTTCATTTTGGCACAGATTTGCTAGGTGGATGTTTATAAAAGCATAAATTGATATCGATTGTTTTAAATTGTTTTTGAGAAATCTATGTTCATGTGCTTGAGCATGATTAACGAGATCAATAAAACATAAAACATGGCGCCACGGTTGAGAACCTATGTATAAAACAAGATATAGAAGGTTGATTTATTGTAACCATTTAGGGATGGAAGAACGGTGTAATAGACAAAATTAATAACGTGAAAAATATAGTGGAAATGTCACAACTTTGGACACAACTGTCCATTCATTTACAAAGGAGAATGACCTGAATGGACATTTTCCTGGGGGTGTGGCTTAGACTGCAAATAAGGGACAACTACTAGTATATTGTACAAGCAGCATCATAGATGGCATAACATAGCTTCATTATCTTCCCACTCAGTTCTCCCTTGTGTCCGAATTGAAAAATTGGAAACATGAAAAAATGGAGAAATTGGAAAAATTTAGATATTGAGAGGGTGTAGTGAAAACTCTAGAACAACTTGATTGTTGGAAATCATTATATAAAAGCAATAAAATCAAAAGGCTTTAATAATGGTGAAACTGCACTTATATTTTCAAGTAGGAAGCTCTGTATTGAGTGTATTATTCCCTTGGTCGATTTTCCTTTAGTAATATTCCTAATAAAGTCTGAGTCGCTTTGCAGTAAATCAATAGAAACTGGTTTACCTATGAAGCCTGTAAATGTAGGCTTAACATCTTTCGTGAAAATCGATATACGAAGCTTTCACAAGGGAATAACAAAATCCTTTGATAGATCACTTGAGAAAAACATCGAGAAAATAATACAATGTAGTATTGTTGATGCTTTCGATGTTTGGTAAATCCTTCCTCCCTTTACCACTAATGATAGTAATTACTACAAATGATACAGCATCATTTCCAGTGAAACTATATGGATTTTTTGTCAAAAAAGTCACCAGACTCACTATACTAGGCCTATTAATGCCTATTTCATAGACTATGGAATCTTTAAAGATACAGACCCATTCTAAACATCATTTAAGATAAATTATAAATCCACGAAGGCATGCTAAATTGTAACAACAATAAAACAATTATTGTACCTGTAAAGTGTACTGTCCTTAGATTTAATTTTTTTTACATTTTTGAGTTAATCTAGGAATGATAAGACAAATTATTACTGTCCATATGACATCATTTCCAAAAATGACTGTTAAATTACTATCAGACATTATATGTTGAGATGGAAATCATCAAGTCTAAGCAAGGGTAGCATTAAAACCTAGGGATAACTGGTTAAAGATTCTAGTTAATATTTAGTAAAAAATGCATTTGATTTGAGAAGCAAACAGTAGGTCTGTCCCTTTAACAGTACTTAAATATGCCATTATCCTGGCGTATGGAATATCTGCATTCCACACATATTAAAAAACAGCCTTTATTGAAATTTTCTGACATATGAATATATATTTCATGTAGATGCTTTTAGGTGAATAGATTTTATTGAAATTCTATATTATTCAGCTGTCTCATATTATGTTTGCGTTCCACCATATTGCAAGCTACGTATCCTGATCATGCTTAAGTGCCTGCATAATGTGCTACAATGTATGAGTCATCAATGCCACATCATCCAAGTTTATCCAAGCCTGTCTATAGACAGAGAAATCGAGACTAATCGAAAATGTTGCGACATAATCACGTTATCGCTAAATTGCATTTTTGCTTATCACTGAGCCTGAATTTCAAATTAACTCAACTGAAAAGCATCACATGATATATGGATATGTCGAGACGGTCGGATGACTGGAGAACGATCTAGATGACGCAGAAGTATTATTTTAATGAAATCAAGCAAGCTAGTTAAATGTTGTATTTACTGGATATTTGTCTTCACAGGCACTGGGATAACTTCATCCATCTATCCTATAGTAGGCCTAACTATACCTTCTATTAAACTGGACAATTTCCACGTTTGTAGATTCAGTTCCTTGAGAAATGACCATATGTTTGACAGGCTGGCTCATGGGCTAAGAGGGAGGTCACATTATATATGAGCTGATTTATCAATTATCTTGACGTGACAGAATAATGAAAAAAGATGTGATGGATTGATCTATTGTAATAGCATTTCAAGTGTTTAATAACCAGAATATCATGAAGATGACGAATATCCTTATTTGTGCATTTTCTAATGACATCAATATACAGGTTGTTCAAAAAGTATTAAAAAAATGTGTTTTAGTTCTTTCATATTCTCTATTTTATTTTTAAAGAAATGGTGAGGTGATTGTTCAGTGTTTTTTATAACCGTATGTGGATATATTTAAATAAAGTTCACCAGATGACAGTTTTGAGCTTGGTGAGATATTTGCTTGTTTTGTGAAATATGGCTGGCCTTATTTGAAAATGTTTTTTGGTTGAGAGTAAAATGTAAGGTCCCCTGATGTCCCCCTCCCAGAACTAGTCCTTATTGTTTGCCTCCTTTAACAGTCGGATGCCTTGTAATAATGAACACATTTTCATTCCAGATGTAATGTACAGTACAGTAACTTGTCGATGCATTGTTCAGAAAACCAGGGGCCAGATGAAAACATCAAGTTGCATCAGAACTTGATTGAATCAGTTATACATTTCAACTTTCATGTATATCAATTTTCATGTATTCGTCTAGGTCTACATGCATCATAGAATTACAAAGGTTGTTTACGGTTTTGATCCACCAAGGCTTGGATAACACTTATGGGATGTAAATTAATCAGTCTGGGTTACCCTCGATACTTAATGGTTCATCAACAAAAAACATCCTCAGTGTATCAAGTAGCCTCAAGAGTATTGTGTTTAGGAAGATTAAAGTATTTCAACACAAGAGGATTTATTATATAAATTGTAAATACTCCCATTAGCATACCTAGACCTTTGTATGGAAAGATACAAGACTGATATCCTTGCATAAAATGAGCATGGGGCAAGTAGAAAATTATAAATAAAAAACAAGTCAAACATATTTTCTTGCGTTATCCCATAAGAAATTCATAGGCACCTGCGCTACCAGCATCTACAACAGTTGTAACCCCCCTGGCCAAGCACTGTTTGTCAGGGTTTGTGCCCAGGGGTGTTGCATACTCATAGCCATGTATATGCAGGTCCACCAACCCAGGAGTCACTATACAGCCACTTGCATCTATCACTTCTTTTGCTGTAACATTAAGCTCATCTCCAACTTGAAGTATTTTCCCATCTTTGATAGCTACGCTTGTTTTCTTGTTTATTCCATTGGATGGGTCAATAACTGTTCCATTTTTGATAAGAATATCAACTTGCGCTGGTGAAGCCATTGTTATTAACTCAATAGCCAACTTTGCAATTGAACTTTAGTCACATGTACATAAGTACTGACTCCTGCGTAACTACAATCTTAACTCAGGCTTACACTATTGTATGGTAATACAATGTTGACATGAATCTAAGATAATGTAAGAATGGTTGTCTTTAAAATCCAGGCTCATAGCTAATTGGGGGATGGGGAGTTCGGGGGCCAAAGTTCGTTTCACAATCATGCAGTTTCCACCATTCTGAATACCATTTTGATTTTGGGCCAAAATGATCAAATTTGAACCCCTGTCTGAATTTTTTAATGAATGAACCCTCTGATGAACCTCGGCAAAGGCTGACTTTGGGCCTGAATTCCAATCTCTGGTTGTTTGAAAACCATATTACTTGGGTTTTAACATTTTGATATATCAGAGTTTATTTAATGCTTGAGAGAGACTCTAGAGATAGTACAGCTAGGTTATGGATGCCACAATTTGGATTTAATGAAATGTGTTAGTTTGTGTTGCGCCTGTCTGCTCTTTAACCCATGTTCAGATATTTCAAAGATAAACTAAGCTGATAAAACATGTTAAGGCACCTTGACTTTTTGAAGCACAGCTTTTAGTAGCTGGTAATGCAAACATACAAGATGATGTATTTCAAGATGAGGTCGAAGGTATGAGTCTCCAAAACATAAGGTATAAAAGCTTCCAAAATCATACCTCTGTAAGGTATGACAATTTGTTACCTTCCTACAAAAAATGTTGTTGTACAGCTATGAGTATCCATTTTTGGCCTCTGTTCAAAAGTGTTAATGTTTAGATACGGTATGCTTAGAGTAAAAGTACCAGTGGTAGTATCTTACTATATTGTATAAAAATATGTGGTATTTCTCCAATTACGGAAATAGAGAAAATGTTTTTTTAAACACATATTTCTTCCAGAACCCAATCTCAATCTACCTTACAAACATGTATACATCCTGTATGTCAAAATTGATATGTGTTGTTTATAGACAAGAAATTGAACATACTGAATATATTTAATGTTATAAAACCTCCTTAAAAATAAATCTTTGTAATTTATATGGGAGGCTTGAAAAGGAGTGGTATCGATATGGAGAACTTTTTGAACACACGTTTCTCTTAAACCAGTTATAAAAAAATCTAAAAATTTAACACATCATCAATTTAATGGTCATCTTTTGAATGGTAACAATATAATTTGAAATATATATACGAGAACTTTCATCTATATTGTTTTATCAAACACATCAAACACTTGTTTTGTTCTTGGTATCATGTTTCCAGGGTGAAATGAAACATCTTTCCGAACCTCATTGGAACAAAACGACATAAACACAACATGTTTAGGTCTCTCAATATTGTAATTGTGCAAAGGAAATTTTGGTTGATTTTAAAAAAGTATCTTGTTAATGAAATAAAAGGTTTATCATGATTTTTATCTATTTTGGGGGTATTTTGCTTTAATTTTTTGAATACTTTTTTAAAATCAACCAAAAATTCCTTTGTATAACAATAATATTGAGAGGTCTAGAAACATGTTGTATATGCTATTTTGTTCCAACAAGGTTCGGAAAGACATTTTATTTCATTCTCAAGAATTAGTAGAAAGGAGCAAAAACAATAGCACTAAAAAACAAAAAATGTTAACAAAAACAGTTATATAAAATATTTCTAAATACTTTTCGCATTAAATTGTTGTCAATCAGTCAACATTACATAAAATACCTTCCTCTTTTACAGAATGTTTTCAATGATTGGTTTAAGAGAAAAACATTGTTGAATTCAGTTCTCCATATCGATACCAATCCTTTATTGCTTTTTTTTGATGTATTATATTTGAATGAAAAAAGAACTATGTATTCCAAATAATTTATTTTCTTTATGTCATTACACTGTTAAACATTAAAAACAGACCATGTATATCCATGTTACATCAATTATTGCCAATGCAATAACAAGGGACATAAATAAATATACTTTGTTTTTTCATGTCAACACTATTTGTTATGTATTTTATTCATAAAAGCCAGTGCAGAAAGGTAATGAGTTTTTAGATAATGCAAAGTAAAATTCATAATTTTTGTATGAAAAGGAAAATACATCGATCAAGATTAATGAGGATGTATATTATATTTTATTCAACACCTCCATTTTCATCAAAATCACCATAATTATCTTTTATTCATCCAAAATTTAAAATTCAATAGTACTGTTAAAATACACTACTCTTACTACATGTACCCGAAAAGTTGGAGCACCAATCATTTGCTCTGTCGTAAGTCAAATTATTAATTCAATATATTTATTTTATTGTAACTTTTTATTTCCAAGTTTTATTGACATATACTGCTTTTGATACTAATAAGCCAAATTAATTGGGATTAATTAATATTAAAATGAGTTCCAATCGAGACAGATGTGATCAAAATTAATTTTTCATTATGTAAACAGTGACCATGTTACAGAAAATCCTTAAAACTCCTTGGCTTTACTTTTGAAAGTCAGCAAAGATGAAATGTGCCTGGGTATTTAGGTAAATGTTAACTCCAATGGGCGTTAACCATACTTTTAGTTAACAACGCAATTTCTACATTATCCACCGACATTTAGAGGTATTTCCCTTTTATTACTCAATTGATTTATCTCCATTACAATTCAATACACTTGTTATCATCTCCCTGGTGATAATTCACAATTTTTAGCATTTATTTGCCATATTTTGATCAGTTTAATCCAAAAATATGGCAACATAACTTTTTACTTGTGACTGTTGTTCATTGCAATACCTATGCATATTGAATGTCAAAGTGGATGGTTGAAAGGTTGAAGCGTTTGACCAATCAGAGCACTGAATGACGTCACTTCTACTACACAAGGAAGATTACGAATTTGTGAAGAAGTGCACGAAAAGCAGTTGGAAATATGGCTGTTTACACCTAAATGCAATGATTGCTCTGCAACAGACTTGTTTAGGACCATGGTACGAGAAACTAGGTATCTGTTGGTTGGCAATTTACCGGAGAATATCGCCGAGGAACGGATTACAGAACACTTTAAACGGTGGGTTTTCGTTGAATTTCTGGCGGCCATTTTTCTTGGCCATGAGTTTTCCTATTGCACAAAGAACACGATTCTGTGTAAAATCTGGAATATTTTACATTATAAACTTATGGATTTACATCACCTAATGTCATTGCAGTTGAACTGGTGTAACTATTTTAACAATAAAAAGCACGGTTGTGTGTAAAACGTGCAGTTTGTACTCGTATAAATTATGCCGTTTAACCATTAGATGCTCATAAGATATCAGTTGACGGTGAGATTTACTGAAAGAACTTGCCACTGGATTGTTTATCTGTATAAGGATTATCTCATAGAGCTATATGTCATTTTAGGGGACAAAAGTACTGTTATTCATTTGATATTTATTTTACACAAATTGTCTATTCAATGGAATGTCATGAAAACATGGTAATGAAAGATGTTGGAAAGTTCGAAGTTCAGCGAGCAAGCTAAAAAGTATGAAAGTCTTATAGATGAGTGTTGGGATATCTTTACTTCACTCACATTGTTTTAAAAGTAGCTTGTACATCCCCATAATGCGTCAATAACAAATGAATAGGACTGAAAACTTTGCTATCATGTATTATATCCGTTATGAAATGAATAACCACATGCAAGTAATTGTGGTTTACCATTATGAAATATGACTTGGCTTTGACACACCAACATATATAAACAATCCCTTTTCCCTATGTAATACATTCACAAAGAATTTATTTTGTATTTCTATAGTCATATATGGAATTGTTTATCACTACCACAATCCATATGGACACTAGGATGGTATTACTCATCTTAGGGAGTCAAAAGATCTACCAATATCTGAGTGGAAACGTCACTTAGTTATGCCTCTGACCCATTCATTCATTCCCCATTTAACACTTCACTTACAAAATGTTTAAAGGTAACAATTGTCTAAAGCTGATCAATAGGCATTTATTGCATCTATATCCACTTTTCAAATTATTTCTTATATAAGACAAGCTTGTAACTTTTTTAAACATTTTGTTCTACACGGTATACATCTGTGGGTACTGGGGGGGTTGGGGGGGTGGGGGTAGGTAACACAATGACTCGAAGCAGTACTCATTTTTTGGAATTCTTTTGTATCATTCTCCCTCCTTATCTGATCTGACATTGATTTTTGATGGCTTCCCTAAATCATCATGACCAAACGTAACATCTTAACAAGTAGATACAACATAATATATTTAGAAGTGTCTATTTCTGACTCAATGTTATACATAGTATATAGATAAATAAGCTATATGCTGGATACTGGGATGAATAACCTGTAATCTTGTTGTTTATCGGTTTATTTTTGTTTTTAATATTCTGATTTGTGGCTGTTTTACATTCATTACATTTCTAATATAATCAGATATTCCTAAATATTAAATATTCTTCATTTTTTTGAATTACTGGTTATTTAACATCATTATAAAGCCTTTGGCAGTTTATGTGTTTTATTGTATATACCTGTATGTGAATGGTGAATGTAATCAGTTCCATTATAATTGTAATTAACTCCATCTGGATATACTAATTATTACCTGTGGAGTTTGACCCAAGTTTATCACCAGTCTATGACTATAATTAGGACCCAAATATATACTTTTTCATGTAACAGTGTCACATAACATAAAATCAAACTTTCCATATTTATAATATTGAAGTTAAAGCTATTAAGTCTGTTACTTATTATGTGGAGTTTTGCGTCATACCTAGGGCACTGTGGTGATAAATTACATCGTAGCCATGACGATTTATCATTGAAATTAAAATAAGTAGATTCTTGAGAACAATACACATGTTACCTCGATCATTCTCTAGGCTATTCAATACTACCTATTATCCGAGCCTAGGACTGGGTATTAATAATATATCATAGTAAATTGATGGTTACCAACAATGGTTGTTTATCGGGTTTGGGTAAGGCCATTATAAAAAAGAGCCATTAAGGGATGGTTATTTAGCAGTAAATGTC